CTTATGTATATTCTTTAAAACCTTCTGAAGATCTCGTTAGGTTTTGCATTAGGTATACTTATAGATTATATTCTAAAAATAAAAGGGCTTTAAAATAGTTCCGTGCACTAGGTTAGTGTTTCTTTGCACATCCTTGTAATCTGATATAGTAATCAAAAGTAAATCATCTCACATCAACCTTGCATAAATTGGTTTACATTACAGCGGCGCATTTCGAGTTAAATCGACCGTGCCAAACCGATTGCGAAACGTAAATAAAATGAACTTGAAAAATGGAGCTCGACGAGCAACAAGTCTCACGGTCGCCGGTTTTGTTAGTAAATTAAATTCCATTTCATTCTGCCTTCTGATTGCTGCAGGAAGTTCATTGCCAGTAACACCGAAAAACATTGCCAATAACAGCTGATGTATCTTTAGATGCGTTACGCAATTGTTTACTGTTTGGCGCTCGAATTACTTACATTGGTATTAGAAAATTACTCATTCGGAAAATGGGTATTTTTAAACGTATTATCTCTCTCATTATTAATAATAATGTATTATTTATTTATGCTGTTTGTGCATCTAAATATAGCTGCTATATGGTTTAAAATACAATAAAAATGGCATATTATTATCATACTGTACATTAATATGTTTATTAATTGTGTATGTGTGTATTTTATACCTCATTTAATCTAATACGATTTATAAAAGGTTTGTTTCTTTTATGTTATGCAAATTATGTATATTTAACATGTAAAGTACTAATTTAGTACTTTAACTTTTGAGGAATATTCAAAATATTCCCAAAAGTGTTGATAATGGAAGTAAACCTTTATATTACACTTAAATACTTATTTAATGGTTTTGTATTAATTTCATTTTGATGGGCCTGTATTTACCTATTTGTCTAGTATAAAATGAAATGGTTTTGCTCAGTTAACTAACGTTACAAAGGCAGTCAATTGAGTCGATGTAAATTGCATAGAGGCCAAATTGCCGTTATTTTGCAACTTTCTTTTTACTTCGTTTTCTCAATGCTTGATGAACCTATTTGTTAATTTTGCCAATGGCTAAAATTGCAATTATTGAATATTTTTTTCAACTATAACACAGCGAAAACAAAGACAAAATACTGATGAAGTTATTTCGGGTCTGTGAACTTTCTGCAACCAGGAAACGGTACTTATGAGTGCGAATTTCCTTTCTAGGAATATCTTGTACTATTTCTGGTAGAATAAGATAAAGCACGAAAATACTGCTCGTACGAGAATTATCAATAATTAAATATGTGTATAATAAAGTTTTTATAAAGTTTCATAAAAAATATGTAATTCTAAGAAACAATTACAATTACTGCATTTTCATCACATTATTAGAGAAGAAAAATGATTAGTTTAAATAGAGCATCTTATATACCACTATTGTAGAAAACACTTTAGATTTTTAGATACTCTCACCAGATTTCCTACTTCATAATCTTTTCTAATAAAACGTTTTTTCCTTAAAATATAGTAATTATAGTAAAATTGGAACATGTGTAAACATGAATTTTCATTTTTCAGTATAATACTCGAGATGGCGGGAAAGGATAGTAATATGTGAGTAAAATATTCTGCACGCTTGCATGTAGTTTTCAATACACTGCTGCTGCTGAGAATGATAGGAGTAATAAATTTAATTTAATGAAGTACCTACCTATAATAATGATATGCTAAATAAATTTTAAATTTTTATACAGCTCTTATCTGCGTACAAAGTTCATGCAATTAACGATTCATTCTCATATTACTAACGAACATTTGCAGTAAAATCGCTATTAATAACATTTTTTACGTAAGCGTTTTAAACAATAAATTTCAACCGTCGAAAATCGGTTGAATTGTTCCCGAACATTGATTTTATCGCGCAATTGCTTAGTCCCTTTAGTGCCTTTCTGAATTAACAGGGCGGTGAAATTTAAGGACTTTAAATTGCAAGTAAAAGCTTCTCGAGGGAACTTTCCAGGGTTTTAGGGCAGTTATTATTTAAATATTTAATGAGCTCCGTGTGTACCTAAATGCACTGTACGTTTATTTTAGTTCTGCATCTTCACCTAATAAAATATCAGCATTTTGAAATTCTCTAAATGCTAAATAGACAATTTAATAATTTCTGGAAATAAATGTATAATGTAGGATGTTTAGTTTTATTCTTATACAAATTCCTTTTGTGACACTTTTTATTTTTTTTGTAAAATGTAGGAAGAAGTAGTTACCTGTTTCAGCATATTTCAATTACCTGCTCAAATTAGGCTCTCTAGAATTTTATGAACGTTTGATTTATTGACGTTTTTACTTTCCTATTAATTATAATTTTTATTATAATTGATGTTAATTAAATAGTTGAAATTTTAATAGTTCAGGTATATTTGCAGTATTATTATCGCTGTCAATTAATCAACATTAATTAAAGTTAGCAAATTGGCTATTATAGAAAAATAAAAACCTAATTTTACTGGAATATTTTTATAGGTTAGTGCGATTATTTCATAAAAATTTCTCATCAAAAGAAAATTTATTAGACATTACTGATGACAAAATAGTCTAGACGTAAACATAGACTACTTTATCTTTATTCAGGGTGGCCAAATAGTATGTGAAAGAATAATAGCTCATTTTGTAATAAAGATAGAAAATAATGTTTCATATAAATACTTATTGCATATTCATTATTGCTTAATCAACTAGGTATTCTAGACTGAACCATCCTGTATATTTTTTTAATTTTGTCGCTATTAATACAGAAACTGTAGTGTACTTTGACACACCATTTGGCCACCCTATAGATTATAATATTTTCCATTCCCATATGTGGTGATAAGTTCTTACAGAATATAGGAAGTTATTTTGTAATCAATTTTATTGAAACTTTGATCTTTATTCTTACATTTCTTACATTATGGCGTGACACCAGTATGAATGCGATGTGATACTCCATTGGCGGTCATAGACCTGTCGTTAAACAAATGGATTCTTTCTTATTATTACTTCAAGTCACATCATTTTTTTTCGTATTACCTGCCTGTGGTATTACGACGCTCGAATTAAACGGGCTAATTAGATCTATTTAGTGACGAAGCAATACTATAATTCAATGTAGTTCAAAGATAACTATTATTTATCTACTATTGTAATATTTCTACAAAAAAATTGAAATTATTAATGAATGCAGTCATGTAATACGTAATGTAATTAGAATATAATAGATATTTTGATTGACATAATCAGTCATCATGTGTGTAGACAATATACAAATATGTATCAAGAAATTATTTTTTTTTGATTTTTGATTTTTGATTTTTACTAACATTTAATTCTTTTCTGAATGAAGCATGCAACTAAAAAAGGCAGGGCTGGTCCTGCGTTTTTTGAAATCGTCGAAGCCGGTCCTGTCAGTTAGATTGTCGCAAATGGAAAAAAATTTAATTATCTTTAAGAGTAATAGACAATATGCTCATGTTTTGGATATTAAACGAGTTTCAACGAGTGCGATAAATTAGTAGATTGTAAAATATTGTATTATTGCCCGGGAAAATTCGCTAGATTAGACCTACAGATAAGTTTTTCGATTATCGGAACGTTCGGTTCTTCATATAATAGTTTGTTCATCAAAGGAATGCCCGCAGTGGTTGTTTCAGCGCCTTTAAAGTTTGTTGGTGTCTTTTGAAATTATTGTATAGTCTCGCATTGATTTGATTTTCAAATTTATTATTTTTTGTTTTTCTTTTGTGGTCTGGAGGATTAATTATTTTTTAACATGTATTTTGGGTATGTATTTTTATTTTTTATAGATTTGTTTTGGTTTTTTTTTAATTTTATGGATGACTCTTTCATGAAACTTACCTTATAGTATCTTTAACGATGAGAAATATCTTAAATACTAGTTACCTATAGTTATTATAATCAGTTTTTTACTAACATTTTGATCTTTTGAGTTCTTATTTTTATAACTGAAATCATCATTTCGTGCTTAATTTGCAAGGAAAACTTGTTTTACTTTTAGACATCTTTCATAAAAAGAATGATAATTTAATTCCTAATTAGTTAATTAGCTTGCTTGTAAATCATCCTGTATAAAACATTTATTTATATGGTAATTTATGTGTATGTCAAAAGTTGAATTACGAGTAAATTGAAATGTTACTTTTTACTGCCGCTGAAACTCGAACAATTAATTTATTTTAGCTACAATAAAAATAGTAGTAATTAAGTTTTATGCTCGCAAATACATTGCAATATAATAAAATAATACGAAAGCTTTGTTAGTTAACTTTAGCTGAAATTAGATTGCTATTAAGACCATTCCAACCTTGAATTTTTAGTCAAGGTTTTGATTATAATTTATTTTGTAAAAAAATGCCAATAGTTGTAATGATAACATTTATAACGATATTTATAACTGTCTTGCTAATTTCGCATTAAAACATTTATGATGGTATCTTTTCGATATTGTTTGTATTCTCGGGATATACTTTGGGTGATTGTGTAATAGCGTAAAGTTCAGGTGTTTAAAAGAACATTGTACTTTGTAATTAAAATAATGATTTTATCTTTATGATATCTGTTAATTTGGTTGATAATAGATACTTAAAATTTTTGATTATTTTGAGAAATTTACATATAAAATGCAGCACCTATTCCGGCTTCTTAAGCATGGACGAATTCATTAATAATTGATATGAACAGTGCATTTGAATGGCATGAAGTATTTCTTCACAAACAAAACGTAGATACATAATTGAGAGCTACTAATTTCATTCTTGACCGGATTTAATATAGGCAATTGTGATCGTTATTATTTCCAGCTGTTGAGTTTTGTTCTATTTCTGGAAATAGGTGTGCTGGTTCAAATAAGCATCGCTTTTGCCTTCTTTGGATGCATTTTCCAAACAAAAATTTATATTATATCGTTGAAAACTAGCACTATTTTTGCACGTTCTCAAACTTTCTTTTTCTATAATCGTTGTATTTTTTTCCAGGGATATGGATGGCGTTGGTTTCTCCTTGGCGATCGGAGCACTTAAAGCTTTAGCTTTTGTGTACGACGTCCTTACATTCCCCATTTACATCATCCTCCAGAAACCATGGCGGTTACGCCAACTATCCAGATCCATAAAGGTCAGTTTAATTTGTTCGTATACGTCCATCGGGGTCTAAATTTAGACCCCCATTTACGGGGTCTTGGATAAATTTGGACCCGCCCTAGAATAGCACGCTTTTTTTTATTAACGCCGTTCCGCCCTGCGGGATTTCTTGTAAATTATAAATTGGTAAATGAAAGCAAATTATTGATTTTTGGTGAACTAACAGAGTGGTACAAACAAGCCTGTTGAATTTTTAATGCCTTATCCAATTGATATTTTATAACTGTTGTATACGCATCGGTTTAATATAGTTTAAAGCGTATGTGCATATGTATATAAATTGTTTGTACTCGTAAGTACATAAATTTATTTGAGTGTAAATATTTTGTTTGCACTTATTGTTGACAGCAATGAGTTGAAGGCGTGATAATAAGAGAGGACTTCAACAAATTTTATCAATTAATAAGACTAAAACGCAGCTTTAACGTATTTCATTTTTTATTCAATAAATTTATACGCCTTGATTAAATATTTAAACTGATAAATGTCGTTAAACTGAAGGATCTGTGGTACAGTAACCTGACTACCGAGTTCCCAGTTTCGAAATTATTTATTTTAATAAATTTCTTATCTTAATATGAGTATACTTTAGCATTAATTAGGTATAAAAAATCCTGGAAGTCTAGAAGAATAATGAATGATGGCTAAGTTATTTTTTCTAAATTGCTTTATTTCATGTTGACTGATACTTTTATATCAAATGAGATGATTTGTTTTCATTTAACCAATGGCTTTTCTTCTTCTGTGTTTTTTAATAGCTCAATGGTGAAATTAATTGTTGCACTCCTGTAAATGTCTTCCTTTTTTGTTATAATTACGTTTATTTTTGTTACTAATGATTTAATATAAAAAGGAAATAATTTATCTATTTTTGGATGTTATTACCACTAATTTTTTTTCTGTATTATTTACTAACTACTAATATTTATACAACAAAATAACACATACTTATCAGCAAGCAACAAATGTAATCTTTATTTGCTTGCTAACTATTTTTTTCATAGGGCGTTATAAATTATTTATTTTAATGAATTTAACCCTATTTTATTCTTAAAAATCTGAAGGTCTTATCGTTTCTTTACATAGTTAAAGTTGAAAATCAATAACATTTTCAATATTAAATCATGATCAACTCATCTCATCTTTATATTCTACTTACTGTTCAATATTTATGAAATGTATTAACCCATATAAATTACATGTTATAAATTACGTAGGGGTTGTGGATTCGGGTTATATCTTAAATGAATATAATACCTAATTTTTATTAAGACGGCGAAATAAAAGTGTGGATAAAAAATCGGTCATTCAAGCTCCGATGAGTTCTAGTCAAAGTTTTAATATTGTTTATACGGAAATTATTTACTAAACCACAATATAATTTTGCACGCATATTAATTCAAGGAAGCGTTTAGGAAAAACGAAGCATTTGTTGAATTGTCGAGGTGAAGGGAATCGGTTCGATCGATCTGCATTATTGTTGCGTAAAATCACCCAGCTGAGGAATTGATACGAATAATCTCGTTTCTTTTTTTCCAATTATTCGCCAGATAGTTTCGCTTCAAGGTCTCTATTTACTTTTTACTTTAGAGTAATTAAACAACCACGAGGAAATGTTACATAAATGCCTGCGACTTAGTTATGCCACGAGGATTATTACTTCACTTTTTATTTATGTTTTTGTAAAAAAAATTATTTATATGTACAATTTATTCGGTTGAAATATTAGTTGTGAGGTTCAAAAAATTAATTGCATATTTTTATTTTCGTTTTATACTTGCTAGTATGTAAGTACTTACCGTGAATATTTAACGATTTTACAATAAATCATAGGTCATTATATTTTTTTATTCACTTATTTATTAGCATATTTGTGTGGTAATTTTCGCAACAATAACGACAGATGCGCTAGTTGGGTGGATGGATTTATGTTTGTGTTTTATGTGCTTATCAATATGTTTTATAGGGCATTATCGTTGACATCGAAGTAGAACAATCTAAAGAGTTTATCATTGATATGAAGGAAAGTCCAAACGCAATTAAGAATAAGTACAGAGATCCATCCAGTGTCTTGGGCAAGGTATAGACATCCACTGTTGGTGAATTTTTTTATTATTTTGATACAGGATTTTTACAAGATTAGGAATGTTTAGTTATTAGTAGAGAATTGATAAATAGGCAGTAGTAATAAAGCTTGTAAAAAAATCTTGTTACACATTAAATAGTGATTTGTTAGGATATTTACAAAATTTAGCGATCCGATAAGAGTAAATATAGATAGAAAGTTTTCCAGAAGTTTGAATTTTCGTAAACATATTCAATTCACACGTATAAATTTCTTACATTTATCATTACATTTTAGCCTAAATAAATCGAGTTGAATCGTGAAAAATCCGGTATCGAAATCGATTTAAAAATCGATCGAAATTTTAAACTCCGATTAATAGACGGATATATTCCTTTAATTAATATATTTTATAGCATCTGCAATTTTCATTTTTTCGAATTAGTTTAATAAGGCGAAACGTATGTATACGACAGGTTTTTAAAAGCACGGCTGTAACAATTGTTATTCGATTTACTTTCAAGGTTTCTGCATAAATCGTATTGTCTTCTCAGATATATTTTAATTAGTTGCTGATTATATTAAAAAAATCCTAATTATTAGTCGACAAGTTAGTCGACAAGAAATATCTACATAAAAGGGGGAAAGAAAACACTATTATCGGCTATACAAAATTATTAATTTTCCAGTCAGTATAATTTCCTTAATCAATTATTAATCAATTTGGCATTAATATCCTTGAATGCAATTTTATTAATTTTGAATTGAAAATTCTGTTTGATTGTTGCGTAGTCTTTTATTAAATATAAGTTGATAATAAAAATAATTTTACGACCATTATAGGTAGTAGGAATTAAATTACAAAACGATAAAATGGAAAAATTACAATGGTGTTTGTCTGAAAATGGTTTTTCATTTAATCTTTTTTTGAACAAAAGTATTTACGCCGCTACAACTCGAAAGGTTATGTAATTTAATCCTGTCCTTCAGAATAATTTAATGTTATCATAAAAATTTATCGTATTCACGGAAAAATGTATTTTTCAATACACAGTTCCTCAATCGATCGTTTATATCGTTTTTAAATTTATCACAAGTCAAATAAATTCTAAGCAAACATCTCATTTTAGTTCGAATTCTTTATTAAAGCTTCTACACGATATTAGAAAAAAACTTTTCCCTCGAATTTTAATGACATAGTCGTTCCTTCAAGCAACTCCATCATCTTCGCCTAAGTAGATTATAATGAATTTCCAATGAATTTCCAATTTAATTCCACGCTAGAATTAGCTTGCAAGAAGCCGATTAAATTTCAATTTTCCATTAAAACTACTCAATAAACACCTGCCTAATCTACCCTTTAACACCAAACATTTGTCTTTAGGCGAAAGCGATACAGGAAGATGCGAAATCCGTTACATATCGATCCGCAGTCCAACCCAAAGAACACCACATCACGTTGGTCAGAGAGAAGATCGACACGATGGCCAAAATGTTCGAGTATTGCGCCAAAAAGTACCGCAACAAGAGGTGCTTAGGCACCAGGGAAATTTTGGCCGAAGAGGATGAAGTCCAACCCAACGGAAGGGTTTTCAAAAAGGTAAATCTCAAACCCTTGCTGGTTTTTTCTTTTTTTTTTACTTTCTAGGGTGATGTAACTTTGTATTTCGCACATTGAAAAAGAGTTCTAGACTTTCTGCTGGGCGGCGGTAAATTGGGCGCAAAAATATATTTATTATCTGAGGGTTTAAGGGGGTATTTGATTTCTATAGGTAAATTGGACGCGAGAATATTTCTTGTAGAAAAGGGAATTATGTCTTCTAGAAAAGGGAAATGAGAATTTACATTGAAGGGTATGGAAGAGTTAAAGAGTTCAAAGATTTCAAGAGAGCAGAGACTAGCAGAGGAGAGCAGAAGAGAACAGAAGAGAGTTGTAGAGAGTTGAAGAAAGGAAGAGAGTTAAAGGGAATTGATGGGAGTTGAAGAGAGCAGAAGAAAACACAAGAGAACAGAAAAGAACAGAAGATACTAGAGTAGAAGAAAGCAGAGGAGAGCAGATAGAGTAAAGAAAAATAGAGCAGAAGAAAGTTAAGTAGAAGAGGGTAAAGTAGAATCGTCAAAAGAATTATTTGTGGTTATTTTCCGGAGACTCTGCGCCCAATTTACCTAAAGAATAATAATCTACGAATCCATTTACGCCCAATATGCATCCATTTAAGACTTCCACAAGGCACTCAAACATTTTGTTGCGAATCGAAAAGACTTCCACCAATCAACGCCTCAATTTTTTCCAGTTTGTCATGGGCGACTACAAGTGGAAAACCTTCGGCGAAGTGAACGAATTGGCCGCCAGCTTCGGCAGAGGGCTCGTGTCGATGGGCAACCCGTCGGGCAAGAACGTGGCCATTTTCGCCGAAACCCGAGCCGAATGGATGGTGGCGGCGCACGGTTTCTTCAAATTCAACATTCCTTTGGTCACCATCTACGCGACGCTGGGCGACGACGCGATCGCGCACGCCATCAACGAAACCGAAGTGTCCACCATCATCACCAGCTACGAGCTGTTGCCCAAGTTCAAGAAGATCTTGAGCCTGACGCCGCGCGTGCAGACCCTCATTTACATGGAGGACCAGCTGAAGGAGCTGGCCAACTTGGACGGCTACAAGGAGGGCGTGCAGATCGTTAAATTCACCGAAGTGATCGCCAAGGGCGACGATATTAGAGACAGTGAGTTGTATTGTTATTGTAATAAGCGAGTATTGTAATAAATTTCTTCGTAGAAGTGACTCCTTCAGTGCCTCCGACGACCGATGATATCGCTATAATCATGTACACGAGCGGCTCGACGGGCGTGCCCAAGGGGGTTATTCTTCAGCAGAAAAATCTCATCGCCACGCTCAAGGGTTTCTGCGATTCGACGCCGATCTACGAGACCGACGTCATGATTGGGTTCCTGCCTTTGGCGCACGTGTTCGAGTTGCTGGTGGAGAGCGTTTGTTTGTTCGCCGGCGTTCCTATCGGTTATTCGGGTCCTCTTACCATGACTGATAATTCCAATAAGATTAAGAGAGGGACCAAAGGAGACGCCACCGTCTTGTGTCCCACTGTTCTGACGAGCGTGCCCGTAAGTTTATGATAAATTTGTGGGTGGATGCCATAGCTTGATATGTCGTGTTTTTTTGTCAAAATTGAGTTATCAGTACCACCAAGTTCCTCTCCTTGAGATCTACAAGATGCTAGTAGGTTTGTTCCAGCAGCATGTTTTGTGTTGCGAACATTGTGAGCATGCGCAATGGTTTTAAAACGTTCCAGCGGCGTGTAATTTGGTGTTCTGAGTAAACGTTTGCTGTTGAACTGTTCTCGTTTGAAGTGAGAACATTTAGGACAATTCTAAATTAAGTATGGTTAAATTAGTTTGTTGTTGGTCATAAGTATTTCTTTAGTTACAATTTAGTTTTAAAATATGGAAATTATTGACTTATTTGGAGCTATGGGCGAAAGTAGTTATGATTAGTTATGATGAATTATCGGAAGACGATTTTGAAAAATTGTTGAAAAAAAGCAGAGGCCAAAAAATAAAAAATATATCGAGGAAACCATTCTTCAATATTTGGAAAATGAATTCAAAGAACATTTCCATATTACAGGATACCCAACTGCTCGTCTTCCAGCAAGAAATGTTTTAATTTTATAACGAAATTGTAAACATCAGGGCATGCGCAATACAATACTGATACAAACATAATTTGAGCAAGCTGCTGGAACAAACTTTGTATAAAACGGTTAAAGTTTAACATTAAAGCTCTTTAAAATTTAATAAACTCGATCAAACTTATGGCACCTATCCATAGAAATATTTCCATTTAGTGGGACATCTGACCACAATTTGGAAGGGAAATCTCGTGAAAAAAACTATCGCTAAAGATTGTGATATTTTTCCAGCTCATTTTGGATAGGATATCGAAGAGCATCCAGGAGAAGGTGAGCAAGAGCGGCAGCTTGAAGAAAGTGATATTCAAATTCGCCTACGAGTACAAGACGGCGTGGAAACGTCGCGGCTACAGCACGCCGTTGATCGACAAACTGATTTTTTCGCCCATTACCAAATTGGTCGGCGGCAAGATGAGACTGATGATCGCCGGAGGGGCTCCTCTATCTCCGGATACGCACGAACAAATCGGCACCTGTCTGTGCTTGAGGATTATACAAGGTTACGGATTAACCGAATCGACTTCTTGTGCTGCTGTCCAAGATTGTAAGTACATCAAAGAGTGCATAAAACCTTGCCAAATATCGAATTTTAAGAGATCTTGCAAGTGGCTGTAAATGTTTCATTATCCATTTTAGAAAAAAAATTACTTTTTTATCCATAATTTTCTTATTACTCCAGATATTTTTATGATATTTTGTACATACTTTTTAATTATTAAGGAGCATTTTTTGAGGCAAATGATTTTATAAAAATTTTACCAGTGATGTCCATACGGGGTGAACTGAATATCTTCGAAGAAAAAATGGTGCGCCACTGCTAAAAAGGATCTAAAAAGGAATATTATTTTTAAAATTCTCATTTATTGTGGGGCAAATTCGGTCTGAAGACTTACTTTCATACGACGCACTATTTTCGCGTAAAATAATAAAAACCAAAACATTTTTTCCCAAGTTCAATGAGTCTGCTTTTGATATTTTGGTAGGCACCCACCACGCATCGAAACACTTTTTTTAAACACAAAAATTAATTTCCTTCTATTACCAGTGACATCCATGTTCGAAATTTCATAAAAATATATGGAGTAAATTATGATAGAAAAGTTATTTTTTTTTTTAATCTTACACCATGTAGCTCGAAATCTAAGAGGTTTAGGACATACTATATATTGATATAAACTTTTTTACTTAAATTACCCAAATACTCACATCCTGAACTATCGGCACTCTTTTGTCCCGTATAAGAACATGTATAGGAGCATGTAGGGCTTTTTATGCGGGACGTCCGGTAGAGTGTGTAAAATCAGCTAATTGAAAAGATTAGTACTACCCATTTTGTTAAGAATAACACGCCTTTTTTAAACACTTTCTTTAATCTATTCTCACAATCAATTTTTTTTTAGTGTACGACATGTCCTTTGGAAGAGTCGGCGCTCCCTGTACGATTTGTGATATTAAGTTAGTTAGTTGGGAAGAGGGTAATTACAGAGTGACCGACAAGCCGTATCCGCGCGGAGAGATCATACTGGGCGGCGACAACATCAGCGCGGGATATTACAAATTGCCGGACAAAACCGACGAAGACTTCTTCGACGCGGACGGCAAGCGGTGGTTCAAAACGGGCGATATCGCCGAAGTCCACGGAGACGGCGTATTTAAGATTATCGGTAAATCATTTACTTTTCTTATATCCTCCGTATAATCCTCTTACGTGCGATTATTTTTTTAGATCGTAAGAAGGATCTCGTGAAGCTGCAGGCCGGCGAGTACGTGTCCTTGGGCAAGGTCGAGGCCGAGCTCAAGACGTGTCCTTTGGTGGATAACATTTGCGTGTACGGGGAATCGAGTAAAGACTTCTGCGTCGCTCTGGTGGTGCCCAACCAACAGAATTTGAAGGACCTCGCCGCTAAAATTGGAATCGTTAATAAATCCTTCGAGGAGCTGTGCGTGAATGCCGCTATAGAAAAGGCCATGGTTCAGGAATTGGCGGAGCACGGAAAGAAAAGTAAGTTATAAATAATATTGTGCTGTCAAATTGCATTAAAATCACGTAAACTAAATTGTGTGAAAGAAAAATAACCTAAAAGTAGCATGTCATTTGAATGACAGTTACGATTGTCCTGTCAAATTGTAATAAAATCACGCAATGAATGAAAAATGACATGTATTTGAATGACAGTTTGAATGACATATGCAGTTAAGATTGTCCTGTCAGATTGTAATAAAATCACACAAACGAATTAAATTGAATGAAAGCAAAATTACCTCTCATTTAAATGACAGTTCGAATGACAGTTACGATTGTTCTGTCAAATTGTCTTGTCAAATTAGCCTGTAGTGTATAAATAAGTCCTTAAGTATTGTATAGTGGAGTAATAGAATAATAATTTTCAGGTAAATTGGCCAAATTTGAAATTCCTGCTGCAATAAAATTGGTAACGGAAGTGTGGTCGCCGGATATGGGCTTGGTAACGGCGGCGTTTAAGCTGAAGAGAAAAGATATCCAAGAGCGATATAAGTACGAGATAAATAGGATGTACGCTTCCTGAAAGTTGCCGTTCCTTTAGTTTATTTTTGTTAAATTTATATTTATGTAAGGTAGTTTTGCGCTGTTACGATTACATTTTTGTTAAATGTAAGTTGTGCTGTACAAAAGAGTCGTTGTAAAAAGTATTTTGTAAAGTTTATTGTAAATAACGAATGAAGCTGTGAAGGTAGGATTTTAGTAATATTTTATTTATCTTTGCATCGGTTACGTAATATTTTGTACATAAGAACAAAATTATATTTTTTACGTTTAGTATAATATACAACTAGGATACAAAATTGTTCTTGGGTCGTTGCGGAAAACAAGTTTTGATGAAACATGGGCGATGGTTTCGACAATTTTTCTCTATCAAATGATTTATTAAATGCAACATAGCTCTCTTGGAAAAGTCCCGTTTCTTTCTAACAATCCACCGTTTGTAAAATAAAATCAAAAGTTGATTTCGGCAATGATTTAATGTAAAAGTATTTGCTAATACTGGCATCACTGATATTCGCAAAGAAATGTATGTTTTCTTTTCACAACTTGTGGTTGTGATTTTTAGTAGCAATATTACGATTTTTTACATTGTACGTAATTTGTTATTGTTGCATTTTTTTGTTAAGTTTTCTTAGTAAAGACTGTACACTATCTGAAAAATATATCCCGTCAATTTTTGTAAAATCGGTCTAAATAAAAACAAATAAAGAGTAAATATGCGTACTTAAAAGATATTTCGAGTACATATTTTCCAAATATATTATTAGAATTAATTAATGTGTACATAATAATTTTTAAATATACCTATTATTTTTTTAGAATTGGGTAGCTTTTAGTCGATAAAAAATGTACAGCAAGTAATAGAATTTTGATAATAGCCTAATTTGAGTCTCAAATCGAAGATGAAGAGCTATATCAACAAACTAAATTAAAATAAAATAATTCTATCTTTATTTGGTAGCCAAGTACATGCTACATGTACCTAAAATGACTGTTTAGAATATTTTTAGATAATAAATTACGATTAATTAGCTGCTAAATAAATTCTGTATCAACTATATTTTCTAAAAGCTACTCAAAATACTTATTTCAATAAAAAAATGGTGCTGCGAGAGAATGAATTATGTATAGCAAAGTTGATCAAATTACATCACAACTTTATTTTAAGCGTGCAAGTCTCGGTTAGTATTGTCTTGGTATTTGTATTTACTATAAAATGGTAATATAAAAATAGTATCTATTTTATTTCAATCATATTTAAAACCACATTTAGTTTGAAAAAAGCATCAGTGTTAAGCAGCGAATCAATTACAATTAAATTGCCAATAAAAAAATGACTATGAAAAGTTTAATAACAGGGATTTAAAGGCGTATTTAAGGAATAATCACGTGTTAATACATGCAGGTGAGAATTGCTATAATTAACATAAAAAATGATTCAAACTTGTGCTAATCAGAACAACATATGGTAAGATATTAGTATGTTGCTTAGGCATGCACATATATTATTTTCCTGTTGTATTTGTTCAAATACGTACATACAGGGTACAGGTTGCAAAATTTAAATTATACTAAAAATCTTATGGAGCAATAAGTTTCTTTTTGTGGAAACATGGTATGACAACATCAAAAATTATTCAGAGTCTGCAAGGAGTATTTGGTGAGTCTACAGGATCGATTATAGAACGCGTCTACATCAGACAAACCTCAAAATCAGACTGAACAATGTTGCACTGAATAGTTGCATAAACAAGTCTGATTAATAACATTGTCTAAAAGTTTTGCAAAATTTAATTAAAGCACAATTCCAAAACCTTTGGAAACATCTCTCGTGTTTCCTTTAAAAATTCCATACCTCTAATCTAATTAGATAATTGTCATAAGATAAAATTTAGTTTATACATTTTTATACCAACATCCCTCGTAGTTTTTGTACTACACCCTTCATTAAAAACGTATTATTAAGGAGAAGGCCTACAAAAAAAACAAATGTTAACCTTTTATCTTTTATTATTTCACTTACAATGAGGATAAGCAAACTTTCGCGAATTTCAGCAAGGACGGAAGGATATTTAAAACGATCGTAACTCTTTTCTTACGTACTAAATTTTGTTTAAACTTTTTCACTTCCTCCAATTGGCGCGTGGAGAAAGTCGAAGCTAACAGTACCAAAGCACTGTTCTGTATTAACTAGTTCATTTGAAATTGGAATAGGAGAAATAACAACATGCAAAGGCATATTGGGGAGACGTAAAAATTATTTGGCATAGCACAGGCAGTTCGAATGCTGAAAAATACGGCAGAAAATGCATGTAATTTACAACGGGGGTATCCAAATGTCCCCCGTCATTTCGTTCTCGGCTTGCAGGAGCTCGCTCAACTGGCATTCGGACGCCAGCGGATGACGCTTCGCCAATTCCTTCGCTTTCCTCGTGAATTTTATGACCTAAATCAACTCAAATTTATTCAACTCTACTACTAATGAGTACTAATATAACGTACCTTATTAACCATAGCTTTAATTTGTCCGTTACTTATAGGGCTGCTTTTGGTTGCCATGTCTAAGGCAAAAGGCCAAACTCTAACCCAACCGCCTTCCCTCGGCTTGGGATAGTTCCAATCCCTTCCATTACCCCAAGGTTTCGATTCCGATTTTCGGGAATCTTCGTAAGTCTATAAAGCAACGAATTATACCAGATTGTTTTGGCACGATTCTTCTACTTACTGGTTTTGTACCGTTGTGTATAAGTGAAGCTACTGGTCGAACATCAACGTGGACTTTTGGCAATGTCATGTAAGTCTCTACGAAATAACGTTAATGTATTGCGAATTTATGTCGGTTTTTACTTACTTTGAATATTGGCAGATGTGGTCCTATTTCTAATCCTCACGGCAGAATTCGTCCTGGAATTAGCGGCTGACATTTTCTTTTGCTTTCTTCTCCACCTGCCCGCGGCGTTCACCACCGAAATCGTGTTCATTAAAGCTATGTTCTCTTGATCTTCTCTGGAAACGTGACTAACATTAAAGAGAATTAGGATAAAAAATTATTTTCCTACCGGTTTTCTTCGCAATCGTTGCAAATATCAAACACTGAGAGACCTGTATTGTACAGAGGTAAACCCAGCAAATCGAACATATCGTGCAGCATAGGCTTCTTCACTAGCCTATCGGCGTCGCAGTCATTGCTGAGCGCGGGACTCAAATTTACCTAGAATTAATTGGAATAATAATCACGTTTCAAATCTACTCTACACTTTCCATACTTCCAACAACCAAGGTCTCAAAGAACTGTCGATCAAAACATCGAAACCGAAGAATTCGAAGCAGTTAACCGTAGGAGGTATCTGATTCACATGACTCAGCACGGTCAGAATCACCAGCGATGTAATCCTCTGCCAAAGCAACCAGTCCGAGATGCCCGTTTGCTGGAAATACCGCCGCAATTGACGCAAATTCCACTTACAACCTGATGAAAAAATTAAATTTACATAGTTTAATCAAGGATATTGAACCGTGGACCTGGATCCATGGATCCTGAGCTGTGCATTGAGTTTCATAAACCTTGAAGCATATGTCTCAATAATTCAATGAACTAGTCATGAAGGATCTATAGATATGACCATGGACCATTTGGACCTCAAGGAACCATCTATTAATCTTACCTGTTTGAGGTCAATGAGTCAAGGTCTAGTAATCACAGCCTTCGATAAAACCTAATTGTTCTAACCTGATCCCACTCTGTCCTTCATTTCGGTGTAGCCGGGCCCCAGTTTGTTTATGGACGAATTTGTGAGATGCCTGAAGGGGTTCCTAAGATCGTTGAGGCTGAATTTATCGGTGCCGAATCGAGCCAAGCCTTCCTTGTACATGTAGATGGTAACCGGATGGTACGAGGGAATGCACACGTACAAGCGCAAGTCGAATTTGTAACCGCCGATCAGCAGCGGCTTCTCGATGTACCTTTGGACTATCGTGTTCGTGTCGTAGTTCAATTCGCTTAGTTTCTGCAAAAATGGTTTACCTAAAGGTTGGATTCAGGTGAATTTGTTGAGGGGTTTACCCTAAAGAGGAATATCCCTCGGCCTTGGCTCTGAGCCACAGGTTTGCATATCCAAATAGGCTTCTCCTCGAAGTATTTGACGTCTTCTTTACTGCTGTGCGGCCTTCCTCTGCTGCACTCCGCTGCCAGTTTGGTGTATTCTAGAGGTAAATTGTATCCGTGCGGGCTATAAAGGAACATAATTACAAACGAGAAGATTTCAATACGCTCGACTTGATACCTGAAATCATAAATCGATCCGTACACCTTCTTCATACACCTTAAATATCTCACTAAGTTGTCCTTTCTGCATATCGACGAGCCTTTGGGAATGTGGTTCAAGAATTGCCAGGCGTACAGGCTTCGATGGTGGCTGACGGGAAAACCTGAGGTTCTCCACCACAGGTTCCAACTTTCGTGGTCACCTGAGTACTCTCTCCATCCTCTCTCTAAGCAAACCTACCAAGAACCCATAAAAAAGTATGGTTTGTTATAGTTTTCTTCTACGGTGGTTATATATTTTAAAAGAATAATATTTCTAAGATGGTTCGTTGAATAGTAAAGCTATTTAAATACCATCCGGTATTTTCACAGGCCTTATTTATAATTTTCAAATGCAGGTTTTCGCGGATGAAAATGACGCACGTGTGTCAAAGTAGGCCCGCGATTATACGGTATAATTAGAACGCGTTTTCTTCGCGAAAGTTTAATATAATTCAACGAGTAAATTAGTTTGGGCTTAAAAATAGAACAAAACACGCTGATAATCACATACAATGGGCGCTCTAAGTTACAAACGGTGCCATCCGATAACGTTTCATAATTTGAATTCGTTTACAGTTTACCAGAAGTTTTCCGAACGTTTTCTATCTGTTTGATTGCGGTCATAGGCGTAATGAATTTTTCTAAAGAATTTTAATAAGAGAGGAAGTTAATTTATTTCTTAGTTACTGTGTTAATTAAAATTTAATACTCCCATTTTTATTTCCATGTACCTAGTGATGAAAAATTATACGTACAGGGTGAGCTAATAGGAACCAACTTTCATTAATGAATAAAAAATGTGTTTTTTGGAATTTTTATTAAAGTTACGGTGTAATTAAAAAGTTCCAATCAGTGATTATTTTCTAACAAAATTAAATCTTCCTAACTCTTTGTATTGAGGACACTTCTTAAGTACAACTTTACTTAAATTTCCTATTAATTCCATTTAAAAATCAATAAATTCTAAACTTTATGATTTTTTAAATGCAATATCAATTTTTATGCCTTTCTTCGGACGCGCCTCTGAATTACACGTTTATCTACAGCAGATCGCATGCTACATGGCCGTAATCCATTGAGGTATTAGTTACGTTACCAATTTTCATTAAAATAACCCGACTTGAAATTAACAATTTTAAACATCAATCATTTGTTTCCAAAGTTATTTCAAGTTTGAACCGGCGAATAATACGGCGGATTTCTAGGTCAGTAACGGTTAAAGAGCAGCGGGTAAACACTGTCGTGTGAATAATGTGCAGATAATCGATTCATAAAAGCGTTTTGATTGAGCTGTAGCCATACGAATAGTTTCTTTATTTCCGTACTGTCTATTCAACTGGGAAACTTGCGATATTTATCGTTTAATGGCCAAATTGTGGTTGATTGATGATTTTATTTGCAACAGCTGTAATTAGAATTTAGGATTGTGCCAGATGAAAAGTTGATAAAAGTTTTAATAACTTCTTAAATTAAAAGTTTATTTAAATAATTAATATACTTTATGAATGTTGAAAAGTTAAGATAGATTAAAAATGTGTTAATATTATTTTATAACTATAATTTAATAACATTTTATTTACTGTTTATTTTAATTCGACTTTGCTTTTACATTAATATGCAAATCGGCAACTCGCTTTCTAAAAATACCATCAAATTGTTCATACAAATCAAATTTAGTTGATGATTAATGTTTCTTTGTTACCGAAATGCCATTATTAAATTAATTAAATCGTTTACGGATCTTCGTGAATTTACTTCAATCCGATATCATTATGGAGTTCTAGATGTGATTTTGGCAAAAATCAATTCACTTTATATTTGATTAAATACGTATTTAATATAAAATAAACTGCCGTTACGAATTCAAAATATACACCGTACACGCAACGTAGGATCTATTTTAACCTTGATTTTGGAATTGGGGCAACTGAAACTATTGTTGCAGGAATTGTCAAAGCGGCATTTCCTGCTGTATGCACTTTATGCTGCGTACGTTTCTATTTTGCGCTGGAAACTTTTCTACTAATTCGTACCTGAAACGTGAGTTTGCCTCAAAATTACGATATATTTCCTCGCAATGCCCGTTTTGGCATTAAGCATAATCGCATATATTACTCTTGCATCTAAATTTAGAGTTAATTACTTAAATTGTTATCTCGAAATGTCAACGTTGTTGGAAATACCTGCGAAATATATTGCTTCGCAAAAATATACTTACCTGACTTCGTGTTAATTTTATCCTGCAATATTTTATCTAATTCTACAAGAATGTTCAAACCTGTGTCAGTAATTGAGGACCTGCTCCATTTTCGTTGATTCTGAAGATGAACGGTCCATTTCCGAAACATTCTTCAAACATGCTGGATTAGAATTGGGCTGGAATTTTCTACGATTTATTGGGCTACTTTTCTTTTCCACTGCAAGCAAAATAACAGTTTCTTTTCCAGAATTTTATGAAATATGATTTATTTGGGTACATTAAATAATACATTACTAAAGATCAAAAACTAGAAATTAACCGATTTTAATTACCCAAATGGCGGAATCTCTAAAATCTGCCAAACTATGTTTACATTTTTCGGTCCAATTTTTACCCAATACATCGAACACTATTCCCAAAATAATGAATTTATTTATAATTTCATAGTCGAGCATTTTCGCTTGAGGATCTTCCGTAATTATCGCTGGCTTTAATTCAAAATTTTAAATGAAATTTATCGCAGATAAATAGAATAGCAAACCGAAAATACTTATCTGAAAATAGAATCTTTACGAAGAAATCTGAGTTGAAATAAAAATATAACTTTATTGGTATTAATATAAATATCGGAATTGCATGACATTAAAACTAATCGCTGGAATTATAGTCAATAAGTTAAGCTTTTTTTATCGAATCGAATTTGTTCCTTTGGATTTATGATTCTAGGATTTAAATGAGAAGACATTTCTGAAATTAATAATGAATAAATTTAATCTACCTGTTTCTAAAATTAAATAGACGATTTAGGAAATAAATCAAGTTAAAATATTACTGCATAAATATATCCTTTTAATTAAAAAATCTAAGAAATGAAATAGATAAAAGATTAAAAAATCTTCTCATAAATATTGCAGGTATTTGCAAAAATTTTCGGAAATACTCTTGAAACGCAATTACGTTTCCTACAATTTTATAAGGATTGTTATGTGTATGAATTGATTCTAGAAAGACTATACCTAAAATTTCATATTGAATAAGTAGGTAAATAAATTGAGCGTTTACTAAATTCTACGTTTCCTTTAGCGCTGCTTGTCGGCATGAAGTGTTATAAATTCATCTATCCGTTTCCTTTCTGACATATATCTTTAGGAGAGAAAAATGGTTTCCGTGAGCTTCGTGCATTTTTTCATTTCCGCACTCACAATCGGAAAGGACATAAATCAATAATTTCGCCGAATTCAGTTTCACATCCAGTTTATATTTGCATAATGAAACGGGCTAAAATTTCGATGTTAAGTGATATTTATTGGAAAAAATTTGTACGAAAATTACTGCTTGATTGGTAAAATTACTTAGTGATAATTAATGTATCTATAAGTGGATTTTAATATTCGATTTTTCAAGTTATGTAATTTTTTTCTAGTTAGTATAATAATTACACCGTAAATAGAGAAAATAAATAAGAGCTGTGCTTACTAACATCACTGATGTTTTGAATTTCTCTAAAAGGTTTATTTGGTAGAAAGATTTGTCTATTATATTTTTCACTTCATTTTTAATTAGTTAATTGAACTTAAGTGGTAAAGTAAAACAGTAGTAAAAAATAACAATAAAAAGTTTATAATAAAATAATGATGATATCTCTTTAGTAATATATTTGCATAATTTTATGTTATTCATTATAATGATAAAAATAATGATTTGCTGCTTTAAAGACATAAAATTATAGGTAGGTATCCAGAGACAATATTTTATAAAATCAAAAATGTAATAAAATTTATTGATTTATAGTTTTTTTTTAATAATAAATATCAAATGTTACCCATTACATTTTCTAAAACTTAGTAGATATGTATTTTATCAGACATTTCAAAAAAAGCAATTATTAAAATTGTCTGAAAAAAAATTTAAGCATCAAAATTCAATTAAAATTTCCACGAGAATACTATAAAAAAAACTAATTAAATTTAATACAAAAAAAAATCGGAAGAACCTCGACTATCATCACTTACCAATCATTAATAAACCCAAGCACGAACAGATCGGGCGAATTCCAACCAAATACAACGGCGACTTCCGTACGCTTCAGCAACCGACGAAAAACTTCCGGTGCAAAATCGCCGATCGGGACGACCGCGATGCGCGACGCCGGGAAACGGGGCGCTCGCAGCGTCACCGGCGGCGTCACGACGTCGTCCTGGCCGAAATCACAGTCAGCTGTGTCATGCGAATCCGGAACCATTCATATTCGCGGCTATTGGGGGTTTTTCGGGTTTTTGTACCAGCTTACGTCAGAGCCTGGGTGTGCCATTCATTGACATTCTCGGGGGAGTATCGAGTGTGACCGCGTTTGGATTTGGAGGGATTGCGCTATTTTTAGAGCTTTTTTTACTAGGGGCATATAGGCCGTTTATTAGAGCTTTTTTCTTTTGCTACATGGGGTAGAGATCAAATAGAAATTTTGAAATTTTTGAAATATAATTAGAAATTATTTCATCATTGATTACAAAATACCATCTTAATTACACAGAACGTTTATTCCATTTAAAGACAAATATAATGAAAATAATTTCAAAAGAGCTTTTTGTGCAGCTTAAATAGCCTGTAAAATTTTTGTTAGAAAACACAATACCTACTCAAATGTATCAAGCCTGTTTATTCAACAAACATACACTATACATACATATAATACCCACTAGAAAAAAACTTTGTTTACAAAACTATTAATCTCTCTTTCTTATTCTTACAGGAACTCCATTTTTCGATACTAGTATTATTTCAGGAGCTATTTTCAGTTCGGGGTTTGGATTTGCTGGTAGCAGTTCGAAGTTTCGCACTATCTTAGACAATATAGATTTTAATTGTGCCATTGCGAATTTTTGACCTATAAACGAAAAAACTATCAAATTTAAATTCATGCTATTATTATATGTTTATAGACATAGTTAATACACTGCAACATTAGATTTTTAAGAACCATTAAAAATTTAATTCAATATTATTTATTACCTATGCAATTTCTCGGTCCACTGCTAAAAGGAATGAATCTGTAGGGATGTTTACCGTCTACATCTAAAAATCGTTCTGGAATGAACTTCATTGGATCCTCATAATATTCTTCGCTTCTATGAATTAAATAAGGAAATATTGTGATTGTCAGATCTTTGGGGAAAACGTTACCTTCTAAAATATAAATTAATTTTGGAGAGTTTATATTTACCTTATAAACAAGACATGTCTGTAATTGATGAGCAAAAAACTTAATGACAGATTCAGTAGATAGCGCCTAAACATATGAAATTCCTGTAAATATTTGCAGGTAAAGTACATAAAAAATTGTAGGTATTATATGCTTGTTAGATCTTTTCGTATTATTTTAAGATACAAAATCGCCCAGTAGTTCTTATGCTCATCATTTACAGATCTATCCCTTTAAAAAACCTTATAAATCTTACCCCACTCAAATTCTTCTGTGGTTTTTCGCACAAACAAAGGCACAGGAGCGTACATCCTCATCGACTCTTTGATAACCATATCTAAATATTTCATATCTTGCAAATCTGCATACGTGGGTTTGGCCGATTTTATGTCACCGAACATTTCTATCTGCTCTTCCAACGTTTTTTGCTTTAATTAAATAAGATAAATTAATAAATAAAATAATAAAATAACCATTGCTAACTACCTGTACGGATGGGTTGTTGGCCAAAGCATGTAAAGTAAACGAAATGGTGGAAGCTACAGTATCGTGACCCTACAAAAATTAACATAACTAACATAACATCACTATTAATACATCATTAATAGGTACATGTATTTTTTGTCGATTACCTGATGATGAAGACGTGTGTTTATATTATTCTGTGTAAATCCAATGTACACATTTAAAATTTTTATACAACATGTGATTTTTCTCTATTGATCGAGCATCAAGGCTGTATATTTTTTGTGACAGTGGAATCTATCAATGTTTTTTTTTATAACTTAGGTACTCATTTCGATTCAAAAACTATTAAAATTTAAGTCACAGATATGTATAAAAAATATTTAATAACTGATAAAAAACAGGTATTGCTACTAATATTTAGTTTAGTTGTTAGTGTAATCCTATAATTTATGTTTTTATGAATTCATTATAAATTCAGATTTTTTTTCCATGAAATTGCTCATGTTGTAATAAAAAATCGTAATTAATTAAATTGAATATTGACAAATTGTTAGTATTTTTGAATATCTATACGATTATTTAACATAGTTAAAAATATTTATTCTTCGTTCTCTTATTGCCTCGTTTTATGATACTGTTTAGTATTAATATAAAAGACTCAACACCGATTATGGATTTTAAACTCACCGCAAACATAAATGTATCTACTTCATCTCTAATATCTGCCTTTGATAATGGTTTGCCATCACAAGTAGCTCTTAGGAGCAAGTCCAAGAATGAAACTTTCTTTTTAATTCCAATATCGTCTTCGCTTTGTTCGCTCTGATTTTCTGTGCTATCATTCATTTCTTGCATTTTCTGATCTATAACGGCTTCAGAATATGAGTGTAGAACTTTTAGCGCTTTTCGCTCTCTGTAAAAATTGTACGTAAAAGGATAAAAAACTGGGTGTAACGGAGAAAAACCCCTTTCTACTATTATCTGGCAAGTAAGTTTGGCTGCTTCTACATATTGAGGCTCGCCGTTCATTTGGGCGTTGAGTTTGGTGCCCATGGAAGATTCTGAAACAACGTAGAAAAGGTAGTAAAATGAATTTAATTTCTTAAAATTCTCTATTCTTACCGCATATTACATCTAGGGCATAAAGTGTTATCAATTTATTAATATCAAAACTCTCACGTCCATCGTAGGATTCTAGATTTTTTAATAGTACATCTCCGCAGCTTTCGAAAATGTCAACGAAGTTTTCAAGGATTGTAAAGTGGAAAGCTGGTGTTAACATGCGACGGCGAGCTTTCCATTTTTTGCCTGAAAATATTTATTAAAAATCTCCCAAGAAATATTTTGTTGTTGAAAATCAAGGATTTTCAACTTTATTTCGACATTATTGTTTAACTATTTTTTTAAACTAGAGAATTTATAGAACGAATGGAAGTATTTGATATGAAATAATTGCGGATCTGATTTTTTTCTATTTGATTAACACACATGGTTCAACTTACCTGAACTAATAAATAATCCATCTCCAGTCCAATTTCGGAAAAACAAATATTGATCCCCTTTCACTGTTTTGTTGGAGTTCATTATGAATTCCACGAATTTTTCATCACTAGTTATCACAGCCATTTTGAAGGGGCCATAATAGAGTTTTGTTGTGCCTCCGTATTTCTTTATAAAATTCGATAAAACATCGAGCAATTCTAAAAAGCACTTTCTGCACTTATTCGGCGATATCAAATTTTAAAATGAAATACATACTGTAAGTAGGACCGTAAAATTCCAACATGTTCCCGAAATAGGCATTGGGCCGAGGGCCTGACATGTTCTTCAAATATTTATCATTTTTTCTCACGAACCTATTGTGTAAATAAATCGGTAGCACAAATAACAATGTTAACCAGCAAATAATATACTCCAACATAATTATTGCCTTGATTAAACACCATAACCAATCAAGCACTGAAATACGTATGATTTAGTCGCAACGGATTAACAATTTATATCATTAGCCCGGTCCAAGGTCGAAAATTTTGAATTTCCAGGTGATTTGATGAATAAACCGGTACAGAAGAGGGTTTTTTTTCCGATGAATGCAAAATATAAAGATTGAAGTGCATATGTATAACTTTTAACACTGCTTCGGAATGAGATTTTAGATTAGTAATGTTTATTGCCAGTCTAAGGCCCACCGCTCACGGAGCAACTGTTTTGAAATAAAGATTTCAATCTGGTTTAGTCTGTAACCAATTTACAACTAATATTAAACTTCTGTACACACACGGATGCGACTATTATAAAATAGTTTCAATCAGTTGCCGTAGTAATTTATCGAATGTCGAATGAATCACACCAGAAATTGGCAAGAAATTAAAGCAACTTGAAACTGCAAATCGACTGCGACCGCGGGAAATGGTCGGGTACAACGGGTTTATGATTCATTGCAAACTAGTTTCATTTGAATCGACTTGTGTGCGGTTCCACACTACTGTACATTGCCGAGGTTGCAAAATAGTTGCAATATCAACTAGTTTACAACTTTTATTTTAAAACAGTTGCTCCATGAGCGGTCGGCCTAATTGATACCTGAAAAATTTACCTGTTTCTTGGATAAATAAGAACCGGTCAATATAATTTCAATAAAATGTACCATCCCCACACTGACATAGTATTAGGAATTAAACAAATCAAGGACCGCTCTCAATAAAAAAGGGGTAAATTATTTCAAACATATAATAGTTCAATAATAATTATAATAATAATAGTTCAGTAAAAATTTGTCTTTACTATTAATTTTTCTTAAAGCTTAATTGTTAATATACAATTAAAAAAAAAACGTATACATGGTATAATATTAAGTTCTATTTCTATTATTAGGTCAATTTTCAGTATTTGAAATTATTTACCCTTATTTTGAATAATAATTTTCGATAGAAAGAAAAGAAAATTTCATAAAAATCCATAAATCAGCCTGTATTTCTTTAAAGAAAAGGAAGAGCATGGAGGTGAAGGATGGAATGAAACTATATAACTTTTAACTCGTTCTAATTAAGTGATTCTATACATTTGGTAAATATGTATTGTTCCTCACGACTCACACTGTATAATGAAAATAATTTTTTTGCATAATACAATATCCTGTATAATTTTTGGTTGGAAAACACAATGAAAAACTATATTAAGACTGTTTATTTATCAAACTTACACTACAAACTATTGCACCCACTAAAACAAACTGTCAATGTCTCTTCCTTATGCTTATGGTAATACCATTTTTTGATACTAGTATTATTTCAGGAGCTATTTTCAGTTCGGGGTTTGGATTTGCTGGTAGCAGTTCGAAGTTTCGCACTATCTTAGACAATATGCATTTTAATTGTACCATTGCGAATTTTTGACCTAAAAACGAAAAAAATTTCAGATTCAAATTCCTGGTCTTATCTACATGCTATGACATCGTTAATACTTTGCAGCATTAGAACCCTTAAAAATTTAATTCAATATTATTTATTACCTATGCAATTCCTCGGTCCACTGCTGAAAGGAATGAATCTGTAGGGATGTTTACCGTCTACATTTAAAAATCGTTCTGGAATGAACTTCATTGGATCTTCATAATATTTTTTGCTTCTATGAAGTAAAAATTGATATATCCCGATAGTGAGATCTTTGGGGAAAACGTTACCTTCTAAAATATAAATTAATTTTGGATAACATTTATACCTCTATATCGAAAAAAAAAATACGAGAGATCCAGTACCAATAAACATATGAAAATTTCTGTATAAGTTTGTCCTAAAACAAATTAGAAGTTTGTCTAGATGATTCAATTAGGTATAGCTCCCTTGAACTTAAGAAAAAAATGTTGGATATTTTCGTATTATTTTTAGACGCAATATCTTCTTATGCTTATCATTTCCATATCTTTCATTTTAAAAACCTTACAAATCTTACCCCATTCAAATTCTTCTGTGGTTTTTCGCACAATCAAAGGCACAGGAGCGTACATCCTCATCGACTCTTTGATAACCATATCTAAATAGTTCATATTTTGCAAATCTGCATACGTGGGTTTGGCCGATTTTATGTCACCGAACATTTCTATCTGCTCTTCCAACGTTTTTTGCTTCAATTAAATAACGTAAATTAACAAATAAAATAATAAAATAACCATTATTAACTACCTGTACGGAGGGGTTGTTGGCCAAAGCATGTAAAGTAAACGAAATGGTGGAAGCTACAGTATCGTGACCCTACAAAAATTAACATGCATAACTAACATAGCATCATATACAGAGTGTCCATGTTCGATCGCTGCAAACAGTAGAAAGAGAGAATCAGTCGAACTGTGGAAAGACGCGGCTTCGGCGCGATGAATCGGCGGACGAATGTAGCGCTCGACCTTAGACACATTGTATTAATATATCATTAATACATAGGTACCTATGTATATTGTTTTTGTCTCGCTCAATTCCCTAATAAGGAAGTCGTCGTGTGTTTATATACTTTTGTGTAAATCCAGTGTAGGTGCACATTTAAAATTCTCATACAAGTCATTTTTCTTTATTGATCGAGGATCAAGGCTGTAAATTTTTTGCGACAGTGGAATCTTTCAATGTTTTTTTTTTCATAACTTCCTCATTTTGATTTAAAAACTATTAAAATTTAAGTCATAGAGATGTATAAAAAATATTTAATATGTAACTTATAAAAAACAGGTATTGCTAGTGTATTTAGTTTAGTTTGTTAGGTACTCCAATAATTTATGTTATTATACGAATTCTTATAAATTCAGAATTTTTTTTAACCATGAAATTGCTCATTATAGTCATTATTGTTATTAAAAAATCATTAAAAAGAAAAAATATTTAATTAAATTAAATATTGACAAATTGTTAATATTTTTCAATATACGATTATTTAACATAGTTAAAATATTTATTCTTCGTTCTCTTATAGCCTCTTTTTATGATCTTGTTTAATAGTTCTAGGTTCATGTTAATACTAAATCGTAATTTTATTAAACTACGTAATACCTATTATACAAAAATTCCAACACCGATAAAATCCATAGATTTTAAACTCACCGCAAACATGAATGTATCTACTTCATCTCTAATATCTGCCTTTGATAATGGTTTGCCATCACAAGTAGCTCTCAAGAGCAAATCCAAGAATGAAATTTTCTTTTTAATTCCAATATCATCTTCGCTTTGTTCACTCTGGTTTTCTGTCCTATCATTCATCTCTCGTATTCTCTGATCTATAACAGCTTCAGAATATGAGTGTAGAACTTTCAGTGCTCTTCGCTCTTTGTAAAAATTGTACGTAAAAGGATATAAAACTGGGTTTAACGGCGAAAAACTCCTTTCTACTATAATCTGGCAAATAAGTTTGACTGCCTTTACGTATTGATTCTCCCCGTTCATTTGAGCGTTGAGTTTAGTGCCCATGGAAGATTCTAATACAACATAGAAAAGGTAGTAAAATGAATTTAATTTCTTAAAATTCTCTATTCTTACCGCATATTACATCAAGGGCATAAAGCGTTATCAATTTATTAATATCGAAACTCTCACGTCCTTCGTAGGGTTCTAGGTTTTTTAGAAGTACATCTCCACAGCTTTCGAAAATGTCGACGAAGTTTTCAAGTATTGTAAAGTGGAAAGCTGGTGTTAACATGCGACGCCGAGCTTTCCATTTTTTGCCTGAAAATATTTATTAAAAATCTCTGAAGAAATATTTAGTTGTTGAAGAACAAAGAAATATCAACTCTTTTTTGGAAATCTATTCAAATGCACAGTTCAAAGGTGAAAAACGCTTATTGCGGAAAAATCGCTTTAAAGCGAAACTGCAGTTTAATATTTAATGAAGCGGCAAAATTCCTGATACTTTCAGTTGAGACCGATTTTATTAGCATGTTTCGGAACTTAATAATAAAATTTAATAATAAAATAATGAAGTTTAATTGACTGGATTTGATTGGGTCACATTGTTCAACTTACCTGAACTAATAAATATTCCATCTCCAATCCAATTTCGGAAAAACAAATATTGATCCCCTTTCACTGTTTTGTTGGAGTTCATTATGAATTCCAAGAATTTTTCATCACAAGTTAGCACAGCCATTTGCAAGGGACCGTAGTAAACTTTTATTATATTTCCGTATTTTTTTGTATAATTCAATACAACGTCGAGTATTTCTAAAAATGTCCTTTCGGTGTTTATTCGGCCTTATCAAATTTTAAAGCAGAATACATACTGTAATTTGGGCAGAGAAAATCCAACATGTTCCCTAAATAGGGATTAGGCCTAGGGCCTGGCATGTTTTTCAAATATTTCCCATGGCTTTTCACAAATCTATTGTGTAAATAAATCGGTAGCACAAATAACAATAATAACCAGAAAAGAATATACTCCAACATAATTTTTATTTTAATTGAACACCCTAACCCATCACTTAGTGAAATACATATGATTAAGTCGCAACAGGTTATATCATTTATATATATAACAAGTTAATAATTTAATACAAGTTAAGAATTTATACTGTTAGCTAGATCCAAGGTCGAAAATATGGAATTTTTCAATTTTGTATCTTAAACCGGTACAGAAGAGGATTCTTCCACTGTAGATGAAGAATGCATGAAACTTATCGTGAATTTGCAGCGCTTCCGAATGAGAGTTTACTATTTATGGCAAAACTTGTAAAATTTACCTGTTACCTGGATAAATAAAAACTATTCAATATTATATGTATATCTTCAATAAAATAAATAAATTGGAATTGCTGTCGTTATCATTGACTAAATTACATAAATTAAAAGTTGGTGAAGGATTCATTAATATCCCACACATAATAAAATGCATGAATTTATTTACAGAACAAACATGTTTAAAAGATAAAAATTAAATACGTATAGTATATAAATGTAAAAACATTCAACGTCTTTTTCTTATTCTTACTGGAATACCATTTTTCGACCTAATGCTAGGGACCAACTTACGAACAAAAAGTCCGGGTTGGGATACAAAAATTCAAAAATATAAAATTATTAATTATATTAATTTATAATTGATTACCTATACAACTTCAATTAAAATTTACATATCTGTGTACTTGAGTTTGGCTGATCTTAAATTTTGTCACCGAACATTTCTATCTCCTCCTCCAAAGCTTTTTGCTTCAATCAAGAATATTAAGAAATGTCTATATCACTCATTATTTTCATTATTCCAAATATTTAATAGTTTAGGTAAAAAATGATGACGGAATTTTTGATAGAACCATCAATTAACTATCTATAAATTTTATTTAATTATTACCTGTTTCGTCGAATCATTTGCCAACAATTAAGAAATCGATAAATAAATCGTATCATGTATCATGACCCTGAAACAACAAGAAATTGCATAACTTTTAAACTATTAAAAATTCCTTATTAATACAACCGACTAGACATGTTAATTATAGACTAACCATAAACATAAATGCATCAACTTCTTCTCTAATATCCGCACTTGACAATGGTTTGCCTTCACACGTAGACCTCAACAGCAAATCCAAGAGAGCGACTTTCTTGTTAATTCCAATAAAATTTAAAAAACTAGAACCATCTTTAGGGCTTCTAAAAGTGTTATAACTCCACCTATAAACAAAAAAAAATCTCTAAAATTCAACGAAAAAAAAAAACATTTAAAAATCCTAAAAAGACTGGTACCAAATATAGTTATACCTACATACAATTCACGTACATACCTTTAGAGTATTTTTTCTTTTAGGTAATAACCAATATATTTAATAATCTATTTAGAAATTATTCTAACTTTGGCTAGATCACCCTGTATGTATGAAATAACTGCAATTATATTATTTTTCACCTTACCTTCACTGAGGAACAAACCTCCAATCCAGTTGCTAAAGTATCCGATTTTCTATTTCCTATACAATTCATTGTAAACTCAACGACACTTTCATCTGCGATAATTACGGTCAGTTTTCAAAAATATAGGTAATATCAAGCATAACAATAAACCCACAATGTATTTTGAAACAAAGAACCTATATAATAAGTATAGGAAAAACGCACTAAAATTAAACCGAATATAATGTGATTTTTTAATTGGAATATAGACAAAATATAGATAATCGAATGCGAACATTATAAAGTACCTTATTAAATTTGATATGGTCATAAATATGTATAATCTGAATTTAAATTATACAATACGACAATACGAGCATATTCACAATTTCTATCTCTCATAAAGTAGAATCTTTTTTAAGTATTTTTAATTATTAAGTATCTACTATTTTTTATTAAATAGTAATTCATGATACCTCTACGTCTTTTATTCTTCCTAATATGTTCTTGGAATTAAAGTTGAAATAGACGTTGAACCCTGGTAGGAAAATTTCACATTCTATCATCCAATGAGACACGCTTTCGAATAGCCTGAGTAATAAAAAAAATAAGGAAATTTTCGTAGCTTGAATAATAAATTATTTTTTTTCTATTGAAATTAGCATATTTTATACACCCAGAGTAATTAGTAAAAATAATCTAAAAAAAATCAATAAATTAAACAGGAACGTTATAAACACTTATTTATTCTCCTCCTTTATTTATATTTATATTTGAAATGTCCGGAATTCGACATTACCTATAATAAATATTTTAATCCTTATCCTTGACCACCAAATACTGCATTATTAAAATTTTTTGCATTCTTTGCAAATTTTAGCATTAATTAATTAACAAACAGAATTAAGTTACTAAACGCGAACTTAAATTAGAGTTCATTGACAGTCATGAACTTCAAATAATTTTGTTATAAAGTTTAATGGGATTTAAAATGTTAAAAACTCATGGATAAAATCATGGAAAAACACAAACTGGAATAATTCTTTAACAATTAATAATAAAAAACTACTTATAAGGGCTTAATGTTTGATATTAAAAACCTTTCCATAGAAACCAAAACAAGCGGGGTATCTGGTAGGCATCATATTATCTACTTGTAGTTCAAAAATTTCGTATTTTATAATAAATTAATGTTTATTAAATAAATTAATAAATAAATAAATAACAGCTATCTATCGAGCAACAACTAAGGAAATATTTCAAGCAATTCCGAATTCGCGTTAAAATCCATTTTATCCTTCCCCTCGAGCCCTTGCGCCGGTATTAACAGAACAAATCGCTGCGTCGAGGCCCCAGGGGGGCGCACTATGGCTGCCAAAAACGGTAACCTTTGGGTGATAGTTTGGGCGATATTTTGTATACCGGAGCCCACGTTTTGAGTGAGCCCCTGGAAAGTCGAGCCGACGTTCTGGGCGATGCCCCCCAAGTTGGTAGCCCAGCCGCCCACTGTGCCCCCCACCGTAGCGAAGGTGTCCGGCACGTTGATCTCCACCGGGAAAAAGTTTGAGGATTGGATCCAGTTCCCAATGAAGTCCAGCGGACCTCTCGGCTTCGAGTTGAAATTGGATAAACTGAAAAAAATTGTAATGATAACAGTAATAACATTAATCAGATTATATGGTAAGTTAATAAATTAGAATTTGCGGATATAGACAAACCTGATGGGAACCAGCACGAATTTCGTATCGCTTGCACTAACTGGAAATGCAAATATCTCGGATGAACACGCGTATAGGCAGAAGCAAATCGAGGTGAATTTAATCATTTTACCGTTAAATGACTGCATGTAAGGTTCTTAAAGAGATACTAAACAAGACGCTAAAAAATTAACTATCCGAGTTGTTGTCCTCTTTTCGCTGGTAATTTGGTAGTGGGAAAATGCAAAGGCACGCCATGCCTGGTCTATCAATCAAACCGATTTGGATAATTTTTCCCAAAAAAGTAGGATGTATCGTGACTGTGGAATAATTAAAATTGCGTTCAAACAGAACCGGATTTATCGCATTTTGATGATATTTTTAAAGCATTTAATTGTTTGAAGTTTACCACAATAATCTCTGAAAAATCATTAAAGAATCTATGAAAAAAATCTTTGAAAAAGAATCTCTGAAAAGTTCACAAAGGAAGAATCTCTAAAAAATTATTGAAGAAGAATGTTTGAAAAAATCGTTGAAGAGGAACCTCTGAACGAACGAAAGAGAAATTCACCAAAGAAGAGAATCTTTGAAAAAAATATAGAAGAAGAATCTGAAAAATCATAATATGATCTAAAAACAAGGAAGAAGGCTAAAAATTGTAGACAAAAAATTTTGAAATAATTTCTCAAATAAAAATAAAAAAAAATTCCAAAAATATATGGAAAAAAAAGATAAAAAATGCCACCTTAAACTGCCATCTTGACATCTTTATTATTGTTTAACTATTAACTTTACACCTACACTTTTTCTATAAACACCTATCAATTAGAAGCCAGAAAATTTCTATTACTTACCTTATACAACTACAATTTCTTATCGATAAATCAACAGAAAAATCGAATAATTAAATATTTAAACATAACTGTCCCAGTTTCTACTTCACACATCGATCAACGCAATCGGCTTCGGCGTAATGTAAACGAAACTTTCGTTATTTGCACCTTTAGTGCTGGTAATTAGCTCCAACAGCTTTTCAGTGGAGCTCTTAGAATCCTCTCCTTTATCGATAATTTCGAACAAATTCCCATCCGAACTACCGGGCGCGCTTCCCTCCTCTACCACCGCCGCCTCTTGGGCGGGCTTGGCCACCGCGGCAACCGCGTACACCGGCTTCTCCCACGTCGGAGGCCTGCTCAAATCCTCGTGCACGTAATGCGAGTTGATCGTTTGGATCCGCTGCAGCAGGTACTCCAGCACCGGGGGCAGCTTGCTGACCGTCACCTGGGGCCCCAGGAACAGCTTGACGCCGGAACTGCCGGCGCCCGATTCGCCCGGATGCGCCCAGCAATTGCCGCAGATGAGGAGCAACGTGACCAACCGGCGCATATTGGCTGTTTGGCAAAACTGCGGGCAATTTTCACTCGAAACGTCGAAAAGAAATTAAGTGGAACACAAGAAGCAGCACCGATCGATTGGAAAGTGAAACTTTTTATTGTGCGATTTACGGTGTTAATCTGAATATGTATGCTGCAAGTTTGCACGAGGAGAATCCTTAAAAAGAAAAATTGTAATTGAGGAATATGCAGGGTAGGGTAGGCGGAGTAGGTCTACTGGGCAAAGCGGTCAATTTAAAATACAATATTGCAGATCAACTGGGCAATTTTTTGGTCTTTTTGTTAAATTGATGTACGTATAGAGTCGATTCAGAGTAGATTTAGAGAGGATTCTGAGTAGTTTTAGAGTAGATTAGAGTACATTCAGAGTGAATTCCAAGCAGATTCATAGTAAATTCATAGTAGACTCAGAGTAGATTCAAAGTAGTAGTTTACAGAGTAAATTTTTAAGGGAGATTTAAAGTAGATTGAAAAAGACTCAACAAGTATATTCAGAGAGTAAGATTTAGAGAAAATTCAGAATAGTTTTAGAGTAGTTCAAGATTAGCTTATGCCCTCTTCGACCTGCGATTCATTTTTTCTAAATTCCCATTTTTTACCATGTGGGTATAAAATATTGGGAATTGACCATTTTGACCCATCACGGGACAGGACTGTCTTTAATTTATTATTGGCCAATAAAAGTTTTCCCAGTTGACCTACTACCTTTATAGGTAGCAAAGTGCAATAATTGCAGAAAAGGATTTTATTTTATTATATTAAACGAATCCCATTCAAATTCAATTTATTATTATACAATATTTATCATTCATCATCATCTACATCATCACTTTGATCACTATCACTAATAAAGTCATCATCGAAATCATCATCGTCATCGTTGCTCACTTTTAACGAATTCAATTTTTCTAATAATTCTTCTCTGGCTTTTTCATTTGTTGCTTTCTGTTCTTCCTCTGGCACCTCTTCGTGTTGTTTCTTTTCGATGTACCTCAAGAACGTCCGCCTTTTTCTTTCGGGCAAACCGCTCAATATCTGCTTGAGCTCCAAATCCAATTCATACTGAAAAAAAGCAGATATAAGGCAAAATTTAGAGCGATATTAAATGGTTATTTTACTTGATTTTTGGGCGTCGGCGCCGCCACCACGACGTCCTTCTTCTCGCAGCACTTGGTGCACACACCCTCGTCCCTTCCGCATTTCGTGCACATGACGTGATAGGCCTGTTTCACCGTCTTCTGGCCGCATTTAACGCACGTTTTCGCCTGGCTCAGCGGCTTGTACTTCTTGTATTTGATCTTCCATTCGATGATGTCCTTGCATCTGGTGCACACGTCGCTCACTTGAATGGAATTCACCATTTTCGTGCGATGGCTGGTGTCGTGCAGGTTGTTCTTGAAAACCGACCGGTTTTGGTGCTTCTGCGGCCGCGTCCGGCTCGTGTTGCCTTTCTGGAGACTCATGAGTTATCTGGAAAAATAGTTTAAGATATATTTCAACGATACTAGGGAAATGAGGACTGGTTCGTACACTGTAAAAATTCTGTAATAGCTATGGATTGGGTGAAAATGATGTGTTCAAAATGAAGCTAGTCCTTGTAATGATGAAGATAGTCAGGTGGAAGTATAAGAAAGCAAGACTAGTGTAGGATTATGGAACTTGAAGATTTTTGAGAAAGAAGTAGGAAAGTGGTCAGGAAAAATATTTAAATTAGGGAATTTTAAACGAGGATTAAATCACACTCAATTTAGAATTCCTCGGCTGAGTTTATTTTCTTAAATAATCTACTTTTCTCTTCTACAAAGTATGTACATCCTATTTGGTCCTTTTAAGTTATAAAGTTAATATTTTTTTGTAATTTGAAACAACACTTTAAAATGCTATAATTCCCCAAGACATTGAAGTAAATTGTTTTAAATCATCCCTTTTTCAATATTAGTTCTTTTGAGAAGAATGTTTCAATCAATGCTGCTCTTTTCATTCAATAATCTCCTTAAAAAGCGATTATAAAACTATCAATATCACACTAGCACATCAGAATCTACAATACATACAGTAAGACACTATCATATAAAAATAAATATAAAAATGATTATGTCATACTTTAATAATACATAGTGTATATAGTGTATAGTGCTAAAGTTATTCGGTGGTACTAAAAAGAACTTCGTGTAGAATATTATCGGTGACGGCTTGTAAAAGTTCCTTCTCGGCTTTCGTGTTCTCTTGCACTTCATCTTCGACTATGTTTTGAAGTATTTGAAATTCGGTCGTACCGTCCCCTTCGATTTCCCGCTTCAAAAACGATGAGGATTCCTTATTTTTGGCCATGTTCACTAGCGTGTGGAACAACGTGCAGTAGTCAGTGAGATCCTTCTTCAATTCGTTGGCTAGCGTCCTGTATTGAGGCAGCTCATCGTATATCTCCGAGTAGGGCCCGGCGTTTTGAAACGTGGCCTTTTGCATGATCTCGATCTGCCGCTTGGTGCACTTCCGATACTCTTCGCTGGTGTTCACGATGAAGTCCTTCAGCTGGTTCATCAGCTGCAGAGTGGCCGACTCGCCCTCCTGTATGGCCCGCGAGATGTCCTCTTCGATTTGGGCCCCGTTGTAGTTAGTGTTCATGGTGGCTACGGCTACGGCGCAAAACACCGGCGTTCCCGCTGAAACCTCCGCTCGACCGATCTTGTGCAGTCTCCGGAGATCGTTCAGCCGTCGCCTCGCGAAACAAACTCTGCAACATCGCGCACATTTATTCATAAATTTGAGTGGACGGAACATGGATCAAAACATTTAGGATTAGGGACTGGACCGAATTTCAAAGTGAAAAGTTTGACATTGATGAGATTTGAGCGCGTGTTCGCCGTCTCCGTCGCGCTCGGTACGCGCCGCTGCGCCCGTCTCTGTTTAACGTCACTTAACCTAGAAAATTTGAAATATACAAAATGAAATTCTTCCGCTTTCAATCGACCACTAAATTCATCGAGAAAAATAAGCATTTGAGGACCCATTCGATTCAGACGGGCCTGCTGATGGGCGCGGGGGACTGCATCGCCCAGACTATCGTGGAGAAAACTGATTACAATCAGATCGATGGTCGACGAACGGCCAGATATGCTTTCGTAGGATTAGTTTTTGTCGTAAGTACTCACTTATTTGTATTCAGAAGGGTTCACTAATTTAGTAAGGACTCCAAAGGAATGTAAACAGTTGCGTGCGGACTTGTGAGAAAGTAAATATTTGTTGGATTTGTAGGTTAAATAAGTTAGGTTATGGTATAAATTTGACAGTTGTACGAAACAGGTCCGGCATTGCCCTATTTGCTCTCGGCAAAAATTATAAATTGTTAGTAAAAATTTGCATGTATCGATTGGTTTTTGAAATTTAAACGTGTTTTACTGCAATTTTACCATTTTTTTTTTGTTAATAACAACTGATTAATTGATTTCCCAGTTATTTTCTATTTCTTGTTTAAAAATATGGAGCAAGGGAGGATTTTATACAATTTTATACGAAATACAATTGCTAATGGGCCAGTATGGTACTGACTAAACCAACGATCAATCTAAATTCAAAAATTGAGAAGTTATTCACATTTTTATCTACAGTGTGCGTGAAGAAATTGGTTCACTAAAATAAACTGAAAAAACAGTACTAATTCAAATTTCAAAATAAAATCGAGTTTCTATTAAACTCAAATTCAGCTCAGTTGAATACAGCTGTAAAAATGCGCACAGACGAAACTAAAGAGATAGGCGTGGTTTTACCCCAAAAGTATGACCGGCGAACCATCCACAGTATACCCGATAACAGCGAAGGTCGAGTCGGGGTTTATTTGTAATTCATTATTTGCTATTTGCATCGAAAACATCGGCTGAGCCCAGCCTCTTTTATGATGTTGTGCGCGAAAAAACACGTGGTGTATTCAACTAAGCTGAATTTAACTGTACCAGTACAAAATAATGAATGTTCATTGTAACATACTGGCCTCTCTTTCACACATAAGGAGCCTTATTAATACATCAAAAATAGTGGGGCCCATAATGTCACTTTCTCCTTTATCACTACCACTAAATAGAACGTGACGGATGTAAATTGGGGGCAAAAGGGATTATTTATTGTAGACTTCAATCCTATAGGTAAGTTCCTATAGGTGATTTAGGTGCGCTATAGGTCCTATAGGTGCGCGAAGAATTAAAGGTCCTTTTAATCTGATAGGTAAATTGGGCGCAAAGCCCCTAGAAAGTAATCACATAATTTTCCGGTGATTAACAATTTTTACTCTACTCTGCACCTCTCTATACATTACACTACACTCTACTATACTCTACTTCTTTTTAAAACGATGCCAAAAATCTTCATTTGTTACAAAGTTTGGAATGAATTCAAACAATTCCTTTCTCTACCTAAAAAATTCATGCGCCCAATTTACCTCTAGGATTAAAATCCCTTTTTAAGCTCTCCGGTAATAAAAAAATTTCTGCGCCCAATTTACCACCTCCGATAGAACCATTCTCAAACTATTTAAATTATTATCATAAAGATAATATGTTAGGGTTATCCCACATTCCCACGTCAATTCTAACATCAATAAATTTCTATTAGGGACCCGCCCTTACGACGTGGTACACATTCCTGAACCGTAAGCTCCCGCAAAGTCGAAGGCTGTTCAGCGCCGGGGCATTGATGAAAGTGGCGCTGGATCAGCTGGTTTTCGCGCCGTTGTTCCTGCCCATCTGGATGGCCACGGTCAACTTCATGGAAGGCAAATCGCTGGCCCACATCAAGAACGAATTGAATCTCAAGTACACGGACATTTTACTTACAAATTATACCGTTTGGCCGACCGTTCAAATGCTAAACTTCGGATTGGTGCCCATTAAATTCCAGGTAATGTTTACCCAAACGATAGGTGTGTTGTGGAACACCTATTTGTCCCATAAAGTTCATGATCAGAAACAGCCGGCAATACATCAGGAGACTGATAAAACTAGCGTAAATTAATTATAGCTTTATTTTTATGTTTTTTTTTATGTATACACAATATTTATTTTAGATGTAACGTAATGTAATTTCTAGTCATATAATAAATTGAGCATCTCGTCGTCTATTTATTTTGTATACAGCCCAAATATCTGACGCCGGTTCTGTGCAATCTTGATATACTACAATATAGGCAACAATTTATACAGTAAATGTAACTAGTGTTGCATAAACGGGCCGTCGCGACGCCGAAGCAGGAACGGCGACGGTGCAGAAAATTGACGTCTGCGTATTTTTAGAACCTAGATTAGAAAGCTTAGAGAACATGTTAGTAAAGTAGTAATATTAATTGAATTTATTTTTGATTATCAACATATCCCGGACGACGATGTGGGGAAATCGAATTATAAAACAATCCTGGTGATCGGAGTTCAAAACCGGTATGTTACCCTGATAGTCGTCCAAAAATATGAGCTGCTAGAAAAATTCGGGTGAGTTAATCATAATATATTTGGGTAAGAACCTGTCGGTATGCAGCTATTTTGGTAGAACCTATTCAATGATTTTTTTTCCACGGCGGTAATCTTCTTTAACGAACCGGGTAATTGTTCAAATAATTCATCGTAATAAAAAAATACTACGTTCCAAATAATAATTGGGTTTTCTATTCTTTCATTCGAAGCTTTTATTCTTCTAATGTAACAGCAATCTCAAAATAAAATGCTTGTAGGATTAATGTGCTAACTTCTTAGATTAGAAAATGGCCCTAGTGATGCTACCCAGTGATCTTCCGTGGTGGGATTCTGTGAAGAGGCTACTGAAAAAAATAGCCGATACAAAGAATTCCGCCGATCTTATAGAAAAAATGCAAAAGATATATGAAATGTGCAAGTAAGTAGTGCATCATTTATATACAATTATATTAAATTAAGCAATATTTGATAAGTAATTAATTTTCAGTGTTAGTTTGGAACCCGACGAAGAGATCCCGGATCCCCAACAATTCGAGGGATTCATGAATTTTTTAGACAATGATCTAACAAACGAGGAAAGAAGCGTATTTTTCTCCAAGACCTTACCCAACATAGTTACGAGAGCGCTGAAAATAAAAGACTGCAGGCCTAAAAGTGGCCTACGTTTCAGTTTACAGCAGCAAGGTACTAAATTTACACATCTTCTAACATTTACGGTTACTTGAAATTTTTTATGCACTTGCAGCCGATTCCACAGAACTAGAATATTCCTTTGTATCTTCGCTCATTGCTAACGCTTTCTTCTCAACCTTTCCGAAACGAACCGACAGGACTCACCCGACCCTCCAGAATTTCAATTTCGCCGAATTTTTCAAAAGTCTGAACAACAACACTCAAAAATCAAAATTGAAAAGTATATTGTACTATTTCGAATGGATAGCCAACAACGAGAATTACAGCGGCTCCATGAAGATTTTAAGACAGGTATTTTAGTCGTATAGGGTGTTCCTGGATAAATGAAACAAAATTTGGGATGGTGATGTAATAAGGCTCAAAGTATTCTGTGTAAATAGCAGATGGATTGAAATATCTATTCCAAATTTTGCATTTTAATACTTTTAATGAGAGTAAATTAAAGCTCGATTATTTCTAAAGTTCGGTTTTTTTGTAGGTAATGAGTAGTAAAGAATGGTTAACTATAGAAGACTGGTTAGAATGTAACTTACCATTATGCTCATTGAAAATTCGCCACGATGGAAAATTGGACAGGCCCGAGGAGGATTGTTTGCAAATTTGCTTTTCAAGTGCCAAAATTGGAGGAAGCGTCTTGAGTAATGGATATACGCAAGTAATAACTTTAATTAATCCATCTAACTCTCTATTATTTTTTACTTTTGCTAAGTATAGTAGTGACTTCTATTCTTATAAAATGTAGCAAGCTTTTTCCCACCAGCAAGTATCTAATTTGTGTGCTATCTTTACCACTAGTACAAAAGGAAATATTTAATTTTTCCTTATACGTATTTCAGGAATGCATCAATTTAGTAACAGCTCCGGAATTGTTGATGGTCCTTCTAAACGTCGAAGCGCTCGAAGATAACGAAGTTTTAACTGTGGAAGGTGTAAGGCACATTTCCAGAATGGTAGATCCGAAACATAGGGCATTCTTGGAGAAGCTCGAACAACCCAAAAAGGTACAAATAACCCAAATTATTTACCACTCTCTAATCTTATCTTCAGTTAACAGTGTGTTGCATTGACGCCGACGATTACACCAAACTACCAATAGGCCAATACGAAGAAGACAACATACTAAGGGAATTGAACAAGTGCCTGCTGGGCTTCCAACAGAAGCAGCTGGTTAAACCCGAGAAAGAGAACGTCCCGCTTCGCAGGCGGCTGTCCCCCATCGGCGAATCCATCGGTGAGTACCCCACCGATCCCACTCCAGCAATTTAACATCTCCTTTCCAGGATCGAACCAATCGGACTGCCTCAACGTGCCCCTGATCACGCAGCAGTCCTGCAGCACGACGCACAGCGGCTCCGTATCGCCGATCAGGGACAACAACAACATGCTGAGCGACAGGCTGTGCGTGCAGCTGGAGCAGGAGAAGAACCTGCAGAAAAGGGGGAAGCCGAACGATTGCGTGGTGAACGGGCGAAGAGGGAGGTTCATCGTGTTGGGCTCGTCCGGGGAGTGTTTGCCGATAAACAGGCATCCCCTGGACGAGGAGAAGAGCAACTACGATAGTTGCGAATCGTCCGAAGGGGAATTCCACAGTGCCAAAACTAGTTTAGATGACGGTGAGGGTAACGAGTTATTTCTTATTTCTAAGAGAAATGATGAGGTGTCTGCTAATTGAAAGTAGGTAATTTGTTGGTAATTTTCAGCTAGCGAAGATGAGAACTTTCACAAACGTTACAATGTAGACTTAGAAACTCCCGATAAACGAAACATTTTTGCTCAAAGGTTGAAGGATGCTCTGAAGAAGGAATTCGCCTCCAGCACAGCTACTAACAGCAGCAGTAGCAGTAACAGCGAAGAATCCGGTTACGCAGTAGGTATTTCAGTCGCGGGGTCCAATTTAGAAGACAAAGATATAAAGTAAGCAAATGTTTGAAAATCACAATAACAGGTAATTATTGTTCTTTCGGATAATTCTAGGGTTAAACGGGGCGGTTCGACTGGTTTCGCCTTAAACGAAGATTCTTTCGATGATAATTTTTTGGAAAATTCTCTGAACCAAGAGCGCGAGTGGATAGATAAATTCAGGAATAAACAATCGTCGGCGTTAAATAGAAAAGAGTCGAATAGATCATCGGAATATAGTTTTAGCACTGAATACAGGTAATAAATAATCAACAAATTTTTATTAGTATTATTTACATTGATCATTTTTGTTTCAGTTCGGAATTAGAAGAAGTTTATGAGCAGTTTTCAAAATGGCTAGAAAATCCTCTATTAGAAACGGATGCAGGAATGAAAAGGGAATTGGATGCTAGGGAATTAGCTGTAGTTCGATTCGCAGGTAAAAATACAGACAGCAATTCACAAACTAGTGCCTAGCTTTGCCAAAATACCAAAAAATATTAAATATTGAAATTATTGTAATACGCAAGCATTGAATAGTTTGTGATCTATCTAAACTAAACGATCAGTGGGAAATTAGTTGTTAATCTTGATTTGCAGGATCGATTTTAAAAAGGACCTTAAGCGAATCCTTCGTGGGGATACCCGTACCTATGACCGAAAATTGTGATACGCACTCAGGAACCAATGAATTCTCTACAAAGAAAAATAAATTAGTACTTAACGCCAAGTCATTGAGCTTGGAATTGGCGAGACAGAAACACCGGCTGGCCGCTCAACTGGTGAGATTTTTCTACTTTTTATGCTAAACACAATGCGAACGTAACTAACATTATACAAAAATATCATTCGTGTATTCGATAAACACCTTCCTTTTTAAATCACACCATGTTTTTTTGATAGACTGAGGAATTAGAGCCTGATAGATCTATTTCATTAACAAGTTGTGAGAGTGAGGAAGCTTTAGCAACGAGTAGTTTAACAAAAACGAAAGCTTGGTTTGTCACTAGCGTTACTGAAGCAATTGTACAGACTTTAGAGGAGATCTCAGTTAGTCTCCCTTTACCACAAAATACACAGATAGAGGTAAATCGCTTGATAGTTTGGTGCTAACAAATATGATTTCGTTTAACCAAGTACATGTATACAAAAATACTCCGCAAACGTCTCTTTATATCACTATTTAATTCATTCCTTTAACACTTGTTAGAAAACAGCGTACTTGCAAAGTTATTCATTGCTTTTCCAATTATTCCAAACTCTGTAGTTGTTTAGAAAGTGTTGAATAAACTAATTTCTTGTGATCTCTGCATGATATTAATTGACTTTAGCTCAATTATTTAACTCTCTTTTCAGCTATCCCAATTATCCGAGAGTCCGAATAACGGACTGAAGCCGGTTTCTACGGGGAATTGGGGCTGCGGCTCCTCGCACAAGGGCGACGTGCAGCTCAAGGTGGTGATACAATGGATGGCGGCGAGCGTGGCCGGCGTGCCGGCCTTGATTTACTGCACGTACGGCCACCAGCAGCTGGCGAAGCTGGACACAGTATGCAGAATACTCATAGACAGGAAGTGGTCGGTGAAGGATTTAGCGGAGGCCACCCTGAGATACTCCAGTAGGGTTATACAAGGGAAGGAGCTGAGCGGAACTCTGTTCGAGGAACTCATAGGAATGGATAGGATAGTGCAGTGATTAGGGGAGTTATTTTATAAGTTTTTTTATACCGGCGTTTTTGTTGATAACTTCTGAATTTGGGAATTAGATGAAATATTTTGCGTTATTACGTTTTATTTTGAATTTGTTAGTGTTTAAGCAAACGAGTTACTTACATTCCCAATTTTTATTATAATGCGATCCGAAAATTCAATAAAATTGAGTATTTTAACAACAGTTCGTTCAGATGTTATCAATTTAAAACTATTGTTCAATGCTTAAAAGTGTTTGGACATTTTATATTTTGTACAATTTTAATATTTAGAGAGGGAGATATTTGTTTTAAAACATATGCCAAATTATTATTAGTTATTTGTTTTTGAAAGGTATTTTTTATGAACAGGTAGTTTTTGAACGTATTTATTTTTTATGAGCTAATGTAAGTGACAAGAAATTGAAAACCAATTGTAAAATATTGCAATTTTAGGGTAAATAATTTTACAATATTAGCTTTTCTTGTTTGCTAAAAATATAGAAAATTAAGTTGTTTTTAAAATAAGTATTTTTGGAAATTCTGTATATAGCAAGCAATACGCTACAAAATATGAAAAAATTTTAAGCGTACTTTATAAAGCAACAAGAATTAGAAACAGCCAGTGCCTATAGTACTCACAAAGTCAAAATCGCACGGTCTTCCCAATTTTATACATTTTTTTGAAGCAAATTGTTTTTAAGAAGAAAAATGTATTTATAGGATTGTTTATTACAAATTTTAATAAATAATATAACAATTTAATATTTACTTAAAATTAGAAAAAAATTCCTCTCATCCTTCTGCCTACTCCTTGTCTGTCGTACAAAATATTGAATTTGTTCACGAATTGGTTGAGGTCATTGCAACCCTTTGTGAGAGTTCCTAAGTAAGTCATTAGCCCTACATCATTACATTGCTGAAAATAAAACTAAGATTAATACCAGTTTTGTTAATTAAATATAGGCAAAGAAGGTTTTATAGAGCATAGACTATAAAAAATCAACTATTCAGTTACAACAGTATTTTCTCAACGAATTGAATTCTACTCTAATTTCTAGAATGATTAATGATCGTTTCATTATTACTTTTAAATGATTTTAATATACAGGGTGTCCCGCATAAGAACCCACACAGACCAGGGGAGTGTAGGAAGCCTAAAATATAGTTTGCTGTATTAAGTTAAGTTTGGTTAAACAACGTATTATAAGCATTCCTACAAGCCCTTTTGCTTAGTGTCAGTTCTCATACGGTACACCCTGTATGAATAAATACTTACGTTATAAAAATCTTGTCTAAACCTAGTACCATCGATGACAGGCAACCTATGGCACAAAGAGTAGGCCTCCCTAAGTACCTCATGGTTCCTGGGCAATTGACCGCTCTGCACAGCTTTCATATACTCCAATACCAATCTAAAATCAATTTTAACAGTTCAGAACATAAGACTCGTTAATAGTAGCATTCCTCTTACTTGACTCTAGAATGGAGCATTTTGATGGCGCTGTGTTGGGCAGTTAAGTGTTCCGCAACTAAGGAGCTCTCTCCGGAGTCTGTAGTAGACATTCGAGCTACGTGGTCTACGCCTATACGTTCGGCCTCTTCTGTAGCTAGAGTATATGTCAGTGGGACAAAGAGCATGGTAGCCTCACCATTTACTAGGTCGATCACAGATTCGAACAAATCGACTGGCAAATACTGCAACAAAAGGAGATTTGTAATGTTTGTTGTAGCATTAAATCGTAGACTTACTTCGATATTTTTGTCATAAGGATTCAATTTTAGTAATATCGGGGACTCGTTAATTTCGCAAATTTGTTTATGTACTTTAATGTCCATCATGCTCGGGGAATCTCCTGTGGTGTACCAACCGATAAAGTCTAAATCACTGAACACTTGCTTAACTGTCAACATAAAATAGAGTTTGTGAGATTTCATACATTTATAAAAAAAATGATTCGATTATGATACTTACATTGTTCTTCTTTCATATTATAGTAATCTTTATCAATGATTATATCGCCGCCAATAACTCTAAAAACTAACTCAAACGAATTCATTATTTCAATGTTCCTGCCTTTTTGCTTGCCGATGAGAGCTCCGATTACTGAAAAAGCCAAACAAAATTAATCAAAATAGCTAAGAAATTCCGCTAAATCTCCAATTCAATTCATACCTTGTTGAACAGCCCCTTCCTGGGCCCTTTCTCTAGTCCAATGCTCCGATACATTCATAATAACCAGGGGGTGTAAAGAGCAAGTGATGGATCCCACTGCCCCCGAGGCCATGACATTTTTGCTCACATCCACCGAAGTATCCATGGAGGATTTCGAGCATTCCGCCGTCGAGGAAGTCTCCACCTCCACTTCCATCGCCTCTTTTCCGTTACTCATTTTTATTTTATATTAAATTAAAACCTTTGTTATCAAAACACACAAACGTCAAACGAAAACGTTTTTTAAAATGACAGAAACGATCATTGAAACTTGACATTTGTCGTTCGTCATTTTTTTTCTTCTTCTAATTTTTGGAATTTAGATTTTCAGTTACGAACCAGATCTTTCCATTTCGTTGATTTTTCATGACTACTGAAAAATGTAATATAATTTATCCAGAATAAAATAATTGTTATAAATGAACTTGATTAGATTGAAAAAGAAGAATATTTTTTTGTCATCTGTCATTTATTTTGACAGTTCTGACATTTCCATATTTCCATTTTATTTTATAACGTCAAGCAAAGCTTCAATCAGGGCGGATTGTGGTTTGATCTTTGCACTTAATTGTACAATTATTAGTTAGGACCTTTTCGTTAGTGCCGATTATCGAACAGTGTGCAAGTGAAGAGGCGCTGTATTTTAGCAATAATTTATTTTCGCGTAAAGCAGTTATAAATGGGTAGGTCTAGTCGTTCCCCAAGAAAACACCACAAGAGCACAAGAAGTAAATCTAAAGAAAGAGCTTCAAGTAGTTACAAAACCATAGAGAGGATTGAAAAAGACAAATCGAAAGAAAGAAACAAAACAAGGTAATTAAATACATATGTACAACACAATTTACTTGGCATTAATTTACACATTAAACCTACCCAATACTTACGAAATTTTCCATACCATCAGTAATTTTTTTTTATGTGGAGAGTCAATTAACTGATTTGTTTGAAATATCAATACTAGCTAATTGAGGTTAAATACTTTTAAAATTAGGAAACAAATTACTTGATTTCAGAAAACGATCTCACTCGGTATCCTCCACGAGTAGCAGTAATTCATCAGATGACATGTGCAAAAGTGACAGATACTCGAACAAAAGACACAAACTGAAGAAAATGGACGAGGTAGAGCGTTTGGCCGAGATGGAGAGGCAGAGGAGGCAACGAGAGGCAGAGCAACGTTTGATCCAAGAGGAAACCGCAAAGCGAATAGAAGATCTGGTGAAGAAACGGGTGGAAGAGGAATTGGAAAAGCGGAAGGACGAAATCGAGAGGGAGGTGAACAAGCGAGTGGAGGAAGCCAAACGGATCATGGAGAAAGAAATGATGGAAGACTTAGAAAAACGTCGGGAAAAACTGAAAGAAGAAGAGAAACGTAGGGAGGTAAGAGTCACATTTGAATTATTTCTACATTATTTTTGCTGAACTGCAATCACAATGACATTTTAATTATATGTTAATTTTGTCGGTTTTTTAAATAGATTAATTTATTTTGGCAATGTGTTTTGAATTTGGTGAAAAATTTGGATTTTTTTTAATGTATAGTTTACAGGGGCCCTTGATTTTCCCAATTCCTTGATTATCTTTAGTTTAGTCTGGGGTATGGAGGTAGATAGTAATATTATTTCCTCAACTATTTTTTTTCATATAGTATCATGAAATTAAATTGTTTCTAAAATATCATCTGCTATAAATTTGTACATACTGAGATAAGTGCAAATTTGTACGCAATATGGTCTATGCGCGCAACAAAGACAACTTCCATTAGTCTCTTATAAATTAAAAAGAAGGAATGATATTTTGGTATTGCTACTCTCTCACTCTAACCACTGTAATTTCAATAGTTTTTCATTGTTCAACTCATAAAACAATCATATTGCAAACAAATTTGTAAAAGTAAAATTACCATAAATTTTTAGTTTGTATTTCGAACTAACAAATAAGTTCAATTTCTAACGGTAACATAAGAATTTATCTTCTAATTAGCGTAATAGAAGGAATATTTTGTTCATAATATAATCTTTTTTATAATTTGGAAGTTAAATTTTGAATTTATGGTAATTTGACAAGATGTCTTTTTGTGCTTTGTAAATTTCTCTAATTTGAGCAATAGATAAACTTAGATTATTTTAAGTGATTATTTTTGGTTTTCTTGAAATGATTACTACATATTTATCGTGTTTTTGTGGTACATTTTGTTGTATTATTAGAGATATGATTGAACATATTTTGAAAATTTATTACTATTGTAAATTAGAATGTTAGTTAATCATGAATACATAATTTTTCTGAAACTTATTAGCATGTGAAATATAAAAAAAATATGATATTTTAGAAACAACGTAAATCTAACGGACCATGTATTTTTTGAAAATATCGTTTCTAAAGATTATTATTGATGAAAAGATTATTTTAATCGATGTAAATTTATTTATTTTCGTTCACATTAGAAACTAAGTTTTGCAAAATTTGAGGTGTTTTAGGGAGTAATATTTTTTTAAATAATTCATTTTTCTAACTTTTCTAAAATCCAATCTCTATTTTCGAAATAACTATTATACAATTATTGCCCAATTATTCTTTAAAACTTGTTCTTTTATTCTTCATTTTTATTAATCAACGAATCAATTATCATAATATAACAAATATTCTAATTCTCATAGATGATTAGAATAGAATAAACATTGCTTGTCAATATTTAACCAACATATTTACTTAGATGATGCATTTTTTACCTATCACTGTTACAAGATAAATGGAATATTTAGAAATGTTTGGACAAAAGTATTTAGTAGATACGCGACAAATGCATTGATAACAATAGTCTTTTTGTCACTAAAATTTAAGAGGAATTTACTTGTAATACAACGGGCATGTTGTTTGCATCGATACAAAATTCTCTAATCCACTGAAATCTACTTTTATTCGAAAAAGTACTCGTTGCAAAATCGAATCCATACCCATTCCCGAATAACCGAGAACTAAATCATAAGCTTCCGGACCTCGAAGGTAGCACGAAAAACAAGTTTAGCAAATCATAGTAAACTTTTGTAAAGTGTTTTACAAAAAAAATCTGTACTCTTGAAAAGTTATGTCGTTTAATATATGCCACTAGCATGTAAGCTAAAGGGTCAACAGTGCTTGAACAAATGACTGAAGAGCAATGGGAGTTTTTTGGCAGCTCTTGATGATTGACAACGACGCGCGGCTCAGGTAATATCAAATCTTTTTTCAGCACCGCTCAATGTCAGATGGAAACATCACGGGATCCTTTATAAAATCAAATTGCGAATGCTAATTGGTAAAGTAGTTAGATTTTTTGTTTTGAATTATTTGTATAAGAAAATCATTGTTTATTATTCGGTTTGATTTCCGTTGACTACTTACAATTTTTCTGTCATAATGTCGAACGAAAATGACTAGAAAGGTGATCTGACCCGGCGAAAATTGTAATTACACTTTGTATTGCAATATCTGAGTCAGCTCTAATAATTAATTTGATATATTTGTGAATATAATACATTTCACAATAAATTCAAATGCTTCAAAAATTTGAGCAAAAGTTTGAAAGATTATTATTTTACCCTTTTTTCTAGTACTTGACCAATAACCAATAATGAAATAATCCATAAAAATAATTATCTGTCAATTTCATTTTAAATCGTTCTTCCCATTTTCAGTAAACGCCCAGAAACTCTTTAATTTCCAAATGAAATATATTTATGTATTTGATAGAAAAATTGCTGATACGTGCTGTAGGTGGTTAATTGGGACTCAATTTTTATTTGTTTTTTTTAACTGCAAAATAAGATATTGACATATTTTGCAGTTACCTAATGTGACTTATAACATTTAATTCATTTAAGAAACGAAAAATACATCAAACTTTTTCGATAGTTCTCAAAACACCCTGGACTTAATTGAATATTTTTGTGTAACATGATTTAAATATTACAGCCTGTCTTAGCTATTATTGAATAATTTAATTGTTGCATGACCTAGGTAATTTATACATAAGTAACGATTATTTCTTCATGTTTTTTTTTTATTTTTATTTAGATCATTTATATTGTTTAAGCTGTTTTTAGGAAGTTTTATAAGTCACATACACTGTTTGAATGCGAAAACGTATTGTATTACATATAACAACAATTTTACAATTTACATTATTAAATATAAAGTATGAGTAATGTTCCTATCTGAATTTGAGAAGTGCAATATTTTATTTAAGACCTGCCACTCAGGATTTGTATTTGTATTCAACCTAATAGTCCGTACCCAGCTGTGAATGGAGATTTTTTAATATGGCATACCTACTTAAACGAAGGTAGTTTCGAAATTCCGAGTTTCCACGCTTTATCGATTCAAACCCGGACATTCCGAACTATTTGGAAGCGAATGAAATTAATATCGATACCTAATAGTTTGTTTTATGTATTTTTTTATCAATTTACTGCCATTTTGTGTTGAAATTAAATTCATTCGTTTGCGACTTTATGAATGTTTTCTTTCTGTATCTGAAGATGGCGCGTCAAATTTGTGAAGTTTTCCAAAAAACGCTTAGTTTTTGGCGAACGAGGCACGATTTTATGCGTCCGTCTTTTGTGATAGAGTGCTGGGTCAGGACATAAATTTAGCGTTTGCGGTTATTGATTTACCTTTAATACTTTATAGGAAGAAGAGAGGCGAAAGCACGAAATGGTCGAGAAGATCCTCGAAGAAAACCAGAGGAAAATTGAAGAGGCACAGAAGAAATTGGTGAGCATATTTTTTTGTATAAATCAATCTTACTCTCATGTCTTCAGCTATTCCTCTCGAACAGTAGTTTTCCTTACAGTAAATTTTTATATCGATTTTTTAATGATATTTTTGTTGTTGGTTAGGCAGAAGAGAGGTTAGCGATGATCGAGGAGCAAAGGAAAATGGACGAAGAAAGACAGAAGCTGAGGAAGGAGCAAGAAAAGCGCACGAAAGAGGAACAGAAGAAAATTTTAGGAAAGAACAATTCGAGGCCGAAGTTATCGTTCTCGCTAAAGCCCGTCTTATAGCTACTGTTAGCTTCAAGTGTGATAAAAACGTAATAAATTAACTAAGATTAAGCGATTCTAGTTTAAAGTATGCTTAGAATAATTATTAGGGTTTTATATCCGAGTGTACATTTTTTTATTACATATTGATAATCGACCGTTTTTTATTGTTTCTATGAAATAATAATGGTGCATTAAAAATTTGTTTGTTTTATTTCATTATTTAATCAAGTTGTCATCAAGATTTTATGTTCTTGAAACATGAAAATTTAAAAAATAAGCATGTTGAATCATGAATAGATTATGAATAGACTATGAATTGAGATTATGATGTACCTGATATACAGGGTGTTCCTTTAGGATGTAAAAGCTCAAGCTTTAAAAAACTTCTTTAGAAAAGTTGTAGATTTTACTTCTGAAAAAATGTTACTTCTGCGTTTGGATGATCCACCCTGTAAACAGTATGATTAAAATAAACGAAACATTCATTTTGTATATTTACAGGATATTTGCAATTGTGTGAAACTTAAACCATTCAGTATAAGAAAAGGCAATATTATATTTTTGGAAAGCTGAAAATGAGCTAAATTTGAATATAACTTTGGTATACTACGGAAAAACGGGACACTCTGTACAAATGGAATTTTAACAACATGATATGCAACATTCATTTGTAAAAAAGTTTTTTGATATCTTCTACAATAACAGATGTAACACTGTAAATATAAAAAAGTTAAATTGAATCGAATAACCATAAAATAGGATTTAAAACAACATTAAAAAAGCTCTCATTAACACAAGAAGTGCGAATAACTAGCAACTAATAAAGCAACAAACAACAATGTCACTTTAATTGAATTTAAACAAGCCGATAAGCGACACGTGACGCAAATATAATTCGTAAAAAATCCCGCTTATTATTTCTCTCAGGTTCGTTCGCATTTTTCTTTCACCTACAACACCGGCATACCAACAATCGCCATTAACATAGTTACATTTCTTTTTCGAACATCCTCGATGGAAAGTCGAGGCGCTCTTAACCGCAACACTTGCATTTCGACCGTCGAAATGGAGCGCCTCGTGATATTCGCGGCCCTCGTGTGTTATCAAATCGGCACCAACGCCGATTCCTACATGGACGCCTACAGGCAGAGCCAGATCGAGAAACTGGACGCCGTCATAGTCAAAGGCAACAGGAGCATCAGCAGGGAGTTCATCGAAAGCAACGACATATCGGACAGTTTCAACAACGGAAACTCGTATGGAGCACCCCCGACGTACCAGTAAGATCCACATAACAATAACCCTATCACCTTTCTATACCTTCTGGTTGTAGATACGGGCCGGCCAATCCAGTCTACGCGCCCCCTAGCCCTCCGGCTCAGTCGCAACCCCCGGCTTACGGGCCGCCGCCTCAACAGCAACCCCCGGCTTACGGGCCGCCGCCTCAGCCGCAACCTCCTGCTTACGGGCCGCCGTCCCCGCCGCCTCCGCCGCCCGTGTACGGCCCCCCGGTGGCGCTGCAGCCGATCTACGGGGCCCCTTCGTCGGTGCAAGTGTTCTACGGCATGCCGCACGCTTTGAGCTCGTTTTGGGAGAAGCTCAAGTTCAAGTTGGACTTGTTCACGGTGGGGAAGTTGCTGCTGAAGTTGGTGTTGTTCAAAAAGTTCGTCGGCTGGCTGGCGTTGATTTGCTTGTTGTTCGTTGTGCCCACGTTGAAGAACAAATTCCACGGGGAGGGACAGGAGAGGAGGTTCGGGGATGGCCGAAAATTAGGTGTGTATTTATCAACACTAAGTATTCGTATTAGTTTATCCAGTACTACATTAAATAATAGTTTTGGGTGAAATTAGAATAGGTATTTAATCCTGTAATAATATAGCCCTACAAGAGTTAGAACATTATCATTAATGTGCCATTTTAATGAGTTTTTGGCTACCTGTAACTTGAACTGAAGATCTAATTAATACATGTATGTGTAATGGATACTTTTAATACTTTCTTTTGTGTACTTTTTTAGATGTAGAAGAAATCAATGAATTGTCCAATTTGGTGTATAAAGCTCTGGAGAATTTCACTTACGACAGTCATATGGACCGAATTTACAATCAAACGTTTAATTCGAGGTAACGCTTATAAGTTTTATTATTTATTTAATAAAATATTTATTTATTGCGATAACAAACATTGTGAATTGAATAAAAGTATTCGTTAATTTATACTAATTTTTATCTTAAAGATTTTTTCATAATTTTCTGTTATGAGATGCAGGTAAATAGATAATAAATTATTGCTGTTTAATTCGGCAAGAAAATTAAACACGTTTGTCACATCGGTTACCTATTTATAAATTTGTGGCACGGGTTTATTTTCAAATTAAAAATAAAATCAAGGTTAATAGGGCTGAATATTGACGACAATCAAGCCGTATTTTTGAATATAAAAATAAAATGTCTCGCGTATAGCTTTGAGAAGATCTAACGACTATTTTAAGATGTTCTTATCCATATCAGGTTACAATTTTTCAATTTAATCTACTGTAAGTTTAATTTCTTCGTTTAGGGTGATTATTGTAGGGTACAAAAGCCTTAATAAATAAATATAATGTGATTTATTTCGAAAAGATACGTATGTACATCAGTATCAATAAATATAGAGTATTTCAAAATTATGAGTAGGTAAATCAAAGCACTTTCAAATCGATCACAGTAAATCACCAATTTTAAAATCAATAAAAATATATAAGTATACTTATTTAAAAAAAACGCGCGTATTAATATTAATCGTCATTAATCATCGTCAACAGGTAGGTTTCTCTCAAAAATATCGATTAACTATCGTCAAGTCGTAGCTAAATGTAACTCGGTTTTTTTACCCTACAAAAACAGTTACACGAAAACGTGTAACGAAAAATCAGGACTGTTTTTGTACTTTTACAAGTTTAGTAACTATCGTCAAAAATTCACTAAAATCATCGGGATAAACTCCGGTTTTTCCTGACTTGCGGAGCCACCGCTTTCGTCTCCTTCTCCCGGTTCAGCTTGGCGAAGAAGGGATGTTGTAGCGCATCCCCCAGCCCGATTCTCTCGAGCGGCTCGTACTCCAACATTTTAAATATCAAATCGAAGAGAGCACTGTGATCCGGATCGTCCATCAGCCTGTATTTCTACGGTAAAAAAACTAATGAATTATTTGCATTTCGTAAACTCGCCAAGAAAAATCGACTTGTCTTGAAGGGCAGGATTTTTAAATGGAAGCAGAATATATGTATTATTACCATTAAAGGTTTGCAATTATTCCTGACGTATCTCCCGGCAGCGCTTTTTTCGTCCCACTCGAGCTTTCCCTTGTAGAAGTATCTCGTTTTCGTCCTCTTCGCCATGCTAGGTTAATTAAAACATGAGCATTTAAGTAAATTTTCTCAATACTCAACGACTCACCTAACAGGTATTTCCCCTAAAATTCTTTGCATCATAGCCATGTGCTCTCTGTTATCGTGAGTTTGGAAAAGCGTTATTCCTAGGTATAATTCGAACAATATGCAACCTATTGACCACACATCGCACGGCTGAGCCCAACCTAATTCTAGAAGGGTATAAAATAATTTGGTATAACCTAATTTGATTCGAAGATATTACTTATCCATACCTAAAATTACCTCCGGAGCTCTATAGTGCCTGGTAGAGACGATTGTGCTGTGATGCTCGTGATCGAATGTGGCACTACCAAAGTCTATTAACCTAACGTCAGTTTTTTTCACCCTTCTTACGTCCCGTCTCTGAAAAAATAATTTTATTGCAGTTGTCCAAAAATCCAGGTAAGTGAAAGATAGCAAAAGATGATTTTTAACGTAGTTAATTGATAGAAAATTAAGAATGGGTACCCACTTTTTTGACATCGTAGACGATTTCGTAGGAGGAATCGACGAATAATATATTTTCCGGTTTCAAATCCGTGTGAGTGAGTCGGTTTTCGTGGAGAAATTTCACCGAATGGCACAATTGGTAGCTGATATGGCGAACTTGGTCCAACGGATACGGTTGATAGTTGTTGTCTTTCTAAAGCAAAATTTAATTAAAACATTTGGTACCTTTATGCAATTACTTAGTTGTTATAATACTTGACAATACTTCTGCAAATTAATATAAGGAAAAATTATTCTTTGTAATTACTGGATAATTTAACAGAATATTATAATTATTTCTAGATTTGTGCAGTTTACAGAAAAGCAAAATAACATACCAAAAAGTCAAAAACACTGAGTCCTAGCATTTCAAACGCAATGCACATGTGACCATGATAATCGAACCAGTCCAACATTTTCACGCATAAGCTGGAATAATATAAAATTAGTTAAGATTTGTCCCGATGAAATGAATTCAGTTGCCATATTTTGAAACAATTATGTATCTTTTAACTGTCCCAAAATTACCCCTGATGATTATTAAATAATTGAACAACTTACTTTACACATTCGGGATCTTTGTGTGCTAATTCTTCTAAAACATTTATTTCCAATTTGGCTGCTTCTCTGTATTTTTCTACATTTTTGATTATCTTTAGCGCTCGTTGGCAGTCTCTGGAAAGAATTTACCATTAAAAATGTCCATTATTTGTATCATACAGATTATTTTAATCTAAAAGCTAAGATTTATAAGTAACTTATTCAAATATAATTTCTCTCAATTATTGTTTAGTTTGGATATTAAATTGTTTATCCCTTTCATATTAGAGCCGCCATTTTTATGTCACAGTTTTCTATTTTTATCCAAAGAAATTTCACTTGAATCGATTGAATTAGTGGATATTAATAAGCACTAAGCGGTAATAGAAAGTGTAGGGAAGGATTAAAATCGTAATTGCGCGCTTACTTTTTGATATCTTGCACTTTAACGACCTTTCCAAAAGTACCTTCTCCGAGCGTTCCTAAAATTTTATCTGGAAAAATAAAAAGTTTTTTAAGGTAAATTTTCAAATGTATAGATAAACATCTTCGGCTTACATCTGAGTTTTAAAGTATCGCCGGTTTTGTATATCAAATGTCCCTCTTCGTCGTCTTCAACAGGCACTGGGCTGGGCTAGTAAAAATTACAAGTACTTTTAAAATTTAGTAGTATCTTTATAGTAATATTAAGTTTTTAGAAAGTTGCATATTAGATTGGTTCATGCGATAAATTCGGTGGTAGAATGAACATTTTGGTAATCATAAAATGAGTAGAAATTATATAAACTTGTTTACCTGTATGTTGCATTTTCCTTTAAATTAAATTCTACTCAACATAAGAAGAATTTTAGAATTAGCCTGTAAAAAATAATAATGTTAAACTTCAAACCTAACGCTTTACTCCGCTTTTAAAACTTAATTCCGCTTTTATTCTTTACAGTTTTGCCTCATTTCTTATATCAATTTTAGTTACATACTATTTGGAAAATTATTTACCAAAAAATCCATTCTACTAATTGTTAGTAAAAGAGTATGATTCGTTAGTATTGGATTTCCGATGTATTGATATATTTCTTAAGTTTGGTGTTTTCACCTTTAGATAAACACTGGATAACTATTAATAACATCCTTATAATACCGATACTTATTTATCTAAAGGTGAAAATATCGCCTCTTAAGTAATACCAAACTTACTAGATAATTACTTATTAATACCTAATTTATTGAAAACCATATTTGAAACCAGTTTTAGAAAGTTCTACATACAACAAAAAGGAGCCCAAAACAATCAAATAACGCAAAATAAATTAAACAGAAACAAGAATTACTTACGGATAGTTCTCTAAACATAACACAGTAAAATCTACATAAACAAAAAATAAAAACAACAGATAAAGTTACAACAACAAAAATTAAAATTAGGTCGAGCATTCTTACAGAGTTTTGGTTAACACAATGCTTTTTGGCCGAAGTTGTAGGTTAGGCAGGGCATCAAGTTGAAATTTTAAAAAGTTAAAATAAAATGTTAAAAAAGCAGTTCGATAAATGTAGTCAAATTTATTGCAAGTTAATTTCTTATAGTCTATGTATATTATTAAGTACAGAAATGAAATTCGCCATAAATTCTGCGCTTATTTAGGGTGTAATTATTTGTTTAAGGGATGCATATAAATAAATATTCTTGATTTTTATTCAGAACAATCTCACACATATTGTTAGAAAATTAGGGAAAACAACTTGGACTTACAGCGGTGGCTAAATTGGGATAGTACTTCTGCGTGATGGTGTTCAAAACGCCCGATTTGGTACTAGTGCTGGCAGTACTGTTAGAGGAACTGTAGGCGCTGTCGTTTTTCGCTTTGTAATCGTACGCCTCGTCCAGCGCCGAATATTTGGCTATGAGATTTTGGATTTCCAGCCGTTTGGCCTCCCTTTTGGACTCCTCGTCGGGCACGCTGGGCGTCGGCGTCGTCTCCTTGTCGCCGGGCAGCGAATTCGGCGACGATTTTTCGACGGTGCCGTGTATGGGAGTGAGAGTTGTCGTCGGTTTGTCGTAGTATTTAATCTCTACCGGATACCATTTCATATGGGAGGTGCTGGACTTTCTATCATTCACCTTAGAAAAAGAATATGTTATTATAGTTAATAAATTTCCAAGATAGGTTTTTGAAAGTGTAATTAGTGGGTTAATATCTTACTTATTTCATGCTGATCATGTCTGCACTATATCTGAAATATTATTGAATTTGATAGTCTTTGAGCCTATTCAGAAAAATATTTTTTCTCTTTAGAACACTTGCTATAAAAAGGAAGCTTGTTATTTCTGTAAGTATTAATTAAACAATGCTATAAAAATTAAAATTAAAAATATTTTTTACTTTATCGTTGGATTGTGACGATTTCATTAAATATCATTCGTAATGTTAAAATGAAAATTTCCTCTGATATCGTATAAAAATAAGTCTTTTGTTTGAGTTCATATGTATACTAAAGTATCTATAAATTTTAATTTAAACCACATGTGGCTAAACCCACTCATATTTTCCCGAGTTCCTTCCTACATGGTAATATGCCTTATACATAACTACTTTGCTTTGTTTAATAAAAAAAAATTATAATCTACTGTACTGCAAATGATGCATCAATGTATGCCTCACGAAACAAATCATCGAAATAAAAAAAAATATGGCATAGGCATGCAGGTAATACAGATATAATTATAGCGACAATTAAAAATCCCAAATTATCCCGCTATGAGTGTACAAAAGCGATGTTTACGAACACGAATTTAAAAATAGACGAGTTATTATTTACCTCGCTCAACCCATTCCTGTGATGAGACTTGGAGGTTCTTTTCGGCCGTAACTCGGAATGATTTGAATTGTGCCGCACGCGATACGCGGCATCTTTATCGAGATAAACGTACTGCGGTTCGTGGTAATGCCTGGTGGCGTGCAAGGACTTCCTGCTCTCCTTGTAGGGCGTCTTCTCCCGCCTGTACACCGGATGGTCCTTGCTGTCGTAGACCGACTTTTCGGGGTAGTAGCAGTTGACTGTGGTGGAGCTCTTGGTCAACGCACGACCGGGAGGTACTTGGGGCGCGGGCGTCTTCTCCTGCGGCTTATTGTTCTTCTTGTAGATCTTGTCCAAAACCGACGAGTATTTATCCTCTAACCTGCTGATGGTGTGCCCGAAATTGGGAACGACGGTGGTGCTTTTGCTGGCGCTCAGCGGCACGAATCCCCTCGGCGAGGCGCCCGCGTTGTTGGCGGGCGTCGGGTAGCCGTCGGCGGGAAGTTGTCTTTCGACCGTGGTCGACAATCCGCGCACCCTGGTGGTCAACTTTTGGAACAAACTCGAGCACGAGTCGCTAAGAAGCTGCGCCACATTGCTGGTGGTGGAGGAGCGCGCGTACCGCGGCCTGTGGGTGAGGGTCGGAGTGCTGCTGGGGGCGGATGAGGCATCGAAGGGCTTGTAGCTCGTCGATTTTATCGGCATACCAGGCGCGCGGTACACCCATGGAGATTGCTGGTTGGCGCTCCTGGATGTGTGCGCGTCGCGGGCACTGTCCCTGTTCGGGCGGTAATAATTATACGAATAGCCAGAGCTGTACATCGACGTGTAGCATTATTCGACTAAAAACTACGAAATCTATTTTACCACAACACACACCACCTGAATCAACTAACATCGCATATTCGCATTGGCGCGGTGAGACTCGCTCTGCTGAAAACTGCTAAACTAAATATATCTCCAATATACGCTAACAGAGAATGTTTCTATTCTTGGTGCGCACTCATTTTTCGGACCTAATTTTATCCACTGTCATTGAATAATAGTTAAGGAAAAATCTGCTTCGAAAAATGGTTACCTATTTAATTTTAGTTCAAGTTGTGTTTCACCTGCGGGTATTTCAAAAACGAAAGCCGACATATTCGAGCGAAAAGTGACGACTGGACTGCATCATTCCATTGTTTAAATAGCGCTACATTATTTTTATCACTCGTTTTAAACGATTGAGATATTTTTTAGATATTTCTATATTTTGCATTACTTAGAGATGCGAAATGTATCATACCAATGAGGCAAGATAAATTAATAGATTAGATTTGTAGTAAAGTGATACATTTCTACCTGCATTCTTCAACTATTGCTATAATATCCATAATTTTTCTAATACATTATTTTTTGTTCCATGTCTATAGAAAGCGAAAAAAGACGGTTCTTTTCCCAGCAAGCATTTATTAAGGAAAAGTTATAAATTCTATACTTACAATTTAAATTTTTCATTTTCATTTTCATTTTTTTTATCACAGATCAAATTTTCCTGCAATTGATAATTTATGCAACCAACATTACATCATTTCCACATTTACTTCCACAGCTACTTTGGTGCTGTTGACATATCTAATAATAAGAGAGTTAATTATACCACTGAGAGTCGATTATCTACCTAAGACAGCAGTATTTCATCAATGAGAAAATTGTTTATGAAAGTAGAGAAATAATTTTGGGCATAAAAGTAGAGAGAAAATTGCCTGCATTAAAGTAGAGAGAAAATTGTGTGTATAAAAGTAGGGAGAAAATTTTTTGCTTAAAAGTAGAAAGAAAATGTTGTTCATGAAAGTAGAGAGGAATTTTTGGGCATAAGAGTAGAGAAAAAATGTTGTTCATCAAAGAAGAGGAAATACTTTCACGGCATACCCCGCTGTGAGATTACTAAATGAAAATTTGCTGAAATTTTCATCGTTGATTGCAACGTTGATTGCCTATTACCGAAAAAATATTTTGTGAGTACTGAACTCTAGCCTTAAAAGGACACCAAAAAAATGAATTTTGTGTATTGAAAGAGGAAATAAATTGCATGAACTATATGTTATACGAGTAGACTATTTTTTTTTAAAAACCTACCTACAGCTAAAAACTACCAAATCAATTTTTGTTGAACTTCTGAGTAGAGAATAAAATTGTAAACGCATCCTAGCTATTTATAAATATAATCACCAGATTAATTATCCTGCCTTATGTTAATGGGAATGCAAAATATTCAGGTAGAAATGAAAGAGTATAAGTATATTTGGGATTAACTTTAATAGATGCTTCATGGATTCATGGAAAAATGTCTGGTTTCATTTCTAATCCTTTTCCGGCTAGAAGGTATTTTGTTTAAATGCGTCTCCTATTCATCCTGTAATGTTACAATGTTAGATCATTCAAAATTGAGCGAGCAGTCAGTAAAGTAGTTAGTTTGTGAATATCCGTGTTCAGTTTATGTCCTAGGTAAATATTTGATGTTTTTTTTAACTTTGTGTTACTTTTTATTCTGGTTCTTATCAAATTATCGATAATTTTTAGATACTTACAATTAGTTTTTAGAATTTCGAACTAGTATAACAAACTTGCTCTATGTCGTCAATTCAATCACTATTAATAAATCTTATACTGTATTTTCTATTTTTTCAGAAATACTTAACCACAGAACCATGAAGTCGCTATTCCTATTCTTACTATCGCTCCCATCGTTCGGCTCGCAGGTCCTGGACGCCCAGAACCACTGGAAGTGCATCTGCGTCCCCGAAAACATGTGCGCCGATTCCGACTACGGAGACGACAACCTGGACGTTAGACTGGAGGAGTCCACGTGCGAAAACTACTTCGACGTTTGCTGCGAAAACCCCATCAACGACATACCCAAGCAACCCCCTACAGACGCCAAACTATTCAAAGGATGCGGCCTGAAAAACCCCATCGGCCTCTCGGGGCGCATAACGTCCGACTCACAGCTGGCCCAATTCGGCGAGCTCCCCTGGACCGTGGTAATCATGGAGAGGAACCTACTTAAGCCCGATACGAACATGTACAGGTGCGGAGGCAGCGTGATCCACCCCCAGGTGGTCGTAACCGCCGCCCATTGCGTGATAGGAATCGATCAAACGTTGTTAACGGTAAGGGCGGGAGAGTGGGACACGAAATCCCTCGACGAGCCCATACCCCATCAAGACGCTTCAGTTGGAGAAGCCCTGATACACCCCAACTTCCACAGCAGATCCCTCAGGAACGACATAGCTCTTCTGTTTTTGGCGGCGCCCTTGGAATTGAGGGAGAACGTTGGCGTGATATGCCTACCCCCGCAGGGGTTTAGCCTGGACAGCGCCATGTGCACGGCCGGGGGCTGGGGGAAGGACACCTTCAAAAGGGGCAAACATTCCTCCATACTCAAAAAAGTCGATTTACCGTTAGTCGAGCGATCGCGGTGCTTGACGGCCTTGAAGAAAACCAGGCTGGGCGCCTTCTACAAGCTGCACTCCAGCTTCATATGCGCCGGCGGCGAGGAGAACAAGGACACTTGCAAAGGGGACGGGGGCAGCCCGCTGGTGTGCCCCGTGCCCGGAGGGCCCGGCCGCTTCTTCCAGATGGGGATCGTGTCGTGGGGCATCGGTTGCGGCGACAGCGACACCCCCGGCGTTTATGTCAACGTTCCGGCGTTCTCCAACTGGATCGACATGCAGTTGATTGCTAGAAGTTTGGATCCCTCCGTTTATAAATTCGGTATATTTTAATATTGACAAGTGTAGTTAGATCCTTGTAGAATACCTACAATTTTTGTTTTATTGTAATATTTATAATGTCCGGCTGTTTCGCGCAGATCATGTATCTAGCTATATTTATAGCACTGTAGGTATACACAACGGGGATTAAACTATTTCTATCGCTCTGTATTTGTATAGACTATTTTTATACCTAAAAATAATATTAATTTCTGAATAAAACTTTCCTAAATACAATTTAATTAATCAACATACTTATTCATTATTTATTTGATAAACTTCCTTCCTTTTATTTCATTGTTAACGCGATAATTTGAGTGAATTTACTCACAATCAAATTAATTTCGCTTCGACTATTGCAACACTTAAACAAAATGAAAGAAGCTTTTGTTGAAACCGTTGTTAACACATTTGCAATATTTAGTGGATTTAGAACAGTGGAGAAATATAAGAAGATTAATTTCGCGTATATTGTGGTAGTTTGTATAGTAAATATCGGTACTGTTTATATTTCAGTGCATAGATTTTTAGTCAAAGACTTGGAATTTCGATTTTTGCAGGCTGGACTAGAAATATTCATGCTTTTAATAAACACTACAGCAGTAATCATATTACAAATAAAGAGAAATAAAATTAAATTACTCGACAAGACAAAAATATGCATTATGAGAAATATTTGTTATAGCTGTACGTTGGAGGATTTGGATGGCAAATTTTCAGTTAAATTAGTAATTGTTATTGGTGTTTATTTTGTAGCTTTGAGTGCATTTGATTCATTAGTTACAGCCGTAGAATTTAATGTTTCATATTTTTTTGGACCATTTTACATAAATGCATTTATGGTAACAGTTTTGATTGTTGAAATATACATAGAAATCAACAAAATTCGATATTTGCTCGCTAGACTGAATGGTTGGCTGGTGAACAAGAAAAATTTAAATTTCAAGGATGTGTTGTTCCTTAAAATAAACCACGAAGAATGCCTAAGGTGCTTGTCCTATTTTAACGAAATATTCGGGAGTTCGTTGTTGATGATTTTTGGAAATGTATGGATTTCATGCATTTGTGCGTTATACAATTCTTTGACCGCTTTTACTTATCACATTAATGAAAGATCCCTTGCGTTAATAATCATTACTTGTTTCTTCTATATACTGCTCTGCACGGTAAATTCTGAAAGCCTTTTCATTAAATTCGCAGAATTAAGTTACTTGTTTTCAGATCTTTGGAATGTGTATTGCAATTTCGTGCGATAAAACAACGAACGAAGCGCAGAAAACATCAGATATGTTATACGATATTCTAATAAATTCACCGGATATTATTCAATTTTCAAGCATACATGAAGAATTACTCCAGCTCGCAGATCACATAAGGAATTCCAATAAAAAATGCACTGCTGTGTTTTTTGCTGTAGACAAAACAGTTTTCGCTGAAGTTATAGGATTAGCGACTACATATGTAATTATAATAATTCAATACAAAAACAACCTGAAATCGACGATTGGGTTTTTACATCAGCATTAAATTGAGAAAATTGAGCAAAAAGTTTCATATAAATGATTGGTACACGTGAGAAAAAAAATACAATTAGTGTATTGTTTGTAACACTTCAATATTTTATATATTAATAAAAAAATCACCTAAAAATATAGTTTTATCACATTGCAAAATTTATCTACTGCCCCTGTTAAACTGATCATAAAATTCATCCGAAGGATACCCGGTATAAACCACCTTATCCAAAAATTTCTTCCTGGTCTTCTGTTCTTCGGCCAACCTCATATTTTCCTCGCTAATTTCCTTGTACATTTTCCTAAAACGATATTATTCAAGTCAAATTTCGCATCAAAAATGTCGCTAACTTACTTCTTTTTAGCCGATATTTCTTGATCCATGAGGAAAATTTCCCGATTCACCCCATTTACGTAATTGTCCATTTCCATTTCTCTCCTAAGCTCTTGTTCCTTCTTTTTCTAAAATGAAACATCCACGGTATGCAAAAATGGTAAAATAATTGTTTCGATAACACTTTACAAAATAACCCTGTAGATCTGGGACATACAATTTGGCAATAAATCTATAAATATCATGGATCTTGGGCATTGGTTATGAACTGTTAATATTAAACATGATATCGCAATATTAATGTGACAATTTATTTGTAGATATTGATTATTATAGCAAGGTTGCCTCACCCTCTTCTCTTCAATTTGGTTTTGCAGCTCAACGGTTATAGCCTTCTGTTGTTCGGGAGACATTCCTTTGAAATTAGCGCAAATTTTCCTGTTCGGGCCGAGATTGCTTTGCGCCACGTTAGGATTTTCAGTCATCAGATCGCTGTTCAAAAAGTTGCATATATCCGCCATTTTATCCTCCGTATCCTCCTTCTCCCTTTGCTGCTTCTCGTACGCCTTCTCTTTCATCTATACAAACACAAAATTCCTAATCCTAATTCCAATTACTCGAAATCTCCGATACGTACCAAAGCCTCGTTAAATTTAATGCAAGCCTTCTGCACCTTCACCCTGCAATCTTTGTCCAACGCCTCCAATTGCAGGGCTCTTTGATCGCGAGCCAGCAACGCCGCGTGATAAGCTGCCTCCGCCATTTTTTGGTCCTTCTCCGCCAATTCGCGCTCTTTCATCTGCTGTCCCAGCCACGATTGGACCTCCTCTTTCTGTATTTTGCGCCGTTGGTCAGACACCAAATCCTCGCCCTCGAATCTACAAAAAAATCAATGAATTTAAGGCACAAAAATCTTATTGATTGTCGCCTATAAGGAGGATATATCTTGAGTGGGTTATGCAGCAACTCCCAAGAGAGTTGATACATTTTGTAACTTACTTTTGCGCAGCAGATACACCCAATTTGGGATCGTCCACTTCACCTCGACATGGTACTTGGTTCCTGATGTATCCAGGATCGTTCAAATCGAATTCGCGCCTGTCTTCGAACCGCTGGTAGCTTTTTCTGTACTCGTTGATCGATTGATTGTAACAAAGGCGTTCCTAAAAAGAATTATGGGATAATATGTATAAAAGGGATCATACACGAAATACTAAGGACCTACCTGTCTCTCTTTGTCGTGCATGAACATAGCATAGTCATCGGATTTCTTCATTTGGTCGTAGAACAATTCCGCCAGGCGTTTGTCTTCCGCTTCTTTTTGCTTCCTTTCTTCGACTTGGCGGTCCAAGCCGTCGATGTCGACCTAAACACCGAGATTTTTAACAAAAACAACTAACTAAAATCGTTGTACTTACTCCCATAATTCGAACGCGAGGATTGAAAATCCTCTTCCTCCTCTCCTCGTCGCGGCGCCGCCTCGCCTCCAAGGCGGCCGCCTCCTTCCTGTCTTTATCGGTCATTATTAGAAAATTTGTCAGCATCTTTGCGAATAAATGTGTTCGAACGTGCAGGAAAAATCTTTTGTGCTTCCCGAAAAATCAAATGTCAGTGTAAACTGGCCAGAACGTCGCAGTTGCCTGGAGACTGGTTTTGTCGATATCGTGGCAACGTGTTGCATTGAGGGAGGCCCGTTTTCGAGCAGATGTATCACGAAATTAAACACACATTTAATGCTTGATGCTATTTATTAACAGTGCTTTTTCACACTACATTTTGCGCTGTTTAAATTACTCGAATTAGAGCGGATTAGTTGTTTGCTTGGCTTTTCAAATTCATGTTATTCAAGACCGTGTAATAGGAAAAGGAACTGCGAAGAATCTGGAACGTTAAAAAAATTAATTATGTACAATTAATTGGTTATTATTAACAAAACCTTTGTAAATGTGTCCACTGAAAGAGGAAAGAGTCCCACTATGTTAATAAAAATCGGTTTCTGAACGCCCAGCAGAAAAAAATAAACATCTTTCTTGAATTGATGGGTGTTCGTTCTCCAGGGTAGCGAATAAACGCTGAAAGGTATCAGTTGGCTCTGAAAAAATTATTCACGATTCTTCGATTATTCTCGAATGAAAAAGAAATAAATGTAAATTGCACCTGGCGTTCCATTTCCGAAGAATACCAGCACGGTATGAGTAACAAGGAGCCAATTGCCGTCTGGTACGCGAATAAATAAACGAATTCGAATGAATTTACGTCGATCTAAAACAGGAGCAATTAAATTGAAATCAAAATATGTATCCTAAGTAGTCGAATCAACCATTGTCAGAAGAAACCAGGACAGGCAAAATATGACCGTGCACGCGCTGAATTGAAGAAAATACATTTCCGTTATAAGTTTTTCGATGTTAAATACAAAACTGCAAATAATAAAATCCACATTAATTAATTAAACAAATATCATTGTAGACTATCATATAATATCTTTACCCTAAACCAATTATGTCGTCACAATCTCTAATAAAATTAACTACTATATTATACAAACTTATTTATACTTTAATATCCACTTATGGTGAATTACAAATTCCTTTACAGAGTTAATGTTGCGTTGAGATTCCATTTTGTGGCAAAGCAAAGCGCATTGTAAACTAACGAAAGTCGTGAATCCTGACACTAATATGTCTATGTAGATGTTCATGTATGCTAAATAAATCAGGGATACGCTTTGATGGATGTAGATTAATTCGTACACTGGAGAATAGGTAACATCGAAGGGATACCTGCAATATGTGGAAAAATATAAAAACCTCTCGCCTGGAAATAGAGCAATTTGGAATTCATATATTATGGATATGTGCTCTTAGACAATCGAGCGCTTAATTTTTCTACGACAATTTTCAATTTTTTTTTCGTAATTATCAAATAATTTGAATGAGAAATATATCGGAATGTTATTAAAGCAATTTCTCAGCCAATCTTTTTAGTGCTTCCAACGATTTTTTCGCTCATCAATAAATGATGCGAAGGTATTTCGTGGAAGTTTTAACAGACTTTTTAAATTGAAATTCAGCAAGTAATGTAAGAGAAAATAATTGGTAGTTAACGAGCATCTAAATTATTCTCTATATAAATGAATAATGATATGAATAAGTGTGGATGATTGATTTAACAGATTCCTAATTGAAATAATTGTCGTTTAAAAACAAGGTCTTTTGCAAATTAAAAATGTAAAATTCTTTAGAAACATAAATACTTTGAAATTAAAATATTTGGTCATTGTTCTACATTAAAAAACTGCTTGCTCATTTATGAACTTACCACGCAGATAGCGGTAACAATTGAGTAGAGCTCAAAAAAGGCATAGTTAAACATCCAGAAACAGCTATCGAACAGACTATCAACACCACTTTCCTGGTCTTTTTGTACCCACTCAAGCATCTCTCCACCAATTCCACCCCTTCTGCGTCTTTCGGCTGGAATTCGCTGCGGTTCATGTCGTTCTGAATGTTCAACAAAAACTTCTTGTTTTTGAATAGGAACAATTCTTTTATCACGGCCATTAGACACGACGCTCCCAAGTAACCAGACGCCGCCATTTTCCTCAAATCCGCCTCCACGCAGAACATGTTGATAATCTGCACCATGGTGGCGACAACCATGAGAGGCAAACTCACTATGAAAGAGTATAAAATTTGACCAATCTTCGCGTTCTCGGTAAGATAGTATATCCCCAAGAACTTCAACATGAAGAAATCCCTCTCGAAGAATTTTCGAAAGTCGAAAGTCACCCGGTCTCCGCTCATTTTGTTCCCAGCCAACACTCCTACTTCCAAGGATGTAGGGAAGGAAATGAATCGAAGATCCTCCGGATCAATTTAAAATTGAGCTTAATAAATTATTCCACTTATAATCACTAGTAATGTACAGAGTGTACGAAATTGGTGTATATTGTGCAGTATTACAAGAAAGTGAAAAAATTGGTATAGTAGAAATTGATAATATTAAACGAATTCAATGTGGTTGAGCTCGCAAAGTAATTGAGACTAAATAAAGGGTGTGTTACGAACAACCTTTGAAGATTCTTAAGAGTTTATAAGAACTTTATTAAGTTAAGCTTAAGACCTATTAAAGTGTTTAATTAATTATTTCGATAATTTTCCTTGAATCAAGTTTTTTCCTTAATTAAAGTGTGCTTTTAAGAATTGCTTTAACCATGTTTTGTAAATGATTTTAAGTCATATAGAGTTAATTTTCTCTGGTACAATTTTTCTGGAACAACCATCCTCAAATCGGCACGAATTCAATCAATTAAACTCCGAGAGCACAAGAATGAGATTGTTGCCATCAAAACCATAAAATCAATTTAGAAACGCCGTAATAGGTCACTTATGCACAAACATTTATAAGTCGAGTAAAACACGCGTTCTCGTTGTTTTCTTCCTCTGCCGACGTTCCACCGTCTCTCTTCAAAGTCTTACGGAAACGCCAACGGTGGGAACGGAGACGGCACTATCCGACGACGGGAACTTTTATTTATCGAACTCGATGTGGGCGATTTCTACAGCCGGGAGCCCGACTCTTTCAGATGAAATCAGAAATCCTCTCAACTGGTAGTCTGGTTACTGGTAGTCGTTGCGATTGTATTTAGTTAAGTGCACGGGGAAGTCGAGTGCTCCTTGCTGGGTGAGTCCAAATAGAAATAATTATTTGAGAAACTAACAAGTGATGGTTTGTTTATGCTGGTTTACTTGGAATTTTGGATGTTTGGTTTAGTTTGCGTTACATCTGTTGGTGGAAGTCAGGGTTATTTGTGTAGATGTATAGTTGAGCTAGAAGTTTCAAGCTTAACATTTTTGTAGATTTGCAAAATTTAAAATCGAAGATGGAAATGTATTTAAAAGTAGATAGAATATGTAAATACAAAAAAATTATATTTGTAAGTTATATTTGACAATAAAATTCATTGCAAATAAAATCATATTTTCGGCTTCAATGCTAAATCCATATAAAACAAATTTAACAACTGAAATAAATTTAAACAACGAATTTAACCAATTCTTCCTCATCATTCGCGATAAAAGCGATCCAATTTTTATTAATTTGTAAAGATATGCGTGTTATTGAGATTGATAAAAATAAATCTTACGCTAATTCTAACATCCATTATCTCAATAATTATGTCACCAAACATATGCGGCTTTAATATGAAATAATTTTATTAAGAGGATCAAATTAAAATTGCATCAACTTGATTCATTATAGTTTTATTTGCATGGGTTTTATTTTCCGAAATCCGAAAAATTTTAAACGAGAAAATGGGTCAGGCAATTATTAAAAATAGTAAAATATAATAGAAGTTTTTATACATCTAGAATTGTAATTTATTCCAAGACTATAAAAACCGATGTTGACATTAATTTTTAACTGCGGAAACACTTGGTTTAAAATTAGCTTTTGACGTTATTAATGTAATTTCAAAGAAAATCTCCTGTTTTCCGTACGAAAGCCGTATAATTTAAAGGCGAAAAATGTAGGTTAATCGATGGATTGTTGCAATTAATTGGAAGAAAATGGTACTAAATTATATTTATTTACAAATTTTCTAAAAATACACATTTTGCAAGTATAGAAGTATTGTAGGAAGTTAGTATCGCCTACGTAGGTTTTATATTTACATAAATTTGTATCTTTAATAAATCAATTGAAATAATACAGAGTCAAATTTATATTTACAAAATATTTATAGAAATTTAAAACGGGATTTATCTCATAAACTAAAATGACACTAAAACTGATGGAATAAAGGGACTAAAGAAGGAACTTAATTGACAAAAAACCTATCTCTCTCCCTTTAACTATTCTTTTACATTTAGGTAGAGCATAAATTATGTTTCATTTATGATTTAATTCTCTTCTATTCCCTTTATATGCCCTAAAAGTATTTTCTGATACCACCCTTAGATACTTCAAGATTCATACAGGAATTTTTTTAATTGCAATCCCGTATATATTCCTCAAAGTAATGGAATTACGTAATTAAATAGCGCCACTATTTAATGTCCTTGTGTATTAATAGCATGAGTAACATCAAACTCTCGCAGCGATGTACCAATTAAATAAAAAAGAACATTAGAAACCACAGCAGATAGCGCGCGACCTTTAGGTCACGGTTACAGTTTTAAATTAAAAATCGTTCGCCCAATTTATATATATTTTCTTATCTAAAACCATCGTTTTCATGATGTACATTCGGCCCGAGCATTATCTTTGCACATCCTGTTATAATATATCGGTTATCAATTGTTGCTTTGTAGTGGCACGAAGGATGGCGTGTGTCCTGATAAACTCTTCCTGAACGGCATTGAATACGGATTTTAGCATTCGTGGACGTTTCCGCACTTTATGTGTGTCGTAATATACAAGGGAAACAAAAGATTGAACCAGCTTAAATAATAAATTGGTTGTATTATTGTATAAACTTCATAAGGGTCACCATAGAGGCTGTAGATTAACTCTTCCTACCTTGTGGATATTAGATGAATTGAGCATCGAATACAGCATCTTCTTGACATAAAATGTTAAAATACTTTTTCCTAAACATGATGTGAGAGATAGACTATTAAATATTCTTGTTTTGTTGCAGATAGGGTAGAAGTTCACAAACATTAAAATGAGGTTCCAATGCGTTGCCCTCATTCTCCTCATCGTCGTATGTTTAGCTACGGAAATCACTGCCAATAAAGTAAGTACTCATCAAATACGCTGTAAAATTTATACGTAATTATTCATAAATCCCGGTCATTATAACTAATCACATTTGGCAAGATACTTGCTTTTCTAAGCCAAATCTTAATCGACAGTTCCAAGCTATAACTCAAATATCTTCCAGAGCAAACATAAGAGATACAAGAAACGACCGGCAGCCATATCACTCGACGAAGTCCCGTCCGAGCCCAGTTCTCCCGAACAAGCTGCAGAAGAACCCGAAGTAGCGCCTCCCTCTGATAACGATGTCATCGACAACCGAGTTCCTCTTATGGGTAAATCAATTCACCCCAAGCAACCCAACCCAGACTAACCTTCTTACGTTCGCAGATCCCTGCATGGAGGTCCGCTGCGGAGCCGGCAGGATCTGCCAAGTCAGCGACGACGGCGAGCCGGAGTGCGTTTGCATACCCAATTGCCCCGTAGAAACGGAATCCCGCCGCAAGGTTTGCTCCAACTACAACGAAACCTGGTCATCGGACTGCGCCGTGTACCAGCAAAGGTGCCTCTGCGACAAAGGCGACGCCGAGTGCAAGGGGCCCCAGTACAAGCACGTGCACATCGAATACTACGGCGAGTGCAGGGAGATGCGCGTAAGCATAGCGTAGAAGTTAGTGAAGGTTTTAGCTTTACTTGTATGTTCGTTTAAGGAATGTACGGAGGAGGAAATGGCCGATTTTCCGAGGAGAATGCGCGACTGGCTCTTCAACATCATGAGGGATCTGGCCGATCGGGAGGAACTGACGCCGCATTACTTGAATATGGCGCGCGAGGCCGAATCGAATTTGACTCTTAGATGGACGAACGCGGCTGTTTGGAAGTTTTGCGAATTGGACGGGCATCCACCAGACAGGTGAGATAATATCCCTTCATTTGTATAATGTAATCACTAAATTTCATTGAGGGTGAGGCAATAACAGCAAGCTGAGTTGTGGAAATTTAACGAATGGTTAACATAACATGACTAGCCCTTGATCAATGCTTGATTAAGATAGTTAATAACATACATCCTCTAATTAGCATTTAAACTATTAATAAAGTTTTGGCGATTTTACTTGAATATTAATAAATAGAGATAATTTAATTACTTAATTGTTTGTTACAGGTCAATCTCTAGACACGAATTATTCCCCATTCGTGCTCCTCTGATGGCTCTGGAACATTGCATTGCTCCATTTTTGAATAAATGCGACAGTGACAACAACCATAGGATTAATCTTTCAGAATGGGCTAAATGTCTAAACTTGGAAGAGGTAAGCATTTTTTGTTCAACTAATAATTTCGTTTTGATATTCCTTAACAATCCTCTCTTAATCTTGCAATTTTTATGTATGTTAAGTACATAAAAGTAATATTTTATTTCAAACTGTTAATTTTGTGTTCTAAAATTGCAGGAAGAAATCGAGCATCAATGTGAAGAACTTACAGATGCAGAATGAAATAAATAAAATTATTTCTAACCCCGAAGGTGCTATATAGTAGTTAGGAAATAACAAGCAGAACGTGCCATAATAAACTCGATTCGTGAGATTATTTTTTAGCATTTTTATTTTATATTTTTCCATTAACGAGTTACTTAAAAATAAACGTTTTTCAAATTGGTACACTTCTTTATTTTCGTTAAAGAATATATTTTATCAACGGAGCATTAGATGTAGTACGGGCTGTAACATGCATAATTGAACTTTTGTGGATTACTAAAAAAATATAGAATCTACTCAGTTACAACCTGCATAAATTTAACGTAACAATATAAAAAGATAAATAAACAATATAATTATTCCATAAATAAATTATGTTATATTTACATATAAAATACCTAAAGATTATTTATAAAAATATCTGAAGCGACTAGATCTATTTATAAAATATATACATAGATAGTATTTCAAATATTTATTGTAAGTAAAAACCGTTTTTATATTGTATAAGGGTTCTTTTTGGCACTCTTATATTAACATTAAATATATATTAACAATTAAAACGAGCTAATTTTCATAAAAACAATCTCGAATGTACCTTGAATAATGTTATCATCCACCATAATTTATTAAACATCCCATCGAAATTAAAGTGTAATTTTAGCGCTTCAATAAATCGGTAACTTAATTGCGAATCCGTTAAAATTTCCATCACATTACCACACAAAAAATCTCATCTCAAACAGCCGACGATTCGATGCATTTGCTCAAATTCACCGGCGTCAACGAGTCATCGACTTCAACTTCCAGCTTCTTCAGCTTCGTGCGCTGAACGAAGGGAATCGCGAACGATATCCCGGCCGATACCGCGAAAAAGGCGCAGCCGGCCAAAAAGCACTGCATGTACCCCGAAGATTTGATTATGAACCCGGCCAGCGGGGGCCCCAACAGCGACCCGGTCCCCCTGAACAGGATCAGGTTGCCGAAGGCGTTGGTCAGCTTCTCCAGCCCCAGGAACTCCACCAGCAGGATGGACGTCAGCGATATAAATCCAGCTAAAATAGATAGTTTTTATTTATAAAACTTGGCTTATTTAAAACAGTACTAAAACTCCACACCTACTCTTTTCTACTCTACTATAAATAACGATTTTTTTTCGCATTATAGCGAACAGTGGGACTTTAAGATGCGTTCGGTGATATATAAACAGAGATTGTCGAAATTGACAGTAATGACACTTCGTATGACAGAAGTTTAATAGAGGTGGGAATCAATTTTTTGGTATAGAGGTGTAGTAACGACCGTTACAAAATTAGCGTTATTTTTCAAATATTGTTCTCTTGATTTCTCTACTCTACTCTATGGCATAAGTATGATATTAATATACATACACATAGCAGTTCCATATATAAAAGCGGCGATCGCATAGGAGTAGAAGGCGTGACAAAAAGCCATGGCTCCCATCGAAATTCCCAAAACCAGCAAACAAATATTATTGACTAGTAGAGTGTTGACTTTAGGCATGTCGCCTATGAATCCGCAAACGATACGTCCCACGGTGTTCGATATGCCGATGATGGAAATCAATAAGGGCCTCTTCAGCTCGTCGACTCCCTGAAAGGCGAAAGATTAGAACTGATTAGCATTTGTCGTAAATTTTTTTATTGCTAGGCGTGACCGTTAGCAGTCGTGGGTCGAGACGGGCACTTAATTCCGGATTCTGCAATAAACCGTGGAAAAAATTCGAGATATTTCTGGGTTAGACTGTGAACATGAACGTATGTACTTCGTCTAGATCGCCGCGGCGGGTCTATGTCAAAGATTATTGACCTTAAAGAATGAAATGTGCAATCCGACGACCTTCGCGACTAAAGTGTTACGTAATGAAATGGCGAGTTTAATTCGAGAGAAAGCAATCTCTTATAATTAATAATTACCTGCCAGTCTCGCCGTGCAACCCATATTAGGGAAAAATAGCAGAGTGGCATGAAATTTCTCGAACAAATACCGAACGAGAGGCGTTTGTTGTCGTAGACAAACTGTTATATTCTACTTCAGCAGGCTAGTTTTTTACTTTACTTGATTTGAGTTTTTTATCATTATTATCACTATTTGTATAATCATGTGAAGTAATAAGGAACGAGCGGAAAGTAACCAGTCAATTAATTATGAATGAACTTTAATCGCGAACGATTTTTTAATATTGCTGTAACGATTTAAAAATAATTAAAAAAACCAACAATACGTTAAATAGATTAGTTTCGAAACCAAAAGAAGATTAAAGAAATAATCATTGCAATTCTGCGTTCAAATGCCTTTCAATAATACGCTTTTATCGCGTATTTCAAAATCACGAAATTTTCAATTACGTAAGTACCTATCAATAAACAATTCGTCTCGGTGTTAATAATATTAAATCAATCGTTATAAATAATAAAATCTTACGTCTTCTTTAGCAGCTCCTCCGATATAAACAAAAGGCACGTATAGCCCTACGAAGCCCAGGAAATTCGAAAGTGCTATCGTGATGAAAACGGGATCTTTCATTAATTCAACATCCACTAGTTCTTTCAACATTCTGCTGCATCCTCCCGCTAAAAAAATTAAGTTTCGTTTAATTCTACATAGACAAATTCTATTTTACATACCGTAATCTCTTTTAGCTTTCGGTATGCTCAGCATACTCTGCCTGAAATCCTGCAGGGATTTCTGAGACTGGAACTCTTTGAGGTTTCTAATCGATCCAGAGTAGAGGACATCTTGTCGGGATAAAGGAGGCAAAACATTACTTTTTTTGCTTTTGTTGCTTGCTATGGAGTGTCGGGAAGCCGATATGTCGCCCTAAGAAAATAAAAAAAAAGTGTAAACCAACTGTATCATAAGGAATATTTTTCTCTGTTTGGTGAATCTAGTGATATGTAGGAAGTTGACACAGTTTAAAGGGATTAACGAGATTACGAGTTAAATAGATTTGTTTCTTATCTAGAAACCTTTTATTTATATCTAGTAGTCCATTTCCTTCCTAATGATTATCATGTTTAAATATCATTATATCAACAATGCTATGTACACTGAAAAAACCTTAAACCAAATATTAATTAGAAAAACCTTTGAATAGTTCTATTAATAGTGAAAGAAATAAGAAATGTTTCTATTTGTATCAACTCAAAAATTCGCTAATAAAATATTATCTAAGATGGTTTTGTTGTTGTTTCCTTTAGAAACCATGTGTGAATTCTTTAATTTACTATGTATTTTTACAAACAAAAACAGGAAATTGTATAGAAAGCATGTGTTTTCTTAAAAATGACACAATAAAACACATGGAATTGAATAGTAGATCTACATCCACCTCAAGACATTTACATACATCAAACTTACCAAACTCGTGTAACTCTTCTTCTCGTCATTCTGCATCAACCCGTTTCCATTTTGATAAATCATCGTCACCGTTTTCTCTTCCCTCTGCTTGTACTCTATCGGCTTCATAGCAAATCCCATCACCACGCACCCGAAGCACATCGCAGCCAGCGCCAAATTGGCCCCCTTCCAGCCGTACAGCTCCAGCAGGTACTTGGCCAGCGGCGCTATCACGATCGTCCCGACGCCGGACCCGCAGACCGCAATGCCCGTGGCCAGGGACCTCTTCGACTCGAAGTAGTACCCCACGCACACCACCGCCGGCACGTACATCAGCCCGAAGCCGATCCCGCCGCCCACCCCGTACGTCAGCATCAGCACCTCCACGGTGGGGCTGAAGATGCACACGGCGAAGGAGGCGCCGGCGACGAGGGCGCCGGCCATGCAGGACGCCCGGCAGCCGAACTTGTTGGCGACCACGCTGACGACGGGGCCCAGGCACATGGTGACGCCGGTCAGGATGGAGCCCACCCAGGAGACTTTGGCCTCTTCCTCGTGGTAGTAGTCTTTGAGGGATTCGAGGAATATGCCGGCGCAGTAGGAGATGCCGTCTATCATCATGTTACAGATGAAGGAGGCGAATACGACCACCCAACCGTAGCCGCCGTCCGGGGGAGGCGGGACGGCGGCGTCGCCGTCGCGGTGGCTCTTTCCATGGCGTTTTTCGTTCGGGTGTTTCTGCTGTTTTAAGAAGAAATGAATTAAACAAAAATTGGTGATTGACAGACTTTGCGTATTCGCATTTCAAACTGACTTTGGAAAGACTATATACAACCAAAGATAATAATGAAAACCTAATATACCTAACGAGATTTTTTTAAAAAACTCCCACGTATGAAAACGACACACATTTTCAACTTTCTCCGCTCAATCCTACATCTAGGCATTTATGATCATTTCAAACATTTACATAATGTAATCAAAATTACACAAAATTTACATATTTTAAAAGTTACGTCCGATTAAATTCATATCGATACCTTACACAAACTATAATTAGTTTTAGTCAGTTTACTTCAAAATGCCCCAAATTTCTGTTTATAATAATTGTAACCAATCACATTTACCCCAGATTATTACGCATTTCTTATTTAATATTACCAAGTTAACCAAGAATAAGATAATTTTCTAATATATTATCATATATTTCTTTTATAACTGGTCTAACATATAGCTTCTTTTTTATAAAGAATAACTTTAAAATTAACTTTATAAAGATTATAACGAAATACACTTTTATCTATACTTGATACAGAGATGTTAGTAAGATTTATTTAATTATTAGGAGTAAAATTGCATAAATAAAGCAATTAAAGATATAATGAAGTAATGTATACAGCTAATCAAGAGCTGAATAAATTGTCAATAAGTAAATAAGCTAATAAGATAACCGAGAAAAAATATCTGATGATTACGAAGATCTGTTTAATAAGCAGTAAATAAAGAAGTTGCGAAATGAATCTCTTTAATTATATTAATTAACCCAGGGCAAAGAGTTTAAAAAATTACAACGCCTAAATAATAATTTATCTATGTAAATATGAGTGCAAAGTTGGGTAGAATTTGGAATATCAAACACCTGCAGATTTAAAACAAAAATATACACTGGCTCCCAATAAAAATTAAAAATCTAGACAATTAAGAGAGCATTAAGTAAGTACTCTCATTATCGTTAATTAAAAGTTTAAAAGGAACTTAATTATTACAACCGGTTAATTTAATTTTTTTGTTTTCTGCAAGATGGTAACTAATTACCAACAATTCAATCCATCGCAGAAAATAAACGAAGATTCTACTTAGATTAAAATTCATCGAATCTCTCTAAAAATGAACCTCTTACCTTAAAACAATTCAATCACCTTATTACAATATGTCGTTTGTGTTTGATAGTAGGTATTTTCGAAAACTACACTAACAAATTTTTAACCGGTAAACTGTAGTGAATAAAATTGGCCTTACACTGGTCATGAGTGCGAGCTGCTCGTCGACTGGATGTCTTCGGAAGCGGCGAATTCAAATTTGAGTTCGGGTTTCTTTGGCTGGCTCGAGTTGTAGCAGCAAGTCGGCTTTCTACTTGTATTTCGCAGGCACCGATCGAATTACAGAAACACGAAATTCCGGCAAAGAAACAATTACCCAACGCGCCCGGTATGCTGCGGCTTGTACGTGGTCAGGTCGGCGTAATTAATCCAGCGATGACGGGTTCCCGGGCGCTCTTCGACTTCTTCCCGAACGCAATCCAACTATTGTAAATTGTTGCATGAACGTTATTAAGTTTATAAAAGCGCGATAAAGAAAATCGTATTTGTTTTCGTAAGGTTATCAGCGTTTAACGCCGCTGCTCTATTTAGTTTACAATGCTTCTCTTTTACGGATCTTTGAACTCTTCTGTGCACACCATGTTTCGGTAACCGTGCTATTCTTTTATCATATTCGCCGGGCTCTCGATGGGACCGATACTGCAGGGTTTCGAATTTTCGAACGTTGGATTTACTATCGTTATATTTAAAGTTATGTTTAATCGTAGAACTCGATAAGAATTCTGACCTAAAAATTTTATCAACACACGTTGCGTATGTGGTTTCTTGATTTCATTAGCTAATATTCAAAATAAGTATCTACATAATGAGGTAAATGTTAACTCGTGGAATAAATACCTTATAATGTACTCATACATACATATTTTATTTAATGAATTAAGAAACAGAGACAAAATGTTATGAGATGAAACTATTATAGTATGTTTTCTGGTGAAATTGTTTATGAGTAGTAGAAAAATATTGTCTACTGCAGTAAAAAATAGAAATTGGCGGATAAAGGAATGGTTGGGAATGATGATCTCATAACAAATCAGCCCCTAAGAGAATAAAAACAAGGAATTTCTATTTTATTGTTGCTCTATTTACATCATTTTGATGTTGTTTAAAGTACTTTTAAAGCCTTTGGATGCTTTTTTTCGAGTTGGTTAATTAGACTAGGCAATTTTAATTGAAAATGCATGTACAGGGTGTGTCTAAATAGCACCGAAAAAATGAAAGGAGTATCTGTGATGAAAATTAAGGTGGGTATCTACTTGGTATAACTTAAAAAAAAAACATTTTTTTTGTTGGCTATTGTTTAATATAAAATGCTATTTAACATGAGCTTGCAATACATTTATTTTTTTCTCGTAAATGCTTTAGTTTTTGGAAAAACTTGTAGAAAAAAATACCTTATGGGTTGACTATTTCAACCCCTTATAAGCATACTTTAGGGTTGAAAAAATTTCAAAATGTGCAGTTTTATTGAAAAATAATATACCCAAAGTTTCGTGTCTATAACTTAATATACAGGGAAAATAAAGAAGAAAAGCCATTTTTTTCAATCTTCAGAGGGTTATAACTGTAACTCCATACCAAGAAATAAAACACAAAATATTTCTAAATAATTTTAATAAGTTAAATCGATAAAAAACAAAATAATACTTCATCCACTGTCACAAATATATTTAACATTTGATTGTAAATAAAATGTTAATAAATATAGTACATTTTCCACGTCTTGTTTATAAAACATTTCTGCTGAAGTAGCCGAAATATAATATGTAGGTTTCTTCCACAACTAAATAATTATTACGAAATGAAATGTGATTTCCACATAATTCGAACTTCTAAACTACTCTCTAGCAGAAACCTACATTCAATTAAATCATCCAATTTGTAAATAGTATCTATTAAAGCTTATTGGCACAGTCTGAGTCTGTCTGATCAGGCACTTATTGAATGAATATAAAAGTACTTGGCAGTAAGTTACCTAATTTAAATCATTATAACATGGAAATAATATTTATGCTCTATTACAAGTTTTAATAAAATATTGTTATGTACTAGAATTATGCTAACGGAATAATGTCAATTTAACAATCATTCGAGGTAAGTACTCCTCAATGGTCAATATGATATAAAAAAATGATATATTCTCGATTGAACACTAACTAAATGCAACTCGTCGCAAATTCCGTCTACATATCATTTATTCTTCCTAAAAAAAATTAAAAAAAATCCTATCCATCCTCCGAGTGAGTAGGTGCCTACCAAAATTTTCAAGTACCGCGCCTACGATTCGCACTGTTTATTCGAGATCGGCCCGTCGAACAGCAGAACAATTCCGCCCCCAAATCGACGCGATCAAGCCGGACCGCTCGATCCGCCCTTCTCCTGCAGCTTCCGCTTCTCCCAGGCGTTGATCCAGTTCAACGGGTAGCACAGAATGGCCGAGAACAGCAACACCCCGCCCGACAGGTAGAAGCACGCGTTGTAGCTGCCCGTGAGCGTCTGGAATGCCCCGGCCAGCGGCGCTCCAATTATGGCCGCGATGCCCTGGAACATCAGCAGCAGCCCGAAGGCGTTCGTCAGCTTCTCCAAGCCCAGGAGATCCACCACCGCTATCGATCTAATCGATGCGAAGCTTGCTGAAAAGAATAAACAATTTTATAGTCTCTACAAAGTCTATCAAATGTCGAGTGCTAGTTAACTGAGGGTAGATATTTAATTATACCATTGAGTTTTTTATGAATTGTTATCTTCTTATGAATATTCGAATTAATATTAGCGAGTTTTGAATTTCATATGAATGAAATGAAGGTGCGATATTCAAAAGCGTGCGCAATTTGCTTATCAATATCGGTAATTTTAAAGCGCAAATTGCTTAGAAATTAACTAGATACTATTAAACTTTATTCGAAATTTCATCACCGCAATCATCATGCGTAAAAAGCATCGGCAAAACAAAAATATATTTATGTAGTAAGTGCTGTCGATCAATTGGATTAAAATCTAATAAAATATCTAATAAATTCCACTGCGAAGTAGTTCAAGATTTAAACTGCAAATTAATGGATAAATTCGTTCAATTATTAGTAAAATTTTCTCTCATCAACCAACGATTTATAAAACAATAATTAAGGTGTTCCTTAACCATATTAGTTGAGCCTATGAATCACCGTGTTCCTTCCTCTCAATTTACAAAAATAATTAAGCACCGTGGGTGGTAGCGTAGTGACTAACATATCGTACTAAATTTTTAACATTAAATGCTAATTATTTGAGAATTAAAGCGCCAACTTACAGACTGATAGTCCGAAAATAACGCTGTAGGAGAACTGGTACTCCATCGACATGGAAAGCCCGCTCAACATGGTGGCTATTCCTCCAACGGTTAGAGCGATGTTGATGATGACGAGAGCATTAGTTTTGGGTATGGAGCATATTAAACCGTATCCAACCCTTCCTATAGTGTTCGTGATGCCGATGGTGGAGACCAGCCAGACGGCGGAGCTCCCGAAATGCGCCTCATTGGCCCTATCCAGCAGGAACAGGTACGGCACGAAGAAGCCCATCATCGTGAAGAAACCGCCGATGGCTAATACGATGAAAGTGGGCGATTTGAAGAGGCTGACGTCCAGCATGGTGGCCAAGGCTCGCCTGAAGGCCTCCGGGCAAAGTTTGCACGTCTTGGTTTCCTCCTCTTCTATATCGTTCTTCGTGGGCAAGCGAGTGACGGCCAGATTGTACTCCACGGTGGTCTTCGAGGCGTATAAGGGCAAGCGCGCCAGGCTGCCGGTGAAGAATATGTCGTCCCTGTACAAGGGCCGGATGACTTCGTGGCTCTTTTCGAACCGCGTCCGCTTGAATTTATTGAATTGCGTCAATTGCAGCTTGCCCTCAGTCTTGCTCCTCTCTCTCGTCCAAGACATCTTGTTCTCCACCGAGGCCCTGGAGGTGATGTTCCCGCTCGGCACGCAGATCGTGTGGTACACGTCGGACACTCTCGGATACACCGAATTGTTGTTCACACCCAGCAATCTCGGAATGGACGATTGGTGGTCGACGGAACTCACGCTGTCTCGTTTTTTCAGCATTTTTATGGCCGCTTCCATCTTTATTTGAGCTGCGAGTGGTATTTTGTATTCCGGTTCGTCCGTTATTTCGTCGGAATTGTCCACTTTGATCGGTTTTAAAGGCCTAAAACAATTCAAATCTTTTAGTAAAGTGGTATAATTGTTATTGTGTAAGAATATAAACTAGTAAAAGAGATTTTAATGTTATAAGGCTTCTAATAACTCATTGATAGACAACTGGAGAATATGGATACATTCTTGTAGACATTTAATTCTCTTAATACTATGTCTAATATGTCTTAAACACTCCTGATCATCTTCAAAATGAACTGTATATCAGCCAATTACAATGATTTAATTACCTGTATGAAGCTCCGTATATAACGCAACTTAGAGCCAGAGCTGCGTGGCATAAGAGAGCGTGCCTCCAACCCAGATTCTCTATTAGAATTTTAGTAACTGGGGCGTAAATGAAGGTCCCGATTCCGGATCCGCAGACGGCTATGCCCGTGGCGAGGCCTCTCCATCTTTCGAAGTAAAAGCCCAGAATTATGATGGATGGTGCGTAGATGAAGCCGAAGCCGATGCCTGCAAACGATGGTAATTTGTGAATTATCGAGCATCTCTTAAATAAACGTTTGTGTTATAGTATTCAGGAAATGGGTATACAGGTGTACGTTTTTTATGTCAGGTAGTTGCCTCTATTAATGAGCGTCTAATTAAATCTAATGGTCTTTCAGTGTAAATGTAATTATATTCAAGCCTGCGGTAGGTAGGAATTTTTAATTTGCAGAATTGATATAAATATGCAGCCTGCAAATCGGCTCAGTGCTTTCTTTAGGCCTTGAACTTACATTTTACAAGCAATTTCCACTTAGCTATTGGCAATATTATAATATTAGAAATAGTCTAGTTTTAAATTATTTATATTGAAATAAATATAAGTTGAAGGGTAATATAAAGAGGAATGCACTTGTTAGTTACGTGGAATGGTGCAATCAATACTTGAATAATGTATGTGTTTATTTTGAATATTATTAACATTATATTAAATCTTCTCTGTTTGAAAAATGCAATTCTTGTTTGCATAATTGGAAAATGTTATGAAAATTAAAATTATCAAATTCAAATAAGTAGATGAAAAATAAACATGTGCATATTAATATTAAGTAATGCATGCTTGTAATTTCAACCGCAATTTTCCAAACACACTTAGGTTTTTTATCTAGCTTTCCTAGTATCATGATTAGTAACAGTAACAAAAATTTGCTGCACGTGTATTATAAACAAAATCGATTTTGTTAGTAATATATCTTCACTGAGTCTCAAAAAGGCTCCAAAAAGTCAATATCACCTATTATTAAACAACCCAGTTACGGTATCTTATAAGCTGTCGCAAAAATTAAATATACATAGATACTTGCACTATTACTACACGAGAAAAGTTATCTCTTGGAGTAAACAGTTCTATCTACACCTATAAGATACCTAAATACTCATGTAAATATAAACAACTGCTGATTTGTTATCTTGTAAATACTTATTTGAATCATTCCATATAATATAGTAACTCAAAATATTGGTGTCTATTTTAATCTAATTAGAAAGGAAATTATAAAGGAAAGATCTCATATAAAAACCATAAAATTTTTACCACGAACGCATACAAGGTTAATTTTCAATTCAATGGTAAGTGTTAATTAAAAATTAAAATTATTAATAAAAATCCTTAATAAGATTTTTTACATCAAGAAAAATTCCGTTTTATTAATAATTAATATTTTTTATTAGGTACTACAGGAAAATTACTCGTTTATTTGAATCGACTTTCAGATTTTATTTGCCCGCTGCACTAACTTATCGTAAAATAAATCAAGTAATATTATACTTGCAGTTAATTACATCAGTATAGAATTATTATAATTAATTATTGGCCTGTTCCGGATTCTAATCGTGCTCGATTAGACTGTTTTAATGGTAATTGTACTTAATTAGAACGTTAATTTTACCATGATTAATCCTTCGAATAGGAACAATAACGAGTTAATGCCGCTTTCCTTCTTCATTTTTGAGAATCTTTGAATATACTAGTATAGGTAATAATCTATTCAGGTTTATTTTATAGGTTTTAGCCAAATATATGGTGTAAAAATGGCAAAAATAGTAATTAGTATCTACTATTTTCTTCTACGAATAAGGTGCCATTAAAATAACCTTAACAAACCCTAGTAAAGCTTCTCATTTGAAAATAAACTAGTGCCATTACAGTTTTACGAGTCCCTCTTGGTACTCTCCATGGACACGTGCATGCCTAGTTTATTCAAATCGAGCCGCATTATGAACCGTAAGTACTCCATTGAAAATGCGAATACATTTTACAAGTAAATAACAAATTCAAATTACAAGGATATCCTTTTTCTCGAGAGGAATTCAGTCCGGATACGTTTGTTGAACTCGATAGCGAGCGACTGGAAGGTCGTCCGTAAAAGATCGTCCTTTTGCTAACGATCGACACTAGACGATAAGTTATTTTATTTTATCTGCTCATTTCCGGAAACATGGCTGCATTTTGCCATTACGAAATTACCTATTGGCTCAACCACGAAGGTTTTAGAATGTCCTTTATTCCTCCATTGCAGGGGTCAGGGGTTTTGGATATACATAATTTCCAGCCGAACAAGCAAGGTTATGATGGATTCTTTTTCAAAACTAGATGGATTTACAGTGCAGTTTATTTTACATTTACAGTGCATAATATGTATGAAATATACATTAACTACATTTACCTATAAAAGGCTCAGAAAATTGTGTCCTCAATGGCAGCAAATAAACCTGGCTGGCTATTAACCTAAACCATTTTAAAATAGAAATAAGCTTGATACCTAATACCTACTTACACGAAATCTATTTATACTCCATAACATTGCAAAACGATGTTTTATTTATTAATGAAAGATTTACGGAAGAACTGAATTTGAAACGTGCAGAGCAGGTGGTGTGTCATTTGGACTACTTTCAACATTCAAAGTGCAAAATGCAGATTCGGTAATCGGTAATGCGAACTGGGAAAAACCCATGTGAAATTAGAGAGACGGGTAATTGTTCAATACCTGCTCCTATAAAAGCCGATAATATGCAGTTTAAATATAAAACCAACCTTGCTCTAATTATAGCTTCGATACGTCTTGGTTTGTCTAATTGTTTCCTAAATTCCCGAATAGAAAACGTCACAAGTCTGTAGAGCAATAGTGAATCACCGATTTACTATGATTTTCTAAATTTTTCGAATATTTTACGTAATAGAATAAAAGTAGGTGCGCTATTACGCAGATCCGGAAAGCAAAAATAGACCAAAGTATAGTTTAATCCTGCTATTTAGTTTCTATTTTAATCTTTAGATTCGCAATGATGACCTAAATTCTTCTTGTAATGTAGCCATCGTAATAATTTCTTCAACACGTTAAATTTTCCGTTGATAAGAAATTATCTTCAATTTTTCGTTTTATTGATTCATTGATTAGTGATAACAATATATTGGATGTTTATTTAAGCAGACCTATTGCTATATACACATTTTTTGACGATGAGTGGTAATTATCTATTTTATTTCGCAATATGTTTATACTAAAATAATCCGTTTATAGTACAAATTTTATAGATTATGTATTTGTTTGATTTCGTTATTATAAAATAATATTATTGAGATTTCGTGAATTAGTATAGCGTTTTATTAGAATAAGTAGATATAGAAATATTCTTAAATGATAAGTATAATTGAATTTGGATTTTCACGAAGAATAAAATATTGAAAATGATTTATAGTCCAGTCAAATGTTAGCATACTATTGTCAATTTAAGGGAAATATACTAACTAACAAGAAACTGGTTTGAGTCTCCTGTATAGGATATGTTAAGGGGTGGGTTACTTTTTCTATAAATATTTCTATTATCTATATACATAAATAGAGTGAATTCTCTACAAAAATGTGATAATATTTTTATGCAGCATTAATATATTTAATTTAGGAGAAATAACCGTGAAAAATAATGAGATTTTAACAACTAATATAAAGAACTTACCCCCTAAAATCCCATAAGTAACGCAAAGGAAAGGAACACTGGTGGCGAAATTAGATATAGCAAATGCAGCAGCGCTGAAAACGGCCCCGAAAATCGTCACCAGCCTGAACCCGTACCTATTGGCAATGGCACTGACAAACGGCCCAGCTATCAAGTAAAACCCAGACATCAGCGACCCGACTATAGTCACGTCGGGCTTGTCCACCCCGAACTCCTCGGCGATGGGTTCCAGGAACGTCCCGAAGGAGAATATCGTCCCGTCCACTATCAAATTGCACATGAACGAGGAGAGGACCACCACCCACCCCCAGCCGCCGTCCGGCGGTATTACGATATCCGTCTGGCTGGGGATGTCCTCGGTGAGGGGATCCAGCTCGTCGTCTATCGCCGGAATGGTGTCCTTTTCGCTGCCGTCGCACGTGCAACTCTTGGTCTCGTCGGCTTCTTCGATGACCTTCTCGTATTCCGGAAAGTATTTTTCCGAGGGGTCTAGCTTAGAGAGTGGCATTTTGTTGTTGTGTCTGCAAAGGAGATAATAATGTTGTTATAGGAGTACCTAAAGGTGTTTTTAAAAGGGATTGATTAACAAAAATTAAAGATTGAGGACTTAAGTGTACTTAAGTGGAGAAAATAAGACTTACTTACATGTTAGTATTTTCACTTAAAATATATAACACTAAAAATTTTGTAAATAGTATTTACCTCCAGATGCCATAGAAGTCTCAAGAATGGTTTCACAACAAATAAAAAATAATAATAAAAACATTTTTCAATGAATATTTTAGCAGACTAGTTTTTAAATATTTATATAACCAAATATATTTAGGCCTGGATTGGGAAAATCGTAAAATTATGCTAAAGAATTTGAAAAAAAAATGTAAACATTTTTACAAGGTATTGAGATAGTATTTGTACGAATATTGTGGGCGATATGTAGACTCTACTAATAATTAGGATACTCAAATTTACTTACTACTGAACTCACACAAATAACATTAACGTTTAAAAAATATACATAGGTAGCAGTAGCTACATATGAATGTAACTGTAGAAATACATACAGAATATTTACCACTACTTGCAGTTAGTTAGCAGTTGAAACTGAATAAAATTACTAAATCTTTAACGATACATTGTAAATAGAAGGTACGTACATGTTTATATGTAAATAACATGTTTTTTAAACAACATTCCGTATCGCATTTTATATTTTTTTAATCGAACAAACCGTTTCGTTCCTTACCTAATCCAACATTTTTTACGTTCGAGCCATCTGACCTCAGCCGCTTGAGATACGAAATTGTGAATAAACTAAAAAGTTTCGAATTGTCGTGGAAAATTAAGGAGGATTTCTCGATTGATTCGTCGGTCATCGAGTTGTTAATGATCGTTAAGCGGCGTGACGTTGGTTGGTAGATTATTAAAAAACGGTTAGTTAACTATTGTCACTAAAACGTATGGAAAAACGCGACCAAGTGTAATCTGGCCTCCAGCCAAGTTGTGATGCATAATTAATGGATATTGCATCAGTTTTTTCTAAGCCGTAATCGCGTGAAGCGTAGGGAAAAGTCTGGGATAATAGTACAATAATTACTACATTTGGTGACTCGCAGATAATAAAGTAGCTTCGGTATTATCTAATAAAATATATGAGATTATAACACGTCCAGTTATTTTAAAATTTACGCGAGGATTTAATCTAAATAAATTGCGAATTAATAGGTATAAATTTAGTATGCTAAGTATTCTTTGAAAAAAAAGAACACTCGTTCTGACGTAAATGAAAATTGCTGTATAATAAACATTCGGGGTTTTTACAAATTTTAAATATTTCCCATAAAAAACAGCTCTTCCGTTGAATTTATTTATACAAGGCATTTGTAAATTCCATAAAAATCATCCTTGACATTATCTCATTTTCACATACATATGTACCTAATAATTTCTGAAATTTAATTGGTGTCGTAGATACAATATTATACTCTACTCTTACCTAATGTGCGTAGTACGAAAATAAACCAATATCCTCACACGTGTGAAAAAAACGAAAGTGTTATTTACGCAAACGTAAAACCTTTCACAGGGAAAGAAATTCACAATTTCCTACTCGGTTTTCATTGCAAACCGAGGTTACCGATTCGATTTAATTCCAAACAAACTTAATTATTTTATTATCTACAAAAATAGTTGTTTATCGTCCGATCTAGTTATGTTTCGACGAGAAATTCGTATCAGCATCCTGTTTGTACCTACGGTTTTTTGTCAGAGCTTTGTAGGAACAATTATTTAATGAAATTTCGGCAATGAAAGAGGTCATTGAAAACGGTCTATGGTCAAAGAATGCCGAATATGCAGCCGATTGATTGTCCACAGGACAGCAAGGTCGGCCAATCAGTTCAATTATTTTTTTTATTGACTAACCTTGCTGAGGAACACTATCGAATATCATAACAAATAGTTAATAGGGAACTCATTTAATAGGGACTTATTTTGGGAACTCCACATGGGCCTGTCCTGGCACAATACCGATTGACTTGTTGCAATTGAATGTCTCACATTAACTCAAAGGATAAACTTCCTTTTTAACTTTAATTTTTTCTACGAAATTACACGTTTTAATAACGCTAATTTATCGCAATTTCCTTTGCTGCGCTGATTAGATGATTCTAGTCTTAAGACTTTTTATACAATGTGCATAGAAATGTTGTATTCAATTCTCACGCTTCTAAACTACAATTAATTCCATTTTTTCATTGGAATAATGCATTTAATTCATTAATAAATTTCTGTCTATAATGTAATTTAATTCGAGAGATATTTAATTGAATTTTAAAAAGAATAACGTGATGTACTTTGTAATAGTAATAGGCTCCAAAATTATTGCAGTTTAAAGAGATTAGATATAAACAAATTAGTACTGACGCATTTGTAATTGTAATTTCAAAATATATGGAAGCGATAGTATTTTTAACGTAGCTTCGGACTGATAAAACTTCCAATTATTTTGTAAGCCGTTAAATTTTTATGACGTTATCAGAATTAATAATAAATAAGCGCGGTAGAGGAACTATAATTACTGCGTTTTAAAACATTGGATACTACCTTTTTTTCCATACAAATCCCAGATTATAATTACCAATTTTCTACGTAATTGTAGGGAAGAATAGGTAGACAAAAATGTACTGCTTAATATACCAGTCTTCAACATTAGGTACTGTTTGCCCTTGATTAACAAATATATTTTGTGGTTTATTTGAAGAAGATAAGAATTTAGATGATACTAAAAGACCTCTTTAAGTTCCCAAAACACCACCTACTTTTTTTCGATTTTAATAATTGTATTAAAGCTGATTTTAGAAGAACAAAACGCGCGAAATGCCATTATAGTTCTAGGTTAACAACACATTTCGAGGACAACGCCGACGGTTGTACGGATAGTGCACACAAATCATTTCTTAATCCTGCTAGAGCATGAATCAACATGTCGGTTTATTAACGAGGAGAGTCCATTAATCAAACTCAAACTGCAAACTGAAGCGTCTGAAATGATGTAAGTAAACCTCTATGACCTATCGCAAAGCGTTCGTAAAATTCTGCAGAGATGACTGAACGAAGGCGAGAAATGAAAATTAATATAGTAATTGATGTTTAAAGTGCTTGAAGGATGCTAATTGAAGATGACACCTACAATAAATTACGCTACTATTACAACTACTATAGGTACTACAGGAAATGTTAGGAAGTTAAAATGATATTTGAACAAGGAAATTAACATGCAGAGGTAGGAATATGGGAATCAAGGACTTGAAAGGTAGAAAAGAAATGTATAAGAAATTAAAGTAAATTAAGCAAGAATAGAATCCATTCAGAATAAAACAAATAATAAAAGAATAGAAGATCAATGGATCGTAGAGATCTTCAGAATATACAGTTCTGACAGACTCTAGACTCTAGACAGTCAAGTAGATTTAAATTTGAAAAAAATTAGAGATTAGAGGGCAGTTTTAATGAACCAAAATTTTGTTACACAATTTTTGCGTGCATTCCAAGCTTAAAAAAGCAGGTAGAAAATGAAATTACAGGGATAAGGAAATGCGACGTATAATAACCGGTTATTTGTGTATCTCAAAACGATATTTCACACTATTTATTGCCTCAAAAACTGACCGCATACCATTTGAGCAGGTGAAATGTATAAAATTCATCCCTTTTGTGTGCTTTCGTGTATTTCTAAACACCTCCCTTCGTGGTTTAATTTAGATAAAATTGTTAACAGAAATCGAAAACTTACTCACAACGTTATTGACAAGTATCTCTTCGTTCAACTACTACGCTTTGTTATTTATAATTTAGCAATCTTCAATTAGATATACCCTTGAGTCAATGCCAAGAACAAACTTATGCAATTATTACAGAGTTTCCAGTTGTTGTAAAATTCATTTCCAAAGTAAATATTTTTATGCAGGGTTTTCACAAGTTCAAAAGTGTTAGCGAAAACATGCATTTTTGCAAGTTAACTGCATTATCAACAAACGCATAAGGAGTTGAATAAATATTGATACCATTCAACGCAACGTTAGGTATTTTTTAGAATGACCTGTGAATGAATTTAAATTGATTGACTTTTTCATTACAGGCTAAATTAGCATTGACACAATTTTTACGATGAATTGTTATGTTTTTACAAAACTGGTGGAATACCTAGTGATCTATTAAATTTTTATCCTATTCGAATTTGTAATTTAGCTAAATTTACTGTTGGTTTGTTTATTTTTATTTGTTCTAGTGTTTATTTACATTATAGCTACTGGAAAAATAATAAAATTGTTATCAAAGTTTATAAAAGTTATAGGTATGTTTTACAGTGAAATTATCAGGAAACCCTGGTGATGTTAAATTTCAAACACTTGTTTTGTAGTGGTTTCAATTTCAATAATACAATCCTTGAATTATCATTTTTTATCAGCTGCCGGAAATTCAGTATCACTTACTAAATTTAACATACAACTCACATATTTACAGGTATTTGAATTTTGTATAAAATCCAACAATTTTTGTAAATAGAATTGATAACCTATTTATAGAAAGTCTATATTTATAAGAATTTAAGTGCCCTCACAAATGCAATAAGAAACAGGTTCTTTCGAAATAACTCAAATCTATAGAATTTAAGAATTGAAGTAACAGAAATTATAAAAACTCTGTATAAAAAAGGGGAATTACAAAAAAATATTAAGTACATACTAATTAGCATTGCCGCTTTTATATTTACATAAAAAATATTCACGTCTAGTGTTAAGTAGGAATATTTAATTCAATTTTCAACAATGAATAATTTATGTATTAATTCAAATTATTTCAAAAGAATGTATTTATCGAATAGTAAAAATCGTTTTACTTCACACTAATACAACATTTACCTACGGACAAATATGCCTGTACATGTTTACTCGAATAAATTAACAGCATTCTTACCTTAACGAACCTTACCGCCGAATTATTTGTAATAAACAACTATTCAAATCTACCAGGAAACGGCGCGTTAATTCACTAATTAACCGATATTTTAATAAGCCGCGTTCGCGTTTGCCGCTTAATTGTTTGCCGATTTCCCGCGTTGCAGCTCAGACTGAGAGAACTGAACCGCTGAAACCAGCTAACGCGACAACTTTGTAGATTTTAATAGAATCCGTATCCCCTCTTTATTTTGTCTAAAGCTGAAGCACGAGAGCAGGACTTCATTCTTCCAACTTCTTTTTGCTTTTTACTGCCGGTTCGGTTTCGTGCGAATTTCCGTAAACGGCGCTAAATCGACTAAGCAATGTACTTGCCAGAGGCTGCAATTGCCCTCTTCATGGTCATTTGGTTATCCTGAAATCTCATTACTCTTATCCCTAATTAATTGAAGCCGGTCTAATATGCGGTCTGCCCTACCTCATCTGGTTTAGAATGGGGTCTACCAAAATTTATTTTATAGAAGGTATAAAAGCAAGATTTTGAAAATTAACCCCTTATTAGCCAAAAGAACAAATTTTACTTGTATTGTATTATTTATAGAACAGCATGTGGCCCATGTGGGTAATGTAATTTATCGAGAATTGGGGAAGTACCAGTATTTATTTAAACATAAAAATTATCTATCTTTAATAAGCAAACAAAAATATTTTACTATTTTTATAATTATGTATGGATAATAACAGGTAAGTAATTCAATTTATCGAGAATTACGGAAGCATCAGAATTGTACAGGGTGTTTTTTTGGATATTTGTACAGGGATCTCGGAAACTGTAGTGATAGAAAAAAGTTTAAACGGACAAACATTTGCAGTTTTAAGATACATGTTCAAAACCAGTTTCAGTTTTGCAAAATATGAAAGAATTTAAATATATTTAGGCGACGAAATATGCAGGTAGACCGCAAATATTATGGTAGACCGCATACTAGACCGGCACCAATTAATTTTTATACTCGGTATTAATTATAATCTGAGTGTTACTATTTTTTGGAGTTTCCCTCCTAAGAGTAGATGAGTTGCACTCGAGAATATTTTAAATTACGTGCATTTTACTGCAATTTCCAATCACCCAGTAATTGTCTCTGGAAACATCTGGTATCTGGTAAACAAACAGATTGCTTTAAATTAATGTCTACATGGCAATCCTTCGACCACCGATGTTTCTATAAAATTGATTGACCCCCTCATTCAGTTTTTTATTAAATAGTTCATGTGATGGCTATATTAATTAAACAATACACGCCTGTAATATACTAAAAACACTTCGTTTCCGAAGAAATCCTCGAAGTAACTCACGTATTTTTCCTATGAAATTGAATCTTTCAATCTGCAGATGATGAATGATTAACAATTTTTGATGATGATTTGTGCATCCTAAATTAAATAAGAATCTGCAATAGGTACTTCCTAGGAGCACCTATGCCCGACAAACCGGTAATAATTACCATTTCGATTTTTTCGCAGAAACAAGCAATTATCCTGGACGCTTTTTTTGCCGATACAAATTCATTTAGCGAACAAGGATATCGATTTTACCTTTCAATCAACTGTGTCACGCTGAAAACGCAATAATAATCTATAAAACAGCCGATAACAATTTGGCGGTAATGAAAAAATCAATAAAAATTTAAGTAACTAGAAGATGATGAATGCGATTTCGAAATTGCATCATGCTCATTCAGTTTCAATTGAAACCGGTTCTATCCGGATTCACGGCTCATACCTGGTGCTTAGGTCTTTCCTATTCGATAATTTCGTACTTAAAAGTACTTAACTCACACACTTCAATGAGTGTGTAATTATTGCAATAACTATTTTTTTTTCTTTTTTCGAGTATAATTTATAAACAATAAGTTTTTGGCTGCAAGATTATTGTTATCTCTAGTCTAGTATCTAGCTGATAATGCAATGGCAAATTTTAACAGTGACTGTAATCTTTAATGTAACAAAATTGCTGTCAATCATGTAGGTATTTGTTCGGGGTATCGATCTATTAAAAATCACTTCCAATGCAGAAGATATCGATAACTCATTAATTCATACATAAAATTATTTTCAATTCCAAGAGTTACAGTCATGTTATTTGACGTAACAAAGTCCCTTGTTATATTTGGGATTGCCAGTTCTATAAAAATCCTGTGAATAATAAATAATATTTTAATTATTTCTGAAGAATACAAAGTAAAAACCCTTGTTGAGTCTACAAAACATCTAAAAATGGACTTGGAAATTCCATAGATAATTTTTATGGAATTTTGATGAAGAAATTTGTTTTAGGTAATTTAGATATAATACAAAACGTGTAATTAAAGTTATTATATTTCATTAAGCATAATCTGATAGAACATTTAACAAACTTTCATTTAGATAATGTTCATCCAATTTTTGTATTAAACTGTCTAATTGCTTCCCGCCTTCTAAAAACGCTTTTAAATTATGTACATTTAGACTTAACCTATGGTCAGTTATTCTATCTTGGGTATAATTGTACGTTCTGATTTTCTCGTTTCGATTCCTTGTCCTAACTTGGCTCTTTTTAAACGATTCCAATTCTACGTACCGTTGGTCTAAATCTCTTTGGTAAAGCAAAGCCCTCAGTTTGGCCAGAGCCAACCTCCTATTTTTAATCTGAGATCTGTCAACTTGACATTCTACTGCTACTCCTGTGGGCAAATGAACAATACGCACAGCGCTTTCCGTTTTATTCACGTGCTGCCCGCCGGCCCCCGAAGCTCGCTTCGTTTCGATCCTCAAATCCGCTGGATTGATAGTAATTTCGATCTCGGACGGCTGGGGCATTGCTATTACAGATATTGTGCTAGTGTGCATTCTTCCACCCTTTTCTGTTGTGGGGACTCGTTGGACTCGGTGAACTCCAGCTTCGTGTTTTAGATATCGGAAGGCCCCAGGGCCTTGAATAAGAGCTGAGGCTAATCTAATTCCTCCTAATTCTGTCGATGCGTAATCTGTTAAATCCAAATCCCAGCCTAAAAAGATTATCAGTTTAATGAAATGCTTAAGTGTTAGTAAGAAAATAAGTACCTTTATATACAGCAAAGTTTGTATACATTTCGAAAATTTCCTTAGCAAATAACATTGCTTCTTGCCCTCCTACACCCGCTTGTACTTCGAGTACTATCGAATCGAAATTATCTTCTTTACTAGATGGCACTAAAGAGTACAATAATTGATTGTCTAAATCGTCTAATTGATTTTTATACATATTAGTTTCTTCCTTAGCTAATTGTCCCAAATCGCCCTTGTCTTCGATAAGCTCCTTCAAATTGTTTATGTTATCGATCACTGATTTTCTTTCATTTAAAACGCCCATTATTCGGTGCAAATAGTGCTTCCTCGATATATTTGTGGTGCTTTTATTTAAGCCATCGTATTCCCGCTGCAGATGCTTTATGTATTTATTCAGTGAGTCTTCGTTAATTTTTAAATTAGGCCTATTCGTTTCCGTGCTGAAATTGTGAACTCGGCCTAGAATGTGCCAGGATTTTCGTAGAATATTACGAGATTTAATAAATACAGACATTTTAACATCGACTCATTACTATTATTATAATATTAAAGAAATTTTTATAGATTTAAAATTTTTGAAATTATTATTTTGGGGTTACATTATTATTATTGGAAAAAAAGAAGAATTTAGAAGTAACAATAATGACAGTATATGTGACCACAACTAAGTTGGTTATACGATTACTTAAATATTTTTTTTTAACTTTCTTTAAATATAACCTTTTATTTAATATCTCTATGTTGAATATAATAATGAACCACTGATGATCCGACATTTAAAAAAATTTTCGTGCATTTGAGAGACATTATGCAGGATTTGGTTTCACTGAAAAAGTAGTTTACAGAAGGCCAGTTTTTTTATTAGAAATGTCAAATAGTCTAAACATAACCTTAACATATTTGAATTTTATTTTTAATATTTTGTGTTAGATTGGTGTTGATTTGGCCTAATTTCTTTTCATACAATTACTTTTTAATATTTATACTTTAAAAATGAGCAATTGGTCATGTTCAGTGATTTCTGATGATGAGGATGAAGAGGTAAGGCCCGCTATTATATAAATAAACGTAATATATTGTTTAATGCAATTAAATAAATTATATTACTATAACATTTTCCATAATTTCTGAACATTAGATATTTATTTTAGATTGTAAACACTCGTAATAAAAAAACGAAATCTACTCGAAGTTTGAAGAAAGAATCGTCATTTGTTCTAATTTCTGACGATGAAGAGGAACCACCTGTGAGAATCGCAAAGGTATTAATATTTAAGCAATTAATAATGAGCCCAAAAACTAAAAGAATTATTCATTTTCCTAGCGAATTAAAAATGAAAAAAATAAACCAAATAATGAGATTATGCTAACTTCCGATGATAGCGATGAAGATGATACTACGATTGTTATACCTAAGGTAAATTTTTATTTATATCTGTTTTGAATTATCTAATTATTTATTCCATTTTGTAGACTGAAAAGAGTGTTAAAAAGGAAAAAATCGATGTAAGAAATATTGACAATATTGAACCTGCCTCTTCAAGTTCCACTGAAAATAACCAACGTTCAATGAAGGTAAATTTGTATTATTTCTGACCAATTTAATTCAAAGAGTTGATAAAACTAAAAAATTTTATTTTAGATTTCAAATCGCCAGCCTATGAAAAGAAAAAATAATTGTACAGATAATCACATCGATGTTAAATTAGAAAAACTTGACAAGCCTTACAAACCGCAGGTACTTTGTTTATGATTTATTAAATTGTAGGTATTCTAAGGTTTGTTCTGTTCTAGGCGAAGAGAATTAAATTAGAGCCAGGAAAAGAATCGGTAAAGATAGAACCAATTTGGGAAGATTACCAATTATTGGCGGAAAATTTGAATTTAAGTGATGGTGTTGCACAAAATGTCGTTCAGCTTTTCTCCGAAGGAAATACGATTCCTTTTATTGCTCGATATCGAAGAGCAGCAACAGGTTTGTCTATTTTTCTTCTAAAATTAATAAATAAATAATTACAACAGTGTATGTATAAATTCTAGAAAATATGTCGCCTGAAACATTGAGAGAAGCCAGGAACGTCTACGATGATATTTGCTTATTAAAGCATGAAATTGGTACATTTGCAAGCGAGTTGCAAAAAACCGGGAACCTCACAGAAACGCTAGAAACTACCATTAAATTAACTAAAAATTTAGAAGAATTGGAAATTATTGTGAGTGCGTTTATAACTAAACTATTTATTTTACTTATTTTTATTCAATTTTAGAGGGCTCCATTTAAACCAGAAGCTAAAAAGACTTTGGCTGAGAGAGCAAAAGCACTCGGTTTAGAAAAACCAGCGATGGATTTACTACAAAACAATTCTAATACGGACTTAACAAAATTTATCAGTGGCAATCAAGAGGAGCTTAATAACGCAGAAAAAGGAATAGTGCACATAATAGCGCAGAGAATTGCGACAGACACTGATGTTCTAACATACCTAAGGGATTTGTAAGTAAAACAAACAAACTTGGAATAACATAATTACATGTATTTTTAAATATTATAGGAGAAAACACACTAAATTTGCAATCGAAACGAAAAAGCACAAAGTATCCAAACAGAAATCTGACAAACCCAAAAAAGGCGAAAAGAAACAATTAGATGTATCGGTGTTTGAGCAATACTTTAATTTTTCCGGGTTCGCTCACTCAATCAAACCACATACGGTACATAGATTAATTATCATTAAAAATGTAATGCAAACATTTCACTTGTAGGTATTAGCCATAAACAGAGGCGAGTCTCATAAAATACTCTCGGTAAAAGTTGTAGTTCCCGAATATCTGTATAAAAAATTTCATCAATTTTGTATTCAAAAATGGTCCGTCCGCGATGGAATTAGAAAAACTGTAATAGAAGAAGCCATTAAAGATTCATATAATAGGTTGGGTAAGAGGAGTAGTTGGTAAAAAAACTAGTATTTAATCATATATTTTTTAGTGGAACCTTTCATAGTAAGGGAAATTCGCTCTGAATTGAAAGCAATGGCCGAAAAGGCGTCTTACGATGTATTCGGTAAAAACCTCAAACAAATATTAATGGCTGCGCCCATAAAGGGACAGGCCATTTTGGGTATCGATCCAGGTTTTACCCACGGCTGTAAAATTGCTGTGATATCTCCTATAGGAGCAGTCTTAGATCACACAGTAATTTATCCTCATTCCACCCATAATAAAAAACAAACAGCAGCCAAAGAACTGAAGCGCCTATTACAAGAAAACGAGTAAGTAGTAAACCCGACAAACGCACACAAAACATTTAATATAAACGTTTCATTTAGATGTACTCTAATAGCCCTCGGAGACGGAACGGCTTGCAAAGAAACCGAGCAATGGTTAACGGAATTAATCAGCCAAAAATACTTCCACACGAACGATGTAAAGTACACAATTGTTAGCGAAGACGGAGCCTCCATTTACTCGTGCAGTCCCGAAGCAAAAAAAGAATTCGGCGAATTGGATACCAACATCATCAGTGCAGGTATTTTCGTAACACAAACTCGAAAGTATCAATCTAACAGTTTTATCCAGTTTCATTAGCGCGACGAATTCAAGACCCCATGGCCGAGTTAGTGAAAGTCGATCCGAAGCACCTGGGCGTAGGAATGTACCAACACGACCTCAAGCAAAAAAGGCTGGACGAAGTCCTCGAGGAAATCGTTTCCGAGTGCGTCAGTTTCGTTGGAGTGGATTTGAACACCTCATCGCAGGCTCTACTCAGGTCTGTTCTAAGAAAATGCACAATGTGGGACACAACTATAGCATCACCTACAGATAAGAGTAGAGTAGAATGCAGCCGCAGAATAGAGTAGAGTAGAAGTAGTGTTGAGGTTTATTGTAAGAAAACGTGCACTTTGGAACATAAAATCTAGCACCATCTACAGATACAAGTAGAGCAGCGTAGAGTAGAGTAAAGCAGCAGAGTAGAGTGGAATGGAATAGAGCAAAGAGTAGAGTAGAAGTAGTATGAGGACATTAATATAGCACCACCTACAGATACAGGTGGAGTAGTGTAGTGTAAGTAAAGTAGTAGAGTGTAAAGTAGTAGAGTAAAGTGGGTAGAGTGAAGCAGAGTAGAGTAAAATAGACCAGAGCAACGCAGAAAAGAGCAGAGCAGAGCACAGCAAAGCGGAAAAGTGCGAAGTAAAGCAGAAAAGAGCAGAGTAGAGTTGAGTAGAGTAGAGTATGCGTAGTTCTGATAAATTCAATTCTTATGAAGTAGGAACTTTTCCATCCATTCAAATGAACAGTAGGGAGTACCTAGATGCTCCTAGATTCTAACATATACTTACCTATATGCAAAAAATACAAATTTGAAAATAATCTCTAACATTCGAAAACAAAGGTGGTGCTATGGTTATAAAACACGGTGTAATACTTGCGTTGTTAACGGTTGATTTTTCTCTCAGGCGAGTGGCTGGGTTGACGGACAAACGCGCCAGCGAAATCGTCAAATACAGGGAACGCAACGGGCCGTTTACCTGCCGCAGCGAAATCAAAAACGTCCCGGGAATCGGGCCCAAAGCGTTCCAGCAATGCGCCGGTTTCCTGCGAATCGGGCCCACGAACGCGACGTCGTTCGAGGAGTTTTACAAGCGTCCCAACACCACGAAGCTCGACCAAACGTACATTCACCCCGAATCCTACGAGGTGGCGCTGCAGTTGTTGAAAGAGCTGAAGCTGCGGGTGAACGACATCGGGGAGCCTGGTTTCGTCGATAAAATCGCGTCGTGTAGAAGTAAATTCGGAGATTCGAAGTTGAACGTCGGCGGGGTGCTGGATTTGGTATTCGAAGCCCTTTCGAAACCTCTCAATTACGATCTCAGGACGGAAATATCGCAAACGGCTTTCTTCTCTACAGGTCTCAGGAACATCGACGACTTGAAAGAAGGTGATCAAGTCATGGGCAGGGTGAAGAACGTTACCCATTTCGGTTGTTTCGTGGATATAGGAGTAGGAAGAGATGGCTTGATTCATTGCAGCAATTTTAATGAGTTTCAATTGCAAGTGGGTGATAGGGTGGAAGTTGTGGTGCTGAGGCTTGATAGAGAACGGAAGAGAATTCAATTAGGTCCAATAGCGAAATTGTAATGGCACTTTTGTTAAATATTACTTAAGTATTACACTAATTTTAATGAGAAAATTAATTATTTTTTTAAACTGTATTTATCTCATGAATGTTTTCATTGTACAGAAGTAGAATAAAGTTTTTTTTTAAATAAGTTTATTTTGAAGCTTCTTTTATTAGCAGTTAAATTTTTAAGGAAAATTATGAAGTTTCTTTCATTGGCAGTTTAAAATTTTAAGGGAAGTATTAATTTAAATAGAAAAAATAAAGAAGAAATTAAAGAAAAATAAATATTTTTTAGTTTCTATAAACACCAAAATCTACACAATATACTAGTAATGAAAGTTACTAATTAAAAATCATAAATGCTATAAAAATACTAAAATATATTTCCTTATAACAACAATTTGTGACTTCATAATAACATCAATAGAGATTCTGACTATATTATCAATGTTCCCACTTTGTGTTCATATTATTACATCAAAAGATGCATTATAGGCATTACCAATAACCCAATGATAAATTGCAAAGGCACCCTATGCGCCTGCGTGGACTCAATAACGCGCCGCCTATCCTCTAATAATGGATACAATACTTGTGATCTGCTTTTGTTTCGTGAAGTAGGAAACAATGGGTAACACTAAACCACTGTTTAGCATCTAGTGGGCCATAAATAAGCGAGCAGACGATTCTATTTCGTGGGAAATATTGTTTCAGCGTTGATGTTACATTGTTTTGTTCATTTCATGGCTACTGTTGTTCTACCTTAATGGAACTGTTAAGATGATTGTTCGGTTGCAATTGTCTGAAGAATAAGAAAATGGTCGTGGAGTACTGCAAATAATAAAAAAAAACCATTTGTGTGGCTTAGAACTGAATAATGAGTAGGCACTTAAAATTTTTATTCTGCTCGGTGCTCGAAAAATGTCGATGAAAAATTGTTGGAGAAATATCCTTTAAAAAATATCATTTAATATATGTCTGTACGTAAAAAATTGCCTTAGTAATTTTTGGAGGAATTTGGAATCGTAAACTATTGAAAAGGACTAATTATTATTTTGTTTACTTTGTATTCTCTACCCTCTATTATCTACCCTCTCCTCACTCTACTCTCTTCCCTTTCCTCACTTTAGTCTCTACTCTCTCCTCACTCTACTCTCTACTCTCAACCCTCTACGCTTTCTTCTCTCTATTATCTACTCTAATCTACTCTATCCTGCATAAATATGCTTTTTAAAAAAACGTTAAGAATTTTATCTTGTATGCACCTACTTTTTAGTTTTCCACGTCCACTAAAAATAATCCACTCCAAATTACCTACTCAGTTTATAGAAATTACAGTTATATTAAAAAGGAATTATTATTTTGGTGCGAAATTCCAGCGCACCGTATCTACAATTTCCAATCCAAAAATCGAAACATGTAAAAATTTTAACGGTATTTCGACGTAATAAATTAATTAATACCGCATAGTGAACGTCCAGATGCAGCGACTTGCACACGTGAAGCCCAAAAGGACTCGACATTATTAGCAACAAACGATTGCGTGTGAACAGGGTGGTCCGGAAAGTTTTTATCTCTCTTATCTTCGCCGCGGGCAACCACTTCGGTTATGCAATTTGGGGTATTGAGCCCCGGAGTTCGGTCCTTCACTGTGAGAAACAGTTACTTCTGACAGTTAAGGCCGTTTATCAGATCCACCATTATATTTTCCGATCTGATTTTCGTGAAATACTACGGTATTTTTGAGAAATAATACTCGCTTTCGGGCGCGTACTTTATGGGACCCACGAAGCTTGCGAGGGTTATTTTATTAATATTAATTTGAATAAAAATTATTGGAAGTTAGCGAGAGTTTCGACGGTCCCTGTATAGCGTTTTCGATCGAATCAGTTTTCAGAATCTCTTATTTTAATTGAAACAAAGAGGGGTCGGTCTTTGTCGGCTCCGTTTCTGTTTGTCAATTAAAGTAGGAAATGGGGAATTCATTGGGTGAATTAGTACTGTAAGCACGAAGAGGACGAAAGTTACATAAAAACAGGGAGGGGTGAATAAGTAACACTCGTTGATAAAAACCGTCTTGTCGAGGTCATTTCCATTGAAATTTTCAATGGCTCTATTAAAATAATGACTTTTCGTAGTTTTATGACAGATGGTTGCGGCAATTAGAGGTCGAATAAAGACGAATTGTATAGAGGATCTCATTTAATTGATCTTATTTAGGTACTCAATAGTTATGTAAATTATTTCCAAATACCTAATAACTAACATTGATTTTTGTGGGAACCAATAATGCATACAAAAATACTCTAAAACAGTGGCTAAGATATTAACTTGAGAGAGTTCAATACTTATTATCTTAACATTTTATTTTTGAGCATTTTTAGCTACATTAAGGCAATTTCAATGAGTAATATGATATTATCATTACTCGAGGAAAAAAGTTTTAAAAATCTGGAGTGATCAAAGGGGGAGAGAAAATAATGATAACAATTGCATAACCAAAACCGAACCGAACAGGCACATGAAGGACCTCTGTGGAGCCGCTTCAGTAGCGACAATAATGGAAAATTAGCACACAAAAATGCTTTCTTCTATCATTTAAACTCACCGAGACGGAAAAATCGAGCCCACCGTATCGCAACTCGCCCCTCTGTCGGGCCTATTCACGAATATCGTTCGCTACTTTAGGCGGATTGTGAGGACCAGCGGGCGGTAGTTTGATACGTTTTTTACTTGGTTTTCGATAGTGTTATTCTTTTCGAAAGAAACGGGGAGTATGTAAATTGGATTCCTAACGATGAAAACCAAGTACTTATAGGTACTTACCTATGTCACATATGTCTAGGTATTGGAAGAAATCATTGAGCAATGTTCCAACTGTTACCGATAATTAATCTCGATGTTATATGTCTTCATTTCACAGAGATTATAACAATGTAATAAACGAAGAAAACATCGCGAATGCCATATAATTGTACTATTAATTCTGAGCCGATTAAAGCGAGAAAAACGTTAATGGAGTTCATCAATCGTGCAGCGTTAAATCCCCATCTCGATAAAGCGGAATCGAACAAGAAATCCGACGACCGGGAAAAAGAAGTGGCGATCGTCGGGAATCACTCTAATTTTCGTAATTTCTGCAAATAAGGACATTCGCCCTTTTTCTTATCTAACTAGATAACGTGGTGGGCAAACTGTTGAAAAATAAGGGTAATTAGGATAATCCTCGCGTATGTGTTACTGAGTCTCTAGCGCTATTCTTCTTCTATAGGTTTTGTGCTGATGATTGATCGGGTTTATGTCTTTAAAAATCGCTGAGTATCCTTTAAAAATCCACTAAAAATAAAAACCTCTAACAATCACAAAAATCATCAAAAAATTTGAAAACTAAATAAAAAATATTCATCATTTCTCTCTAATAATGTTGCCCACCACCCTACTATCTTTAAACAAATAAATGTTCTACATACAGGGGGTGTATAATAGCTATAGTATCACAAGAGAAAAATTAATCACGTCGGCGTTCAAAATCAATTTATAAAAAAGAAATTTTATTATCGGGCATAAAGAGAAAACGAGGCGGTGTACGTGCAACCTCCGAGCGCGGTTTAATCTTGCAATTAAATAGGCATAGTGGATGGAATACGTACGGAGAGCGGCTCGGCTCCGCAAAACGATAAACGCCAAACAATGTTTAACCCTCAAAGTAGTGCTGATTACAGTAATTAGGGGATATATCGCACAGGATAGGGAACCGATTTGATATCTCTCGTTATATGGATGGGAAGTTCCAGTTCGGTTAGGTAGTGATTATTCGCCGCGAATATCTCTCTATCCCTTTCTGTCGCCGGCTCATTCCTTTGTCTGCCAATTAGAACGGCCTTTAGAGATAAACAGCGCGGATAATCTATCAAATTAATGTTTATCCCGAACAATTTGTTATCTACCGCCGGTTCCGAGCACCGGAAAATTCCGCACTTTTCGCCGGGATTTCGCTACATCCATACATCCATTTTTTCGGTCCATCGGAATTCGGCACCAAAATAATAATCCCTTTTTGAGTCGTTCTTTATCCTTAATCCTTACTAATACATTAATTGAGTAGAGTGAAGAGAGTAGAGTAATATATGGTGAATTCCTGCGTGGGATTAATGCATTTTTGGTGCGGAATTTTGATATCTGCTTAAAATTGAGGATAAATTCGTTGCGGAGGTCCGGCGCGACCATATTTTTAAAACGTTCACTGGCTTAGTTGTTCCTAGTCTACGACCACCCCGTGTTGTTAATTAATGAACATTATTGATTGAAAAGAAAAACGATAATTTTACGTGTAAAATTGATTATTTTCCATCGGGCTCGTTCGCATGCCTTAGGAGAATATGGCTTAATAAATTACGCTTCCAATTGTGTCGAATAATTAATCGCGAACGGACGAACTCCGGCCGGCGTTCATGTCTTATTAGCTCTTGCTTTTATTTTCTCCTCAATCAGTCCCGCCGACCGTTATAATAAATAGTACGTGCATTAATAGGTAAGTAGTAAAAAAGAAAATAACGATTGTAAAAAAAATTATCACCTGTACCCACATACTCTCGGCACACGCCTGCAAGTGCTCTCTATCATTACTTTTAATAATTCTAATACGTTCGTTAGACTAAAGGTGTACTTACAGGGGAATTTTGCAGAGCTAATTTTATTACTTACCATCACTTGCCAGAACATTCTTGGTGCGAATGAGACTTATTCGAACTAGTCGTAGACGAAACTTGAAGCAATATTAGTTAAGGTACAGTGCAAATGAAATAGCTGAAGACATAACCTGCGCAACTTTGCCGATGTCTTATGACTACAGCTATTCCTATCGCACTGTACTTTTGCAAATAAGAGTGACCGGTAATAATAACTTGTTTTTTTTTTAATTTAATGCAATTTAAACTTCACTCTTTATTCATGAAGCCAGTTAATCGAGTTATTCGGTATAAAAAAGTGAATAATACAAATTGATGCACACTATAGGTGCATATACAGTTCAACTAAAATAACTAGCCACCCAACCTGCGCCACTTGCAAATGGATAATAAATAGTACAGGAATAGTATTCTAATGTCTCTAGTGATTGTCAGTGAACTGTAGGTTTCAATAAT